TAGTTTGAAATGCACTATATTCTAATCACAAGACCCTAGATAAATCAGTATTAAAAGTCAATCACATCCACCGGAAGCAGGGTATATTGTAACAATGATCAAATCCTCACACTAGCTTTCTAAATACTACTTCAATGTTTGCTAAGTTTAGGAAACAATCCTTGCATTAAGGAACCAAGAATGAATGGTGGGGAAAATTTTGCTGAAATTAAATCATGCAAAAAATTTATGTCCACAATTTCTCTCCCCCAAGACTGCAATAGATTGGGCCAAGAAATGGGAACACAGCAATGTTGTCCAAATTCTTGAACCATCTTTGTGAGTACGACAATTAAAAGTATGATTCTGATTAGTTTGCTTCACAAGTTATTGTGTACCCCAGGTGTTGAATTTCCCTGCATTTATTCATCTAGCTTGTTGACAGATCAACTGAAAATGGATTTAGAGAGTATAATAAGCTTGTAGAGGGTTGATGAGATTTGGGAAAGGTGTTGGTATCATGTCATGTTATAACCCTAATCTACTTCTAAGGGTGACTAGGATCCAATTTCTCCTCACAATATCATTCCTGAAACATCACACATTAGACTTATGAGAATAAATGAAATGATCACCAACTCAAGAAGCTCTTGACTGTTAAACAAGTTCTCCTTACAGCACCTTGGGAAATCTACACTTAGAGAACACTATGGAAAATATGTATACTGGTGTTGGGGTGGAAAGGCATTATGAACTCCGCAGCTTTAACCTTTCTCCAAGTGAATTTAAGAGTGAAGGCAGTCTTCACTGAAGCATTTGCCAATGTCTTGAGGGAAATTTTTATGTTTATCTTTTTAGGTCATCACCCAAAGTTCCATTTGGAAGAAGAGAAGTAGTGTTAGGTGGAGCTTCAATAGTATTACTGTTGTTTTTGTTTTGCAGGAATTATGTCTGCACACAAAACTTTTAGCATCACCAAACACGTCAATAAGTGATTTCTTGTCCAAAGCTCCCGAGGCTCCTCCGCTTTTGATTCTTCGAAATGCTGTAGCCCTTCTTAAGGTTGGTATTGACACCAGTAGTATTGTTGCCACGCCGTCTTAGTTGTTTCTGTGTACATTATTCGTCGCATATCCTTCACTGATTTTGTGTATACCATTTAATTTTAGATAACCAAACGTTGTTTCTTATGTTTGACCCATTTGATTTTAATTTCACTTCAGAGAAGTACATGCACATGGTGTACTTACTGTAAAGTTTTTGTCCGCGTCTGTTACTTTTCTCTCCACTTTTTCCTCACCGCTTCTGCTCTCGCATGAGTAACTGTGGCTGACCTTTTGATTTCATTCATTTTTGGTCCAGACTATAGACGCTTTGGACCAGTGGGATGACCTGACTGACCTTGGTAAATGAATTGCATTATTTGACAGAACTTCTTGAAAGGAGAACTTAAAGTAAAAACACGCAAACTGCCTGAAGCGCGGGCAACGCGCGTGACCAAGTCACTTGATTTTAGCTTGCATTTGATTGGTTGAGAGATTGACTACTCAAAGACCCTAGTGAAGAAGCAATGTCAGCTTGCTTTCCACTAAAATAAAAATTTCACTAGCTAGTAATCCTACGTTTACATGTTCGTTTAGAAGTAGTTTTCTTTTCTCCTTCATCTACCGCCTGGCTTTGTGGAGAGATTACAGCTCTGTCAGGTGTTCGAAAATAGACAATACTTACCAAGCCCTTGTTCTTTAGTGCCTTCCTCCAAAAATGAAGCCAATCACTACGTTTGTCTGAGTTTCTCTGAGCATATGTCATACGATAATCGCAGCAGACAACCAGTAGAATACGACCCTCTGTTTCCTATGCAAAATCTGTTCGACTGTCGTTTTCATGGTCATTCGCAACTTTAAACCCATTGATTTCCTCGTGCAGAGGCGGTTTTTGCAGAGCTCTTAGCATGGAGGTTAATGATTTCTTCTCCTTAAGTTTATAATTCGAAAATAACATTTTTCTCTTTAACCCTTTAACTCCCATAAGTGACCAAGACAGAATTTCTCCTTACAACATCAACCAGATGAGTGATGAGAATAAAGAAAAATATCAATTTGGGGATAATTAGTTGATCCAATACTTAACTCTCTGAACTAACATTATAAGAATTGTATGGTTGATAGTAAGGAGAATTACAAATTTAATGTGGGAGTTAAAGGGTTAAGCGATATGATCTAGAACAAAACTTTGGTGAGACCTTTCTTAAATGAAAAAAAAATTTGATCGATTTTCTGAAGCATCACATCAACAGTATATAGATAAAAACTACTCGTAGGAAGGCTGTTTGTCCATTGAACCCGGGTGAGTGGTTGGAAAAAATCCTGTTCCAGACCCTTAGTTAGTAAATACGAGCTTAAGAGCGCGCGAACGACAAACCGCGGTCATGATGGTTGTCAAGGTAACGGCTGTAGTTTCCCCTTTTTGCCTGACTCGGCCGCTTCTCGTGAATCTTTCTTCTCGCTAATTTCCGCTCACCTACAGCTACGTCTGGCCCAGACTAGACTACGCTCAAATACGGGCGAGCCAACTTTACTTAAACCCAGCGGGGTCTGGGAACAAGGAACTGTCCTTCCAAGCTCTAAAACTCTCCACAACGCATTCTCAATTATCTCTCGCTTTCACTCGACTCGTCCCACTCGTCCCGCTTATACTGATGGCCTGAACCATGCTAACGGAATTCTAATAGGGGGGCGTGTGTTCGACACCTATTCGTCGCTGGGAATATCAAGTATACGCGCAAGTTTTAGGCGCTAGTTAGCGGATATACCAAAAAGTTAGCAAGAGTAAAGGTGGATTGATAAAGTGAGGGATAAAAAGAGTGAATTCTGGGTCATAGCAACAACTCGGGGATTCATCCACATTCCAACTTAAAAATTGCGCTTGGTCCTGGTTCCTAGTCTGGTACCCAATACTCTCGACTGTGGCGGAAGCACGTGCTGTAGCCTCATCTCGATGTGTTCCATCAAGTTCGTTTAAACTTCCGGTACTCCATATTTGGTCAAATAGAATTGTTTAGATCTGTGGATCTGTGGTATATATTAGACAGGCGCAATAAAATATTCTTAGCGGATGTTGCTCGCCAATGAAGTGGGAGTTTGTTGGGTTTCTCGGAAAGAAAATGCCATGGCCATTGTTCTGGAGCCGAAGTCTTCTTACAACCTTATATCCCGAGCAGAATCAAGCAATAACAAACTTCTAATGCACGTGAAATTGACGGACTCTTGTCTACGAGCATTAGAAGACTATCAATTGGCCGAGGTATAGTCGTCTAGTATCTTGCCAGCGCGACTTATTTTTTATCAGTTGTTTGTGATATGATGAACGCAAGGCATTGACTCTGTGCTGTTTCTTTCTCTAGTGTTCCCTGATTTTATTCATTTTTTGGTCATTTTTATCGTTTAATAGGTGTCCCCAAGAAGAAAGCCAAGTATAAAATTTTCAGGATATCAGGGGGTAAGTTCCTGGCCTCAAATCTCGCGATGTTTTTTTATTCACTCATTCTCGTCATCTGTGTTTAATTCTGTTTTTCCTGATCATCTTCGGTCATAATTATGAGTTAGTCAGCTCGAGAATGAATAAATCATAGTAGCAGATGTTAATTCAGACACGGTGAAAACCTGCTGTACTCGAGAATGTATACACAGCCGCCTGCCCTTGAAAGTTTATATGTTTGCAGTTCGAACCATCGATCGATTGTAGAATCTGTATTTATAGATTCTTACACTGTAGAATTCTACGTCCTGTTTCTAAGTCAGAAGTTTATTTTAAGCGTAAATCTTCCCTAAGGCAAATTATATGGGTTATTGTTTGTTGAAAGGCTTTGAGTATCTCTGAGATCTTTTTGTTCGTTTAACATGAATGTAAAACAGAAAACAATGTTTAACTGCATGGATATGTACCTAAAGTGAACACGAACCAACTTGTATTCTCACTGAACTTTTGGACCACACAGAGGGAAGAGTGTTCGTGTCAAAAATTGTTTCAATCAACCCTATGTTATTATTGTTATTATTTTTATATTTTTCGACACCAAAAATTCTATAATCACCGAGAGTCTGGGAAACTTACATCCTCTTCAATTATTCTCGAATGAACAAAATTCAGTGCCTTTTTGATCATCAATTCAAATGTATTTTTCTTATAGCTTTTGCTTAAATTTAATAAGCAAAGCTTATTATTACAGGGCTGGCTGTTAAAAATATATTTGATTTGCTTCAAAAAGTGTTCTGTATACTTTTAGGTTTTAGCGAGCTTCAAGGTATCATTTTTTTTATGGTAATGATATGATATGAAGCTGGGCTATTAGAATATTGTAGTGTATTTTTGATATCCTACAGCTGTATTCAACACATGTAAGGTGATTGACAAAGTCTATTTCTACAAATAGCAAGTCTGTGTCTATAAATTGTTTCATAAGCGTTTTCTTCAAATGAATTAAAGACAAAATTGTAAATGACTGTATTGGACCCGGAGGGAATCACTCCATCAGATCTTGAGTTAGTCTTCAGGCCTGGACAGAAAGAGAAACTGACCAAAATCCAGAAATGAGGGGTCGAGGGGTGAGAAGTCATGCTGGTATGGTTGGATACAATTGTCCAGGGCATTAATTTATAACAGCTTCAATTGACGGGTTTACTCTGGAGTCATCATGCTTGTTGTGTTTTTAAGAAAGATACCACTGACATTTAAACTCTATTGAACTCTCTCCATGGGAACCTGTTTTTCTGACTTGTAATTTAGTTTTGCAACTTCCGGGTGAACTTTAAATTAATGACTTGCCTTATCAATTGGCTTTCAATTGCCAAACTAAAAGAAAATAATTTTTATTATCTAATGTATTTTTTCCCTCTTCAGTCAATATTGATTCCGCTTGGTAAGGCTGATTCAGGAGATGAAAACACAGCAGAGTTTCAGCTGGATTGCTCAGCAATCTTGTCTGCTGGACAGCAGGGTGGAATGGATTGTATCCAACAGTCTGGAGGAAGTAGTGACATCAGAACCCTGGGAGCAGTTACCCACAAAATTACTGTCAGAGCTACAGATGATAGTTACCAGATGACGCAGCAAAGAATGAAAGAAGCTGAAGAAGAAAGGAAAGGAATAAGGTAAGGAAGTGAATTCATTTTATTTGTGGCTTATTCCAGGCCCCATCTGACTCAGGGTGCTTCAAATTTGGAGCTTCTTTCAGTTCTTTTGTAATCTCTAATGATTCTTTATACTGTCTTCTGTACAATTCTTATGATGTTAGTTCAGAGAAGTTGATATTGGATCAAGTAATAATCCCTTATTGATATTTTTATTAATTCTCATAACTTGTCTTCTTGATATTGTATTGATATTGTGAGGAGTAATTCTGTTTTGGTCACTTAGGGAGTTTAAGGGTTTATACCTAAATTTGTGGAATGCCAGTTTCTAAGCTAGCTGTAGCTTGAAAGAAAAACAAACATGCAAATAAACAGCTATCAATTGAAACTATCTGGCACTTTGATCCCAAAAACCCTCTCCTCCTTGCTTACTGCATGATATGTACGCAGGAAATGTCTCTTGGTTACTACTTCATGAAGTTACATGTTAAGCACTTCTGGAAATTAAAGGGTTCATTTAAATGCTTTGATATAGGTGAAATTATTTGTCTCTTTGTTTTTCATAGGACAATGAAAATCTCAGATTGTCTGTGGGTGGTAGGGCTTTTTAGTTCATAAAGCATAGCTAGAGGTCTATAACCTGCAAAATAGATGGGATAGGTTTAATTTTTCATAATTTTTTGGAATGTAAAGGTATCACTCAAGGCTGTGATTTCCCCTCCAAAGTTGAGGTCATTTCAAACAAGTCCCTGCATTCACCTATAGTTAATCTCATCCCAAGCAATGAGATAAATGGGTATTTAATATACTGTATTTGTAAGTGCCTGTTAAAAGGAATCTTAAAAAATGATATCATTGGCAACAATTCTTGGCCTTGTCTTTCTTTTGTAGCACAAAAGTAATCAATACACCAAAGAAAGGTGAGATGTTGAAATAAATATTCTTGTTTCCTTATCATGAAACATTTTACAAGGTACTGCACGCCTTAAGGAGCCATCTTCACATGTTATGTAGTCATGTAATTACAATATGTATGTTAATATGACTCGAATGTCATTTCCAGGAAGTAGAAAGGTTTTCAAGGGTTATAAGCAAACAAACAATGTAATGGCTGCCATGAAAAGACAAATTAAATCTGGTCCAGGAGCAAAGGTTTCAAGTGGACCCAGTAAAACCCTCAGGTACAGTATATGTTTATACAGATAACAAAAAATGTTATTTTAAATAAATGATTTCTGAGTTTGGAAACTAACTACATAATGTTCCTGAAATTTGTTGTATGTTAGTCAGAATGTGCACCTTTGAGTTACCTAATTTATCTTTTATCAGGGGAATTGCATAATCCTTTATGCCTTAATATCAGTATCCATATTCTTGTTACTCTTTTCTATACATTTCCTTTGGTATGGATCAGGAGAATTTGTTTAACAAAGCGTCTTAGGTTGGAGATCATTTCCTCCTTTTCTCATGATCTCAATGAGTGATTAATGTGAGGAGAAATTAAATTCTTATGGCTTCTAGGGTTTTAAGGGTTAATAAATGTGTGATTTACAAAATATTCCTTTTATAGCCTTTATGATGTCCAACCTTCCAGTGTTGATCTTACATTGTACCCAGCTCTACAAGATATTTCTGTAATTAACTAGGGAGAAAATTAACCAGTGTGTTATGAGGAACTCGTGTGAAGCCAAAGCATGCATAGCAATAGAAGTTGAGATTGCAGTCCTGAGGCAAACAATACTTTTTGTCATATACTTGTAAAATCTACTGGGAATTGTATTTGGCAAAGAAAGAAATGCTGTGACAGAATGGTTATTAGACAGCATAAATATTTGATGTAGGTTTTGAATGTTCTGTAGTTCATTCTCTTTGTACTTAGCACCATATCATTCTACATCTTTGGATGAAAACCCTGATCTTGTCCTTTTTTGTGAACAGGGAGAGAGTGATTCATTTATTAGCAGTTAGACCTTACAAGAAACCAGAATTGATATCTAGACTTACTAAAGGTTAGTAGAGCTTGATGACAAGGTTCTCAATTTTCACTTGAGAAGGATGGAATTAAAAAATCTATTTGTGGACTTTTAGTTATTATCAGCCATGGACGGTGTAAACATTAATCATCATCTAGATTTTGAAGCAATATCTACAGTAGCTTTGAACTGCTGTCTGCTAGGAAAACAAATTGCAATTTTGGCTTTGTTAAAAATTTTCATGTAATTCAAGTTGATTGTTTTTGCTTAGTTTGACAAAATTGCCTTTACTATTTTATAGAGGGAGTGAATTTAAAAGACAGAAATTCATTAACAGGCATATTACAACAGGTAAATAGATTGCATTAATGGAACCAGTGTTCATACATATTGTTGAAGCATTATGACAATGATTTTATTACACTCTTGCCCTCAGAAAAGCAATTTCCCCTTTCCACTGCTATGTTAAAAATTTATTTGGTCATTCATCATTCTGAATTTTTGATACCTTATCAAATATTTAGCCATATGGGTAAGTTATACTTATTAAATGATAATGGGTTAAGCGCTTGATGGATGTTTTAGTTCAGTTTCATCTCTAATTGAAATTTTTATTTCATTCTCTTTGAAAAAATGTGACGTACAATCTACATTGTGTTGTTTAATTCATATGAAGTCATACTCAATAACTCCGATTAATTTAAAGAGCAGTGGATTTGTTAATAACAGTGCCTTTTCTTGTGCTCTTTACAGGTTGCTGTTATGACTGACAATCAATACAGATTATTAAAACATTTGTATTCTGAAGTTCAGGTACTAAGAAAATTTTTGTTTGTCCTATGACGGGTGGTATATCAATGCTCTTATGCAAATTATATTCACTCAAGGCTGCATTTACAATGAGGAATGGTTAAAATTAACGAATTTGGGCTGTGCTCTTAGGCTATATTTTCCTGTACAAATTCATCCAAACATTTAAATAGGAGATATTCATTCAGGTAGAAGGATTTAATACATGATGATTCCTGTACATGTACATTTTTGTCGGTTGCTCACACTGGATCAGACGTCATGCGTGGGTTGTTTTAAGTTTTAAAATTTCAGGACAGTTAGGTGCTTTTCCGGAAGAGTAAATAAGCAGTTAACACGACTAAGAATTTGCATCTTGAACAAACTTTGTTGTGGTTTCACTTTGAAATTGCATATTGATAAGAATAAAAAATGATTTCGGCTGAAAAGGAATACGTTGTGCAGTAAGGAAGGAAGTTGAAACATTTTGGTGTGAACTAATAAGGGTGGGAACGAACTTCTTTTTCTTCACGGGGCGAACTTACAACAGGGTGAAACGTCCATAAACCTATTAAAGGGCTTCTTAGCTCTTGTTTGGTAATGTTCGTAGACACGCATTGATTGACATTCGTTTTTCAGGTTGAAACGTGGCCTAGTTATAGTGAAACTGAAAAGCAGATTCTACGCAGGTGAGCGGAGTTTTAAAACACTCGACATGCTTTCTTTTTGAGTTAGAAGACCGACCTTTTTCGAGTGAAAATGGTTTGTTTTGCTTTGTTTTGTCTGTCTGAATCGTCACAGTCTGCTGATTATTTGATTTGATTTTGCAGAAAAATTAAAACTGAACTGAATAATAGCTCTGTAGTAACCTCCTCTTCTCCACCAAAGACAAAGAACTCGGAGGTATTTAACAATGGTTCATAGCGCATGTACACGATAAACAGTTAAACACGTCCATTTACCACATATTTTCGTTCAGTTCACGGTGTGATTTTTCCGTTGATAGATAAAAAAGCCTCGCGTGATAGACCGTTAATGCTCTTGCATCAGCCATTGAGATTCCAGAGTAGCAATTAGTGAGATGTAATGTTTTGTTGAAACTTTTTGGCAGACAAGCAAACCACAAAGTAAAAGGCACCGACAAAGTGAAGCAGAACACTCAGCCAAGAGACAACGCATTTCTCATATTAAAAACAACAATAATATCGTCAAAGACTCTCTAGAGAAAGACACCTTTCAAGTGGAAAAATCTAAATTGCCAGAGGAAAAGGAAAGAGAGCGAGTGGAGGAGTCTGTGTTGGACAAAAAAGACGAAAATGACGAGGAGGAAGAATCAATTTCTGCAGGTATATACATGAATGCTGTCACAAAATGCTCTTTTAGAGAGGTTTCCGTTGGCGGGGAGTCCTGAGGGCCCTTACTCAACTCAACTACATTACAATTCCAATCGAATATTGAGCAGTAAAAAGTGAATGAGAATTTTATCCAGAGGTTTCTTCACGTGAATTTACGAAGAACATCAGCCGTACGTTTTGAAGAAAAGCTGACTCGGTTTAATCTATGTTTTGCGTTAAAGAAATTAGTTGTTCCTCCAATGTGCACGTTTTGGTGAGACCTAGACATTTCTGCGGGAAACACGCCAGCGTAAGTCTTTCTACCTCGAGGATTCATCGGAATAGTTTAATGGCGATAAAATAAGTTCTTTTCCTCGGCTGTGCTTGCTCAATAGCTTCTGTCGTATAGCGTTTAGTGAAAAATTGCCGTCCAGAACCAGCTAGCAACAGTTCCATTACAGTCGCCTCCCGCGTCCACATTCGTGGAGTGAAAGCATTAATGTTTCTATATATTCTACGTTAGATGTCCTTAACTAGTCTCTAAAGGCCCCTATAATATTCATGATAAATGAGACTTCACTTTGTTTTAAACCTGTTTGAACGTGATTGTTTCCTTTTGTTATAGAAAACTCACTAAATGGTTTAAATGGCTTAGATTCTTCTGACTTTACCAAGTAAGTTATCTTAAGTGTTCTGGTTCAGTTTTATTTTTGTTTTGTTTTTGGATTAATAACTATATGTCTTATCGTAAATGAAAACACTTGACGAAGACATTCTTTTGACCAAGGGCAAAGATTAACCTTTGCATCCGTCATGTACATTTACGTTGGCCTGATAACCAGCCGCTGTCCGAGAAACGAGCCCACTTTCCTTCCACGAAAACTGGCACAATTTTTTATCAGATTCCTACAGTTAAATACACATATATTAGTTATTTTTTGTCACAAAGCTAGAGTGTTTAAGGACACAGTCCAATGTGAAAACGTTTTACTTTTGGTTTTTATATCGAGCTAAACAGTTTTTTTTTCGAAGCTACCAAGTTTCTTTTTTTTTTTATTTCAGAAAATACAAACCAATCACCACTTATGAACAACGCTGTTTGTACAAGAAAGATTTTAATGCAGAATTGCCAGAATACGAGTCTTTGAAAGCGAAGGTAGACTCAATGAAAAAGAAAATCCATGATCTCCAAAGCAAAAGACTCCAGTTTCCTGAGGGAACAGCGGAAAGAGAGGTTAGTGTGTGGCTCGTGTTTATGTTAATAGAATTAAAAGGAACCGCGACTAGTTGCCACACTATTCTCCAGTTGTGTAACGGCCGCGCGGAAATTGCGTGGTGTTTGGAGCTGCACATGATTTCGTTCAGTCTAAAACGGCAACGGGTGGGTTTCAAAATTTCCCTCGGGTTAGAATTTGCTCCTTCTTGAAGTTTTGAGTGTAAGCGTATTGAGAAAATTTTAGAGTCTGTTTGACCTTTCTGAGATTTTTTAATTACGGCTTTCTTTAATCTCTCTCTCTCTCTCTCTCTTCGCAGGACTTAGACAAAGAAATTCGTGAACATTACCATGAGATGATAAAGGTGAGATCTATGGCTTACAACTTAACAAGCAGTGGCTATCATTTAATTTTTTGAAAGCTGTAACTATGAAATTATTTGCGAAAATTGGTTAAGCAACGTTGTTTGTTAAAATAGTTTTTTATACTATGTGTTTGTCATATCAGGAGAAGAACACCCCCATAAAAGGATGTATGGCTTACAACTTAACAAGCAGTGGCTGTCATTTTATTTTTTGAAAGCTGTAACTATGAAAATATTTTTGCCAATTGGTTAAGCAACATCGTTTGTCAAAGTAGTTTTTTTGTACCATATTTGTTTGTCACGTGAACAAATTCCCCAAGGCCGCGTATAGAACAGGTCTTCGCTCATCGCTATCCAGGCAAGCGTTCGACACCGGAACTGACAGTGTGTTTCATTTCTAGGATCCCAGATGGCTTCCAACTACGAATAGGTGTCAAGAGCTGCACAAAAAACTATCCTATATTAAGAGACTTATTGCCGATTATGATAAGGGTGCGGCAAACACGTGACAATCACCTGACTGTCACGTGAATACTTGGAACCATTCTCCTTCTGGTTTGACTGTTCCGTCCCGAAATCACCCTTTTCATTTGGTGGCATTAGCAGCCAGTGAATGTACAGGGTCGGTGTAACATCTGTTGAGGATAAAGTATGCAGTAATGAATTACTGAAGATTATCTTGGCTTAAAACTATCCGGTTATGCCCTGTGAACCGTTCATTTCTTAAATGCTAAAGTTGCTGGGCTGTCCTCTTCAATCGTCTTGCACTCATTTGGAATATTAAATGCATTGTTATTATAATAATGATAATTATTATTGTTATTACTATCATTGAAAAGAGGCAGGTCAAACGATCGCGATTTGTGCCAACATTAACTCCCCGCCCTCCCCTCCCCTTTCCTTTCATTTTGTACACTTGCCATTCAGCGTGCGCTGAGTGGTCTATGCACCGAAGGTGCAATCCAAGAGGAGGACGGCTCGGCATCGATTGCACTGAGAGTCTAGGAACATTTCAATGTTTGCTGCGATCGTAACAAGCAAAAGTAAAATTTATTTAAAAATTGTTCTGTATATTTCTACATCGCAGAGAAATAGTAAATATGATATGAAACTTCCACAATCTCTAAGTATAACTTACAAGACGAAGTTGGTATTTCATCTGATCTTAAGTAGGATTCTGCCTCCGTTGTAGAATTAAATTCTACAGTTCTCATACCGTCTCTCATTGAATTTTGTCCTTGTGAGACCTCTAGAAGCTTTAAATCGCAATAAATACAAAAAGTTAAACCGATTTACCGAGTCTTGTTTGAGTATATACAACTTACCGTAATTCGTAACATCCTGCGTAAATGCAAACAACTCTCACTTTTCCATTTAGAGTGTCTTTGTTAAGTTGACGTGGAGTGACGTGCTGGCTGTCTTGAAGACTATCATTGGTTGGTGAACGGTCAGTCTTTCTAGGTTCGATATGCTTGAGAACAGTTTAAAACACCCGGAGCAGTGACCGAGTAGCTTTAAACGATGCCAAAATCTGATTTTAAGCGCAGCGCTCTCTCATTTCTTAGAAGTAGTTCAAATCGAAGAAGTTCTGCCGTTTCAGAAGAGGAACACGGTTCTGTAACCTTTCTTCCATCGGGACCTTGGAATAAATCAGGTATGGAGGAGAAAGATTGAAAATGAACTTGAACATTTCCAAACGATTTGTTTTCTTTTTTCTGCTCCTTCGTCACTTGTGAGACTTCGACGATTTTGCGCGTACTGAACACTTTGATATAGCAAAAACTCGCAAGGCCTACCTCAAGTAATGGCTGCGTGTAAATCGTATCGAGCAACTTATTTGTACAAATTACCTGCATCGGTTGTTTGTTATGTTCCGATTTTTATGATGTATTTCACTCTGGTCAGATATTTTAATATGACCAAGCGGAACAATTATTTATTCATCTGTTGCAGTTAGTCGCCCAGATGAAGTTAGCAGTCGAAATCACCTTCAGAAACCATATTTTTTCTGCGCAGTAATACCAATTTTAATAGATGTACCTCATAATGAGAACTTAGGGTTCTTAACAATGTAAGCACGATCTCCCTAGCGCGTTATTTGCAACTTCGAGTCGCAAATTGTATTGACGTAGTGGTTGTTGGATTTTCAAATTTTTTCTCTGCTATGAACCAAATTGTTTTAACAAGTGAACAAACAATTTAAAAGGACAAAGGAAAATTGACACCCGGTGCAAGCCTTGTAACGCATCAGCAACCTCGCCTCTTCCCTCTCTTCCCATGGTTTACAAACCTGTCCACTTACCCATGCCTGCTGAGATTAGAATTACGTAATGATTAATAATCGTTGTACCGTTGATAAACAAATATAGTTTACTTATCGTAGGCTGGAAATGACAATTATTGATAACTGGTTGATCAAGTCTCAGTTAAGAATTTCGTATGGTATTTCGAGCAAATTTTGTCAAGGAAAATTCATATACAGTGGAAATGTATCGGCGGTGAGCAGGTAGTGAGGTTTTTCAAATGAGTTTCTTAACAAAGACTGTCTGATTGGAAATGATTGGTCAATTCGCTGTCACATTAACAGCAATTGTTACCTTCTGGAAACCTGAGACCTGGTTTCTTGCCTGACATTCCTTTCACACGGGCAAAGACAGAAATTAACAGATTCCCTCAAAGAATTTGTGATTTCTTGTCTGAAATCAGCAAGTGATGGCTGGAATACGTGACAGGACAGAGAGCAAAATCAAATATGAGCCTGCAAGTAAGTTGAACATTAAGGTTACCCTCGCCATCATTGTTTGGAAGCACCAGGGATCGTCCCCCAAATTGGACGCAGAACGGTTGTTAACAATTCTTTATCTTGGCGGTACCCTTTTAGCATTTTTAACTTAAATCTCATCTTAACTGATTTGAATGTGAATATTTTAGCAGCGCTCTTACTTTCGTCTTTGTTGTTTGACGACAGAGAAATGAAGTACTTTTTTTAAGTTGTAATTGGACTCTGAACTTAATCAAACGCCGTGTTTGACGTAGCCTATTACTAAATGTTTGTACATAAAATTAAGTGTACAGCTTGCGCACTCAGGACGGGCTGGTGTTGGTATTACCTAGAACAGAGTGACAATCTTCCTGGAAAGATTCCGCAATTCAGTGCTTTCTTGATCATTCACATGTGTGTGTTGTCCTCGATTTTGCAGCAGCAGTAGGTGTTTTTGGCCGTGTCAAATGTCAATACGACATTTCTATGCAGACGAAATACAGCCCGGATTCTTTTTACTTTTACACTAGATACCATGTTTTCGACACGAACTAAACTGCTGTGTGATTTTCACCACCCAAGTCTGTTCCGGTAATTTGACTTAAAGGTTGTTCATTTCAGTTTGAATGCCTAGCAACCTTGTCATTATAGGGGTCAAAATGTCGGACGGGATACTCAAATTTTATCTCTCAAGTTCACAATAAAATATCGTTTGCTTTAGTCTTGAATGAAATAGCCGCTGATTGATTTGGCACCAGGTCTAAAGGGAAAAAAGTTATTTTCTAAAGTTTGTGAGCTGTCGATTCTAAATAGTTTTACCGGATATATGTTTTACTGTATACGTTAGCTTGTATAATATTGAAACTCTGTCAAAGACCTAAAAGCCAAGTCAAAATACGAGTTGACCTTAGAATCTCTTAAAAACTGAAAAGTGCCATCAGTTTGTTTTCTCTTTTGTGACGATTTCAACGCTCTTATCGCTGTATTTTCGCTTTGGTCTGGTAAACTTCAGGTTGCTTGCAAGTAAACAAACAGGCAGTGATTGTTTCCGTCCCGGTACCGGGTGGCACAACATATTGGCTAATAATATGTAATTGTGCGACATTTTTAACCAGCTTATCTGTGACATATCATTGCACAAACATGTTTTTGATCTCAGTTTCATGTGGTTGCCAGTGGGTTACAAGAAAGTGAATACGAAACCTCTTTTTTTCTAGTTTACCTTTTGATCAAAAATAACTCTTCGGGGGGCAATCATGCAGGACGTACTTTCAAAAAGCACCAGAGAAATGGAGACATACCAGTCTTGAATTACCGTCAGGCGGTACGCTTTACCACCTTCATCTTTGTAACATGATTTTTTTTAGTAAGATTAGTAACTTTTTCACTGACAGAAGTGGATAAGGTCAAAATCTACTTTTGTTGAAAAAGAATAGACACTCTGGCGACAGAGAAATTCCACCCTCCCTTCCAGGAGTGTCTAAGAGCTTGCAAGGTACACAAGATTATCTTATTAGGAGGTTCAAGAATAAACTTCGTTCCTATTTCTCCTGCTCTGATTGGTAACATTTATCGCTCCGGAAGACGACTAAGAAAGGACCTTCCACTTAGAGCTCCTTATCAGGACAAGACTTGTATTTGTTGCACTCAGACTTTTTGAGAATTTTTCGATGAAGACGTGCAAGCATCGTTCCAAACTGAGCGGCGATGCCCGTGCGTTTCGAACCACGAACCGCGTTTCGAAGCGCGCGTTTCGCGCGCTCGCTTTGCGTGTAGGCCTCGCCGCTCTTGTTGCAACAATCAGGAGCTTGTCATAGCGCATTAGCGCATTAGATCATATCCACATGTATTTTGCGCTATATAAGTAATAAATTATTATTAATTATTATAGCTTGCGATCCCGGAGGAGCGTTACGCAATGAAAGCTCGTCCCCAGTTTCCTTGGCGAATGAAAGAGCTCTCGTGGCTAGTAGATTCCGCCTGCACCGGCTCCGTAAACCAATGCAACCATTGACATTCCTCCCTTCCATTTTTTAGCTGAAGAAGATGCTGAACATGCTGGCAATTGCTGCACCAAAGCAAAGGTATGATTTTTGTTCTTAAATTTTCTTAACTTTCCATCCGAGTTTTTCCTCCCTTATAATGCCATATCGCAGTTAGATCTCAGTCAGCGAGAGAATCGCACACTTTTGATCAGAGTTTTTTTTTTTTTTTTTTTTTTAACCAGTCGCTCATCCCTTTCTGTTTCCCTATAGAACTGGTTCATCAGCTTTCCAAAAGCAACTTGGCCCATTCTCTTGACAGAATTTGGGGAGCGTTTTTCGTATTATGGCATCAAAAGTAAGTAACCTGTTACCGCATAGACGAAATATACAAGTTTAACTAACCGCGTATAGTATACACAGGTATCTTGCATTGTTAATCGTTTAACAATTTCCTTTACAGCGGTACTTGTGTTGTATCTGACTAAAGACCTCATGTTTAATAAGGCCAATGGCAAGAGCATTTATCACGCATTTAGTATGACAAGTTACTTTACGGGAGTTATCGGCGCCATGATAGCAGACAGCTGGCTTGGAAAATATCGGTGGGTGCAAAAGAAATCGTTTTACTCGGTTCAGCTTAACTCTAAAGGTTCATGCGGATGATGAAGTCTACTTTTTAAGCAAACTCTGAGGCTAATCACACAATCGAAATTTGTTTGTTTGTTTTTGTTTTTTCTATAGAACCATCGCCTACACACTGTTCCTGTATTCCATTTCGGAGATCCTTCTCACATTGACAAGTGTTGACACTATTGGTCAGCGGAATTCGTAAGTACCCTAAAGATACAACATATACTCACTTGATCTCCTTCAGCTTCTCCGTTTCGCTAATTTTTCGATCAGTTTGGCGCTATTTTTTTTCTTCCTTTCGTTTTAATTTGCTTCATGTTGCCTTTGCACACCTATTTGTCCTTCCATATTTTTATTCTGGTTTTTTTTTTTTTTCTTTCTTTAGAGTGGGACCTTTAATTTCATTGTTCGCTATGGCTATTGCTTGTGGTAACATCAAACCTTGTCTTGCCGCTTTTGGTGGAGATCAATTCCGTAAAGATCAGGTTAGTTCATTTATTATCTTTACAAGGCCAATGAGACAAACTCGTAACTCTTGCTGATTAAAAGTGTAGTCACCTTAAAATGCAAATTCTCTCTCTATTACTTTGCGTTCGTGTTCCGACTAGCGCAGAGAGCTTAGACATAAATCGAGAATTATACTTGACTCCCTCGGGTTCCCCGGCAATTGACAGACGTCAAGTTTGATTTCTTTAAATCTCATTGGTTCGTGACGATCACGCTTGCCGTGACTGAACCCTTTGTAACCACATGAAGACGCCCAATGCAGAGGCAGATCAAGAGGGGGAGGGTTCGGTTCGTCTTGATGCCCCCTCCCCCCTCCCCCCTTTCACATTTTTCTTTGTTTGACACCAATATTCTTGCAACGACAAGATACCATGTTATACTACCTAATGTAAAGTATGTAAAATCTACTTGTCTTAAGATAGTTCTCGGCGTATTTAGGCCTAAGTGCAACGAAAAATATCTGTGCTTTCTGGATCAAAGTATTGACTCCTCCCCTCTCAATAAAAAATTCCTGGATCCGCCCCTGGATTTAAGGAATGCGGGTCTCTATTTGGGGGAAAAAAGCCTTCTCAAGGCCTGATACAGAGAGACTTGACGTGAATACTAAGCTTATTTAATTTCAATAGGAACACATGCTAGAACTCTTCTTTGCGATGTTTTACGCGTCCGTCAACGTTGGCGCGGTACTCTGCATGTGGTTCATTCCCATGGTGCGAAGTGAGTAATATATTTGTTTAGCTTGCTTGTTTGTTTGTTTACTTTTGTTTACTTTCTGTTTCCTCTTAAAGGCGGACGAAAAAGCCATATCATTGCTTATTCTTGCTACCTTACGGTGAAACAGAAAAAAAAAAAAAAAAAAAAAAAGAACAACCTGAAACAATTCTTGTCTTACTTGTTTTTTTCCAGCTGATGTGCAGTGTTTTGGACGGGACTGTTATCCAGTAGTGTTTGCGATAAACACAGTTCTCATCATCACTGCAACACGTAAGTGTATAAACGGGACTGGCATTTACGCTCCTCAGGCTTTTGCTAATGGACATAATCGTGTCAGATTCAACATAAAAAGATAGACTGGACGTGGTGGTGTTGAAAGGCGAGCCGCGTAAATGAGTACAGGCCAAAAAGAAATGAATTGTCTCTTAAGGTTGATAGTCTCGATATAAAAGCTAAACTTAATCTCTTGTTTTCGATCACTTCTGAACTACACAAAATAAATCGTGGCGCATTTCTCAATATTTTGGTGCGAAAAGGATGTTGTCTTAAAATCTCGAGTACCATTTGTGCTATCTCTCGATATTCTCACCTGTTACGAGCTTCTGGCAAGCGCGTGAGCAGTCAAGGTCATTAGATCCTCAAGGTCAATGAAACAAAGCAAGGGCCAAAAGATAAAAAAAGCCGGCATCAACAAATAAAGAAAAAGATCCTTCATAGCATCTTAAGGATATCAGTTATTTAAGTTGACGTCGCTTTCAGCTCATACTGCTTTTCATAGACTTTCAAAATTATGTAGAGTATCTTTACACAAAAAGCAAGAGTTTGAAATATTTACCGTTTCTGAGCGGAAATGCATAATATTTTGCTTCATACGTTTCTCTCTCTGTAGTTTCTCTTGTGGCCGGAAAAAGGCTTTACACGCTGAAAGATCCAGCTGGAAACGTCATGATCCGTGTTTTTAAAATTATATGGGTGAGATGAAGATTTCTTGTTTTTCAGCTTCCTTTTCCAGCTTGAACCGTGAGACAATTTTAACATTGCATTATCTTACACAAGGACGCAGAAAAAAATTTAAGAGTTTTTGGTCAAGATTTCAGTTACAACGAGTTTCGCATTTCGGGATAAAAGGAGAGATAGACAGCCAAAAACATCTTAACCTTTAACTCCCAAGATTTAATTGTTATTTCTCTCCTCTTGCCTCTACACATTTCCTAGAAAATACGTTACGAGAATTTGGTGTCAAATCAAGATAACAACGTCTACCTGATAAGTTTGAGTATTCTCAATACCTGCTTGCGGGATAATGTATGGTTGTTATAGGGAAAAGCCAATTTAGATCAGGGAAGAACAGCTTTGGCACTTTAGCTGAGCTCAACTGTATTAAAACTATATGACGCTGACGCCTTTTCACTCTGTGCTCGAAACAAAAGCCTTTTTGCAAGCCTGAAAATCTCTTGAAAGAAAGACAAACAAGCTTTGTCAAATTTATTTTCACAGCACGCTTTATCAAACAAATTCAGTAGCTCCGGGCCTACGCAAGTTACCCATTGGTTGGACAACGCTAATGATGAGTACGAGGTAAATCATACTTGTTTGTTGTTTTTATTTTATGATTCAATCTATTTCTTTCATTCCTGCCCTTTTGCGACATTCAGGCTGACTGATTTGAACTCTTTTTTAGCTTTCTGAAAATTAGGAGATCTTCTGTATTTCCCATCTCATCCCCCTTGTCGTTTTTACTTGCGAAGCACGAGCCCTTAAATTTTCCATCTCCTACTTTCTCGCTGCACAGTATCTTGGTTTCAATGGAGGAGAGAAGAGGTACAAGATGTCACTTGTATGTCGAGAGCTTTTAATCCTCTTTCTACCCTTGGTAATATAGAAATCGTCTCTCACATTACATCCCCAAAATGCGAATCATAAGGACTAATATTTTTCTGATCTTCTTTTAGAGGGTCATTTTAAGTTTGGAGATAATAAAGAATAATTTCAGGCGTTCAAATTTGCTCTTGTACATTTTAGTTGTAATAAATGTTATATTTCTTTATTTCAGCAAAAGGAAATTAACGACATCAAATTGTTACTCCGTGTGCTGAAGATGTACATCCCTCTTCCGGTGTTTTGGGCGCTTTTCCATCAACAGGTAAATTTTCAGCTTCGTGAGTGTTATCAAGGCCATTAAATTTCTCCATTTGATTGCGAAGATTTTTATTTCACGGCTCCTGAGAAAAACAGGATGGAAGATAAATTACGAGCGGTCCTCTTTCCTAACTTAATTCATCGGGCGGGCAAAAAATATATTTCTGTTTGCTCAAGTGGAATGGATGGGAAAGGTGGAAAATTCTTATTGAATAGGATTATGTACTTGCGTTTTCTATCGAGAGGTGTTGTACAATTTCTGCGATTGTTTCTTTTTATAATTAGGGATCAAGTTGGACTCTTCAAGCAGAGCAGATGGATGGTGATTTGGTAAGATTTAGTTGAAATCTGCAGATATAAAGGCAACGGAGGTGTTTTAGGCATGCTGCATGTGATTGACACTGACTAATCATGGGGTAGGTGGATAGTGAGCTGAGGCTTGCGCGAAGTACGAGTCACGCGCGAGAGAAGGAGGAAAGTGTCTGGCCCTTTGCGCACGCCTAGTGCATGCATGCGCTCGACAGGAGACGGCAAAAGGTGATGCTTCGTTGGCAGGCTACTAACTTTTGCCCATTTTTTTTTGCTAGGGTGGTTTCACGTTACGATCAGATCAAATCCAAGTAAGTAAATCGCTCTCTTTCTCTGCCTTATTTCTTTTTTAATACTCTTAGATATCTGGATGAAGTCTTCCAAAACAACTTGTTTTTCTATTATTTTAGGCGCTGAATCCAATCCTTGTTCTGATCCTTATTCCTCTCTATGATGGCGTTATTTACCCTATGTTCGAGCGCTGCCAAATGCCTCTCAGGTAATGTTATGTTCGGGTATTTAGTTCACCTAGTCCTGATAGTAGCTACACTGTCCCCCTTCAGTAAGGCCTTGGAGCGAGTCATCTATAGTTAAATACCTTGATAAGCATGATGTATCATTTAAGTACTAGTTTGGCTTTAGGAAAAGTCATTCCATTGAGCAAGCGATTATGGAGATCACTAATAATCTGAAGGCCTCTACTGAAAATAATTTTATATCTTGTGGCCTCTTCCTAGACTTCTCAAGAGCATTTGATACAATAAATTATCAAATATTGCTAGACAAACTCTGTAAATATGGTGCCCGTGGTAGGCCGCATGATTGGTTTGTAAGTTATCTCCAAGATCGCAATCAATTTGCTCAAATTGGAGATGAAAAGTCAAGTTTATTAGAGATGACTTGTAGTGCACCACAAGGATCTACTTTAGTCCCCTTATTATTTTTAATTTACATCAATGGCATTGCCAATTCATCTGACAAATTGTCCTTTCGCCTTTTTGACGACGATGCTAATATTTTCTGTGCTTCAGATGACATAAATGATATTGAATCAGTTATAAATTGTGAAATGACCAGAGTTCTCAATTATTATTCCAGAAATAAACTATCAGTAAACATGAAAAAACTAACTTCATATTAATCATAACCTCACCACGTAAAAAGTTACTCCTATAAATATTATAAATTTTGAGCAGAAGACTTGCATTAAGTACCTTAGTGTTTATATAGATCAACACTTCAATTTACCTGTGTTAAAAGCAACTTTATTATACACTGATATACCCTTATTTAAATTATGCAGTTTAATGTGGGGAAATACTTATCCATCAAATCTAAACAAGTTATGTTCTCTTCAAAATAAACGCATTCGTTGTATGTTTTTTGCTGATAGTCGAGAGTCATCCCAAGTTTTCTATAAACTTCTTGATATTCTTAAATTTGACAATATTGTTTAACTAAGTAAATGCGTACTCGCACATAAGATATTTAACAACTCTTCCAGTATTCCTTCACGGTTTTATGATTTTCTCAGAACAGTCTCTGGCCTACACAAGTATAACACCAGATACACCTCCAAGGGTAATTTTCATTGACTAAAAGTAAGAACCAACTTTGGCAAATTTACCTTTGTATATGTAGCCTCTAAATTATGGGAAACGGTACCAACAAACTTGAAACGGCTCTCTATTAATTGTTTTAAAAAGCGGTATAAAAATCATCTCCTCAAATATCAGTCATAGTTCTGAATTCCCCACTAAAATTCAATTTTTAATCATAATCATAAAGCCTAGCCTTTTAAAGCTTATGGCTTTCCCTTCCCTATTTTTACAAGTATTTTGTCATATTTCAGTGCTCTGAAAAAGATGACTGGTGGTCTAGTACTTGCTGCAGCAGCATTTGTTGTCTGTGCTTTTGTCCAAATTCAGATTCAGGTAACTATCTTATCTTTGTTTCTCCGTCCTTTGGTTTTCTTGCGGTCCAATTCGTTTCACTTCACTTCACTTTGCCTTACCCCTTTTTTTCGCATTGAATGAGGTACGTGCCCCTGGCTCCTGTGCTGTAAAGAGAAGATAAAAGGAAACTTAAGCACCAACGTATTTAGCCCTTGAGACCCTAACATCAGCATGTGTATTATCCATACTGTTTTTTATATATTTCCTATGGTGATGACGAGAAGATCATTTCTTTAATTTCATAAACCTAATTTTTGATCCAGCATTGGTACCTTAGTTAGAAATTTGATGCTAGTCACCCTCAGGGGTTTACACGCGAACGGTGCCCGGAAGGAAGACTTGACGTGCTTTAAAATAAATCAATCATCTAGAAAAACTTATTTTTCAACATTTGAGATCAAACATTACAGATTAAAGAGCGGTTGTAGCCCCTCCCCAACCCCCCACCCCCCCCCCCCCCCCCCCCCCCCCCGAAAAAAAAAAAAAAAGAAAAGAAATTCTCGACCTCCGGCTGCCGATAAAGTTTCAAACACGTCTGTATATATGATCAATTATGTATTATTTTCGATGAAATTGTTGCTATTGTTGTTGTTGTTCAGACCATCGGTGAAGGTCCAGCCGCACCAGGGGTAGGAAAAACCACTATGGAGTTCATTAACAGTGCCCCATGTCCAGTCTCTATCGACCGCGAGTCTTTCTTCAGGGTGAATCTGAAATACGGAGAGGTAATTATTATGCGGTTATGTTTCATCTTGGCATTGGGAAAGAAAAACATAGGTGACGTGTCATATCGAAAGTTGTTTGTGAGCATAATTGACAAATAGATTCGTGTTGCTGTGCGCATGATCAATGATAGAGCACTGATGATGTCGAAATGTGGTAAAAACAAAATAGTGGCATACAAGACGCAGCCGAGTGCGTCACTAACGTTCTTACCACACTTTTACGTCTTCTAAGATCTATTACTGGACAGGCGCAAGGCAACACAAAATCTGCCTGTTAACCCTTTACACCCTAACATCAGTATGCAGATTCTCCATACAGTTCTCTATACATTTCTTAAGAGGCTGATAAGGAGAATTTGTGTAACAATCAAGGGCTGCTTTAGTTGGTGATCATCTTCTCTATTCTCATAACTTTCCTGTTTGATTCAGGAATGATGTAGGAAGGAGAAATGAGATGCTAGTCACTCTAAGGGGCTAAAGGGTTTTACGCAAAAAGAAGCAAAATCTATGATGGTGACGTCATCTATGCGTCCGTCCTCCAATATCTCATAAGTAAGAACCAATCAAAATGCCTGTATAATCCATGTAAGAGCGCTTTCAGATCTAATATTTAAAGTCTCATGAGAGTTTTCATTTTTTGTCAACTTCTACTTTCCTTTTTGTTCTCTTCACGGTCTAATTCAAAATCCAGCGATCAGACGTTTTCGTTGGTCAGGCCGGCCTCATGAACTTTACAGTAACTGCTCAGGGTAACGGATGCAACGTGAAAGAGAAGCGAGCTAGTTTACAATTGGATGACAAGAAAGTCTTTAGCGCCGTAGTAGAAATCGCCAAGGATGAATTTGTTTTGAACAAGGTAGGGTCAAATTTTTTGTTTTCCATGGAAATTCAGTTTATGGAAGAAATAGGGCCAAACTGTTCTAAGATTTTTAAACCAGTCGCACCTAATAGGGCGTGGCTCTCGAAAGACTATTACCCCTTGATCAAGAAAACTGGGAAGGTTCGAAACCCTTTCGAGAAATTGAGAGAGATCGAGATTCTGCCATTTCATCGACAGTTTCTTGAATTATTTCGCAGCCATCGTAAGTTTTAACTGATCGAGGTTAAAAGGCAGTAATAAATCAATTGTAGCTTGAACTGGCATCGTCGTCTTGATAAGAAATTTCACGGAAAGTTTTGTTCATTATCCTAACTAACAAAGTTATGTTTTTCCTCAGTATCCCATTAAACTTCCAGATATTGATATAAACAAAGCTGAAACCCGTGTTAGGTGAGTCATACTTGTTTGTTGTTGCCGTTGTTTCTCATTAAAAAAAAGGATCTACATCAGTCGCAGAACAACCCGATTCAGCTGATACAACTTGTGGAAAGTAATCCGGGGTTGCATTGGTTTCATATTACTTTGCTCTCGCGCACTTACATTCTAAACCAATCAGGTTAGCAGTTGTGATTATGTCCGTTATGGCTTAAAAGCAGTTTATTGAAATGCGTGCAATAATACGATTGACATTGCACGCGCACAGTCTGAACAAAACTTTTAAACATATTATTACCGGGGTGTCTATTGGAGTATCCAACGTTACATATGCTTATCCTGGTGGGCAACTTTATGTATTAATGTGCACTTACTTCTTTTCTCTCAGGGTGATTTACTCTGGTGCGGCTAATCTTCCCGAGAGGGTGGATGTGGAATTCAAGTCCATTTTGAGCAAAGTCGAACCGACCGTTTTGAAGAACATTGGAATTGAGAACTCATCGTACAGTCTCATAGCAACTGGAGAGTGAGTGTAGGATTTCACGCCAGGTTTTCTGACCTCAATTTAGCGCCACACTCGAAATTTTATTTGTCCAGTCCTGTCTGCCCCTTTAAAAGCGCGTCTCCTCCCTGAAGCGCGTTGCGTGTTGTGTTTTGCGAGTGTGTCCCGTTAACCATCACGCATGACACAATCCAGTTTGTACCTCTCAGCCCATCAAGGAATGACGCTGAAAGCTTTAAGAATGGAAGTAAACATAGAGAGTAAGCGAATGTAAGTGACAAAAGGATGACACGTGGCAGAATTACTGATACAAAAAGTGGTCCTTAATTCTAACAAGTTATTCAAAACTTGATTACAAGTGTTGAATAACTAATTGCAAGGAAGGAGAGACATAGGTTCTTGGAAGCTTTCAAGTGGTGGTTGTTAAAAATTTCCTTTGGCGATTTGTTTTGTTACACTACTGATAACTTTTCCTTTCTTTTGATCTTCAATTTTCTATCACTGTAGGTACTACATAAATACTATCATGCATGCAACGAATGGCGCAAAGTTTCACTCCAAGGTGAGTGCCAATGTTAGGAGATGGACGCATTAGAATGCATAACATTATCAGTTTTACAATAGAACTAGTTATTTGTATTTCAATAAATCACCTCATTGGTGGATATTATGAAAAAAGAACCAATCGCGACTTCAGAGGGGCAAACGGATAACCGAAGAGAGTGTGGAAAAGTGAAATGATTTAAATAGTTCGTTCGGAGAGTCCTAAGAAGGATAACGCTGACCATCAAATGAAAACGTGGTGCACCATTGAACTGGATAGAGCTCGTGAAAATACCTTACAAACTTGCATCGAGTGTTTTATTACAAAAGATAATGTCTTTCAGCTTAATGCGTTTCAGAATGAGAAAATCTTTGGAGAATCTTCCTCCCCGCGCCGTTTCTTTTTCGTATTGGGAGCGTTTACATCGCGTACATTTATTGCCTTGCAACCCAAAAAGCTTTATCAACATATTTAGAGAGTAATCGTCTCTAATATTTTCTTGACTGATTTCTCTCTTTTTCTTAACTTTTGCCATTCTAGGAACAAAATAGGAAAATCAAATTTGGCAACTTTGGTGGTTATACTGTGGTCATTCGCCCGCCTGAAGGAGATTATAACTCAACCCAGGTAAACATTGGGTACCTTGTGCCATCTACTTTGTATTTTGTGCATGTAACAATACATCTAAGCATGTAACAATTCATCTATTTTGAATCTTTGAAACATGTGAATACATTATTCCACCCTTATTTGTTCTATTTTGTCAGTTTGATACTTCAATGTACGAGGATGCCCCAGGCACAACTGTGTCTCGACTGCTCCAAGTTCCACAGTATGTCGTGCTGACAGCATCTGAAGTCATGTTCTCTGTGACTGGTTTGGGTTTTGCTTACTCTCAGGTGACCAGGTTACTTCATATCCATCCGCCCACCAACGAGTAGGCTCTTATTCGCGTTGTGACGTTAGTGGGACTGGTTGCGAGATTTGCGCCAGCGCATGCAGCGAGCGCACAGGAGGTTTGAAAGGAGCCTGGCACAAAAAAAGGGAATCAGAACCCTTTCATTCCTCTCGCACGCTCGGATTGCCCGCCGGCTCGAATTCCGCGAGCATCGCCATTCGTGTCGAAGCGTTACTGAGAGCCTGCTCGTAGCTTATATGAAAGTTCATTGTCGGATCGTGCGTGTTCATAAAAATCTTGCAAAGAGGCGAAAAAGTCTGGACACGAGCACTAGAGAAAAGCGTGAAGGAGTGGGGAAGGTGTTGTTTCCCCTTTCGATTGTAAGGGTTAGATAGGATTTTTTTTCTGAGTGGGAAACATAGTATTTTTGTGTCTTGATTATTAAGGGGATAGACAGGATATTGTGACAAAGAGATCATTTTGGCATTTTTGGTTGTTCTACTCTCAATATTTGTGTTGACAAAGAGGAGGGTCACATAACCAGGGTACCTCAAGAAAGCTAGGTCTTATGCTCATGGCTGATCAATGCTCGTCTCCGTGTTTCAGGCTCCCGCCAGCATGAAGTCAGTATTGCAGTCTTTCTGGCTTCTAACAGTTGCTTTTGGTGACCTCATTGTAGTTATCTTGGCTTCCGTTTTACCAGCAATAGGCGTGGTGAGTTATGTAATCATGAAACACGAATTGATTATGGTATAGCAATTCTTGCCTTGATCAAATGCATGTGTTTAACCCTTAAACCCGCAAGAGTCCGAGTGTCATCAAATCTGGATCAACTCACTAATGACAAAGGCCAATCAGAGGCAAGGCACATGAGAAGAAAGGAATTATTAAGACTCCAAGTAAAAACACATAGCGCGTCTTGTGCGCGGGAAAACGCACGTGGTTAAGTCGTGAATGGTATTGGTTTTGCATCTGATTGGTTAAAAAATGGGTCTCGAGTTTTGTGGACCAATCACATAAGTTAGTTAATCAAAACCAATGAAATGTCGGATTTTTTGGACACTCAACTGAAAATTGCTCTTGCGAGTCTCGAATTCTCTTTACAAAGAGGCGAATTGGTTGTAAATAACAACTTTTCTTTTCTGTAGGAAAGGGAAATGTTTTTGTATGGAGGTCTTATGGGCGTGATCGCCATCGTGTTTGGCATCATGTCTTACTTCTATAAATACGTGACCCCTGAGGAATTGGGAGAAAACGAGAGAAATGAAGAAAAAGAGAATCTGGAAATAAACGGAATCGCTCTTGAGGATCGTCACTCTGGCGACAACACCAAAGTCTAACATGGTTTGCTTTTTGAGGCATACAGACGTTCTCTTTCTCCCTGTATACTGAAGTGCTTTGGAGCTTTATCGCGGTTTGTTCACCTCCAGGTTCGCCACTTGCAGCCCATCATCAGTCATACGCCTTTTGCACTTTTCTTCCCGTGCAAGTTGATATTTCTAATGTGTTCTCCTTCAAACTGAAGTTAATTTTCCTCTGCACAAAAATTGAATTTAAAAAAACGTGATGAGCAGATTTTTAGATGATTCTGGAGCTTTTTAAAGTCGTAGTTAAAGACAAAATATCAGAAAAAAATAGTTGCAGATGTCAATATTTATATCTTGTCTATATTCAAAGTACTTGTATTGAAGAGTATTTGTTTTTCATAAAAAGAACGTGATGAGCAGATTATTAGATGATTCTAGAGCTTTTTAAAGTCGTAGTAAAAGACAAAATATTAACAAAAAAAAGTTGCAGATGTCTGTTTTTACAACTTGTTTACATTCAAAGTATTTGTGTTGAAGAGTATTTGTTTTCCTTAAAAAAACGTGATGAGCAGATTTTTAGATGATTTTGGGACTTTTTAAAGTCGTAGTTAAAGACAAAATATAAAAAAAAAGGTTGCGGATGTCTGTTTTTATATCTTGTTTACATTCACAGTATCTGTATTGAAGAGTTTTTTTTTCCTTAAAAAAAAGTGATGAGCAGATTTTTGGATGATTCTGAGGCTTTTTAAAGTCGCAGTTAAAGACAAAATATAAAAAAAAGGTTGCAGTTGTCTGTTTTTATATCTTGTTTACATTGAAAGTTTCTGTAATGAAGAGTATTTTTTTCCCCTTACTTTGGAACAATAATTTTTTCATGAACGTGATGAGCAGATTTTTAAACGATTCTGGAGCTTTATAAAGTCGTAGTAAAAGACAAAATATCAGAAAAAATAGTTACAGATGTCTTTTTTTATATCTTGTTTACATTCAATGTATCTGTATTGAAGAGTATTTTGTTACTTTCTTTTTGAACAATAATTTTTTCGTGAACACGTTACTTCCTCTGAAGATCGTCTTTTTGTCCGAAAATAATCTAAATAATTATTTTTTCATGAACACTTCACTTCCTATGTATGACCGTCATTTTGTACAGAATAATCTGGACAATCATTTTCGCCTCCAAATCCTTGAAAGAAGAGAGCGGTTACCTCGTTACCAGGGTCTCTCTTCATTTAGAAGTGGAGCGACCTGGTTACAAGGTTTCACGTGATAGGGGATAACAGTTTTAATTGGCGGTTTGTATTGAGACTAGTGCCAAGTGTTCCTGTTTTTGACGAGGCTCTGTTGCGTTTCCCGCTGAACACCCCTCCATTTGAATGCACATACCTTCGAAGAAGCAAGCTATTTTCAATTCTAATTTTATATTATTTTGTAACTTTAAGAAGTTGACGATTTTTAATGAATTTTCTGGAGAGGGGGCTCTTCGTGAAATCAATTATTTTTCTTTTTTTTTTCAGTGTTCTTTTTATTTGTGCTTAATATTACCATTGCGTTATTGAACTATTTTAGGAATGTGTAATGTATGTCAAGAACTACAGCTGCTTGAACCATTTTCTCTACCATTTTTTAGATTTTATTCGTTTATGTCGTTCATTTAATTCACTGACTTCTGAAATATATATTAAGTAGCTATGATAAAAAAGCATGGTTGAAGAATATTATTTTTTTTAATACAGTTTTGAGAAAAATACCTGATGTATGAAGTTTTGTAGTAGAACAAAATTTTGAAAAGTAGCGTTGAGATTTAATTGCCACAATCAATTCCCATTTTTTCAAGAAATATTAAGCTATTTTCGGATTTATTATTTGCTTATTACGGAGTGACCACTTTTTAGTGCCTAAATTGTGTTAATTTTCATGCCATAGCTTCAATTTTTAACTTTATTTTTTAATTTCAGTTTTCGTAATAATATTTTATACTTTTCTACTATATATTTTTACGGAGTGACCACTTTTTAGTGCCTAAATTGTGTTAATTTTCATGCCATAGCTTCAATTTTTAACTTTATTTTTTAATTTCAGTTTTCGTAATAATATTTTATACTTTTCTACTTTTACATTATATATATTTTTACAGAGTGACCACTTTTTAGCTCCCAAGTTGTGTTAATTTTTATACCATAGACCATAAACCATATTTTATACCATTTTTATTTCAGTTTTCGTAATAACATTTTATACTTTTCTGCTTTTACATTATATATATTTTTAGAGTGACCACTATTTAGTGCCCAAATTGTGTTAATTTTTATACCGTAGCTTAAATTTGTTACTTTATTTTTTATTTCAGTTTTCGTAGTAAAATTTTTATACTTTTATACTTTTTTACATTATATAAATTTTTACATTTTGATATAATTTCTTTCGTCAATAAATGGTTGATTTGTTTATCATTGGTTTTTCTTTTGAGGTCTGGCGCTTTTTTGAGCTCGAGACTGGAATACCGCGAAATTCGACTCTAAGATCTTCTTTTCCGTATTTGCATTGGACAGACATCCGATCTCCGCGGGTTTTTTTAATCTTCATTTTACGTTAAAATATTTTTTTATTTATTTACTCAACTTTAATTATACAGATCTTAACATACAAATTGTAGATAAATTAACAATTAAAATAAATAAAAATAAAAAAAAAATCACAAGATCTGAATAATTGGGTCAGTTTATACAGAATACGAGGATTCTTTATAAAAATAAACTTCCTCAATTAAAAAACATATATATATATATATATAATTATACAAGTTTGCTCATGACAATATATTATTAATCAATTATAAAAATCTATCTTTATCACCTTAAATTTATTACGATAAAATTTATTAATACTGTTCTTAAATGACGAGAAATGTTCAAATGTTCTGATATCTTGTGGTAGTGATATCTATTTATCTACCCTACGTGTATTAGAAGTTGTCTTGCGCAGGTAAATGCAGTGGGGATCCTGTGGCGGCATTATGTCGGCTACAGGGCTTGCCTCTACATTTTAAATTGATATTTATTCTGGCTCTGACCTGAGATTATATCTGTTTGCGTTTGGATTATCTCAGCTAACCACGACTTCAAAAGGTCAAGTGAAATTACACGAAATCTTCATTTGTTTTTCTATTTGTTCTGACTGTTTTCATTTGTCCTTGATAATTGTTTTCCCGATCATCTTGCGCGCTCATTGCCGGCACATTAGGGTTTATTGAACCGAAAATCACAAAGACAGTTTGGTAAGGTGCGCCATTCACCTTGATTGGTTCAGCGGTTAAATAGCAAACGTGCTAAACAAGCAGAGGATAAAAGTTACTGATCTAAACAAATCATATGAGAAAGGCCGAGAATATTTTAGCGGAAATCATTTAGTTTCAAAACTTGCTGTTCCTTGATCGAAAGGGTCACTGTTACGCTGCGCCCTGTAGTACAGATAATACCGCAAATTTTGATTCTGCGAAAAGGTATTAGGTATGAGATTGGTGTCAGCGAAAGATAGGCGTAAAACGTTGATCCTTGCAGCCGCCGTTATTGTGGTCGGAATCGCTTTCCTTATCGCAGGGATAATCTTGCTCGTCAAAAAAAATGGCTCTCATTGTAAAGCACAGTACGAAACTAGTGCTTTACACAAGAGGCGTGTACAAAGATGCGATTATTCAGAAGAAGCCAAACGACATGGACTTGAAGCTTTTTTGCAAAAAGTGCAAGACAAAACTTTTGACGTGCAACCGTTTTTAATTTCACTTAAGCCTAAAGTGACTGCATCGGAGGTCAAACTTAAGTACAAGGCGTATAATCCGAGGCCTTCAAATCTTCTTCACGTAACAGATACAGCAAAAGCTCTTTTGCGAGAGCTAAACGGTATGGCCATCAACGAAGGCAAGCTTAAGTCAAGAGAAAGAAAATCTCTGGCACAAGTTCGACATTTTCTTAGGCACATCTTTGGAGCGCCCTTCGATGGAAACTACTACCTTGGAGACTATCTTCTTGGACCGAATGTGTTCTGTTGGCAGCCGATTTGCTCGGTGGGGGTTTTGTTAGAGAAGACCCTTCCCTTTTTCAAACCCTCGGACGTACAAGGATTGAATATTCTAATCGAGAAGTTGTACGAAGTAAACCAAACATTTCAAATCTATATCGATAACTTGCGCTACGGAGTGAAAGCTGGAATGGTGCGCAGCGTGGAGGAATGTAAGGCAGGACTCGACGCTATGCAAACTTACTACTTCAATATTTCGTTTAGCGGACCAAGCGGTAGGTTTATAACTTCAAAATTTAATAACACATGTTCCTCTAATTACTTTACAAGTCCTTATTTTCCAATTTGATAGCACCTGATAAGGGTATTTCAGTTTAGTTTTTGCTAATGAGAATCTAAGTTTCCTAAGCAGTCAAAAGTCAGCCAACATAAAGTGTCTTATGAAGGGCTTCCTTTTCTAAAGGACCTATTTCAAAAAATATTCTTTGGAACAAAAACCGATTCTTAAAGTTCTATTTTTCCTATGGGGTGATTTATTCATAAAACTTAAGTTTTCAGCGTAAAGCGGGTCATTACAAGGATTATTATGTCATCTTAAATGATAAATTAAGAAAAAGGGTGTTTTCCTTTGAAAACGTTACACAATACACTTGTTTGATTGTTAAACTTTGTTTTCCTAAGAGTTTAACTAAAAGTGTAAATTAAAGAACTTTTTCTAATAAAAAAACACAAACTGCTAAGGAAGCTTTTGACGCAGTGTTCGATGTCAGACCACACACTTTCCTCTTTAAAACATCATTGTTACAGAATTCAGCTTTAGTCAACAATAAAGGTATAGTTGTCGCGATGAAGCAGATTTTCGACCAGCTAAACTGTAATCGAATATGGAATGTGTGATCTGCGCTTATTACAAATATTTACACAAAAAGAACAAAGAGTAAATGCTTTTTAAATCTGACGCTAAAAACCTTAATGTCCTTCATTAGCAGAATACTTAATATTGGGCCCATCTGCTCTAAACGGGTATTAGTTTTGAAAAAAAAAAAGGGAATTTTCTTTGCGAGAGCAGACCTGGTTGGAGGGAAGGTACCAGTGTCTTTTCACGCGTCACACTGACGCTAAAAATTCGTCTGATTTAATCTATAACCTTTTTGTGTTACACAGATATTAACCTTCAATGCTGATTTTTATTGGACCAACTATTGTTGTTATTTGTGCGTATTTCAGGCGTTTTCAACGAGACTTACATGCAAGGAATCTTAAAATCAGAATTTTTATCCAAGTTGGAGAATAACTCAGACCTGTTGAAAGAGTGGCGTGAGAAGCACGCGGGAAAGACTCCGTCAGAATCACTCCGGGAGAGCGTCTTGGAATACGTGGGAAGGCCAATTTACGAATTACTAAGGTAAGTTGGTGCATTGCATTGATTCCCTTGTTGTATTGGGCATTGTCTGATTTAGCCTCGCTATCGTGCTCTGACAAGCCTCGAACGGGGATCAAATGCAAAGTAGGACTTTGATTGGGCAAGGAAGGTTTGTCAACTATAAGGGGAGATTCGTTTGTATACAAGCCCATGAGACATGCATTCGAGACAAAAAATCCGGCAGTCTTGCGAGGCGCTTTTCTCTCACTGCTAAGCTCACAATAGAATCGCTACAGCCTAAGAAAGGAATGAAATGCTGTAAATGAAACGAGAAAGTGGGCCGGGGAGGGGGGGTGAGGATAGCGTAGAACAAGGAAGGGGTGGAAAGGGGTTAATTGTAATGATACCAGGACTAACCTTACCAAAAGGTTTACATTTCTTAAGATACCTTAAGCATGTACACATGCAACACTGTGTGCCGAGCAGTGTGTCCAGCGGTTTGTCCTTCCTCCCGCTCTCCTTCGTGTATGTCAATGGAACCGCAGACATTAACCGAAAAACCACAAAAGTGCTACCGTCAGGAGAACCTCTGAACGGATCGCGGGCTTACGTCGAAATTCTTTCATACTTCACTACCACATATAATACCCCGGATGAAGTGCACGAACTTGGATATAAAATGCTTCACAAACTTTACCCTGAGGTTAGTAAAGTTTACTTTGTTTCAGGTCGGTTTTCATACTATTCAAATCGACGTCAAACGAAGTCGAACAAAAATAAGCAATGCCAAGTCTCATAAGTGACTGAGAGAGAATTTCTCCTTACAATATCAATACAATATCAAACAGAAGAGTTACAAGAATGAAGAAAATAGTCAATAAAGAAATTATCAGTTGATCCAGTATCAAATTCTCCTAACTAACCTCGCTAGAATTGTATGACAGACATTATGGTAGATTGATAGTGAGATCTTAGGAGTGAGGGAGTTAACTCGTCAGTGCTCAGGTTTTGGTCACTGCAAGGGAAACAAAGTTGAAGAATTTTCAGTTGATAAGAATTCAGTCCTATATAAATGATTTGACACTTGGTAATATGGAGCGTCTCCTTAGGACATGAGCGCTGATAATGGGACTGAAACATCTCTTTTTAGACGCTGAACGGCTTAACATAAAAACACAAAATTTATCGTTTTTTAGGCTCTTGAAGTAGCGCGTCAATTCACCGGGCGAAACAACAACAATACAGCAAAGGAAGAGTTCGTAAAAATGATTAATCACTCTGATATGTTTTTCAACGACCAACCCATTCCGGCTCATGAGTCTGGCAGCACCGCGTTCAGGCTTTGCAGTTCAGTGGAAGGCGCGAGGCAAAACTGTCCACATCGCTGGCGAGCCATTCAGCGATGGTTCACAGAAACAAGGGAGGTAACAGTTACAGAGTTTTTTCCGCTCTGTCGCCTCACATTTCTACCATCTTTTTTGTGCCGCTCTTTATAACTCTCAGAGATTGAAGCAGTTTTTCTATTCCCAGGTCATGAGTATGTTAGATCCAAAAACTTCCCAGATGTTCTACTTCACGGGAAAGAAACACTCAACTCCGAACTGTCCGCTGGAAATTGTGCCGGATTTCAATCCTTCAGCTGGCGTACCGAGTTACTTGAAAAGTGACAGCAAGTGCAGTAGGAACGCTAAGTACTTCATTCCTTTCTTTCTTGAGAGGCCTGGGCCTAGGTATATGCAATGGAGCGTGAACGCTCATGAAGCGAGACCAGGGCACCACACTCAGGTGAGTGCGATTACAGTTGCTAGAGCGTTTCGGATTTGATTGTTTTAAAACAAAAATCGCCTCATGTTTCTTCCCAAAGAATAGGAGAAATTATGTAGGGGGACAATTTAACAATAGCCACCCACATGAGCTTGGGAACCGGAAAAACCCAGTAATTAATTCTCTCTCTTTTAGCGACAAGGTTATGCCGAACATTTTCAGGACTCTTGTGGTGGTATAATCAGGTGGTTGTCATCAGTGACATCATACACCGCGTTTGTAGAGGGCTGGGCCCTATATGCTGAGAACCCACTCATTGCATATGATACAGATGTATACGAAGGGCATCCGCTGTACAAATATGGAATGCTCAAGTCTCAGGTAAGAGAATCAGAAGTAAGATGACTGTTTATCACAAGAACCGCGAGTAATGCTGTTTATAGGGACAGTCTGATCCACGACTTCTTTAAAATCATATTTGACTGGAGTGAAGCGAACACATGACAGTCCATTAAATCGATAACTTAAGTCTTACGGTACCTAAAGAAACAACTTGGGAGTTGGAGTATTTTAACTACCAGTGAGGGGAGGCCTAGTAAGTAGGTTACAGAACTTCCTGGAGGGAATCAGGTAAATTTTATCATACAAAACCAAAATCATCCCCTCCCCCCCCCCCTCACTTACCCTTACCCTTGCTTAGGAGGGCCTAAGTAAATTTTCAGTACGAGTTCTATTTCACTGTTCGGCGTATTTACCTTTGCTATAACTGACTGTTGAGATAACTTGTGTTTTACGATCGACGCCTAATCGAAACGCGCTCTTCTATATCGTTTTACGTCATAAAGATTTACCCAAATGTAATTTGGCTTACCCTCGCGATGGCATGTTTGGATTTTAGCTATGGCGCGCTCTACGCATGGTAGTGGACACTGGGTTACATTCCAAACGACTCACAAGAGAGGATGCACTGAATATGTTCCAGAAATACGTATGGGATGATAGCGACATCACACTGAAAGAAGTCACTAGATACCAGAGCGCGCCCGGTCAGGCAACCTCGTATATGGTTGGTCAACTACACATCATGAAACTGAGACAATATGCTAAAAAGAGACTGGGAAAGAATTTCAATTTGAAAGATTTTCATTTCCACGTGTTATCCCAGGGGTCTGTGCCGCTCGAGTTTCTGGAGCAGAGCATTGAAGAGTACGTAGATTGTACGCTTAACAAACAAAAAGATGGCTGTGGTGACATACTCGCTCCACAGACTCCAGATTTTCAAGAAAACGGTGATGACAGCAACAAACGAGAAACTCTGGATACCCTAGAGAGAAAACTGTATTTTTGATAGTTTTTTCCTCGTTTCTTTTCAATCGCCGGCTGTTAGAATCGACAGGAAGCATGATTTGGATATTTCTGTTTAACTTGTTCACTGTTTAAATTTGTTTGTTTAGGATGCTTGTTCCATTGTGATGGAAACGGAGTGTTTATCATAATATTTACAACCTATTTACCGAAATTAATGGGAAAACTATAACCAGGAATAAATCTAAAACTTAACGTCAAGAAAAATGTCTTGACAATAGAATAAATGCATTTGGTACTAACTACTCGGTTTTACTAGCCTTCGGAAATCATTCAAATATTTTCGGAGATCAGAACTCGGATCGGAGGTCCAGAATCTTCGATTCATTTTAACAAGGGTTGTTTAACCTCGAGTGAGCTCAATTATGGATTCTACCGAACAATGTTTTTAAACGCTTTGCACAGCGCTGAAACAACATATAACGAATTAACTGAATAGTTTTTTCGAAATTAGAATTGAATAATTTTCTTTGCATCTGAGCTACACGAATGACTACTGTCTAAGTGACAGTATGATTAGAGGAGCAAACCACTGTAGGTTACATTCTTTAATTGAATTGCCAGCGATTGCATATGGAGAACTTGAATAATTCTTAGGCCAAATTACATAACCATGACGTTTGTAGTTCTTTTCAACAGAGCAGAGGTATAAATATTTATCTTTTGTGAGGTTCCACTTGAAAAGAGTCGTGGACAGGAAACATTTGCGACCGCCTTGGTAATGTCATTTGTTAATGTTTACGACGCAAAGTAAACCAAGCATTTTATTTCATCACAGAAACAACGTAGACATAATCATGTTTCTATGGATACGCGCCAAACGTGACTCAAATGAATTCGAAATGAATACTTTGTATACGCAATAGAATGAAGCAAGTAAGTTGAATAAAAACATGAAAACACTCTTACAGTTCCCTCTTTGAGATTTGAATTTGTAGAAATATTTTCACGCGTTGCTAGACAACAAACCATTTTATACATTGGTTTGTGAACACGTTTTCGGGCGGCGTAGCTAACGTCACTTCTTTAATTGGGGTTTTCCATAACTGTTACAATGATGTGTGTCAGCTTCCTGTTATTCTTTTGGCTGCTTTAACCTGATCAATAACTAAATCACCTTTGCTAAGTAAGACCAAAAGTGAAGGTGTCAAGTAATGTAACATCTTCAACGTTTCTTTTTTTTGTCATCATAATAATAATATAATAAATATTATAATTATTATCGTTATCATCATCATTATCATTATCACAATATTTTTCTTTTTCAGTGCTCGTATAGCCTGGTGAAATTTATGTAAATCTTGATTGACTTCATAATACATAGAAAGACGAATACAGAAACTGTCTCGAAGCTTATAATTTAAAGTTGGAAATGTTTTTAACTTCTTTTCCAGAAATGATCATGTTGATTCTGTAGCTGTACTAAAGCTTTAATTTTTTACATTGCACTGATGTTTATTGTTTCAGATAAAGAAGCATATTAATTCTGCATCCTTTGTTGTTTATTTCGTTCTGTCGAGAGGTCTTCACTGTTCTGCTGCAATGCCCTGTTATTTGCATTTTTTTGCCTGAAGACTTATTTCACAACTTCTGTAGCTTATAAAATTTAATTTCCGTCGGATTGGTACCTGGATCACGATGTTTTTTTTCCGTTTATTGTTCCCTTGGAAACTATTGAGTTTTTATTTCTCCAAAATTGTAGTTAACTGAACAAAGGAAACTGAAGGATCCTATTCAAGTAATTTCTTTTTGTTTTCTGATCTCCAAAACAGATAATTAACAGCATGACCCACCTGCTTTGGGTGAAAATAATAAACAAAACCAAACTGATAAAGACAAAATACCACATTTCGAACCACTTGCGTATTTCTGATTTGTTAGTTCATGATTGTTGCTTTTGCTTCCTGAAAAAAACCTATAATTCATCTGTGACGCAGGGAATGGTGAAAGATAGCGGGGGCCTTTTGCACGGGCCCCCTCTACTCTTGACAAAAAAAACAAAATCGACAAGACACCTGCAACACTTTTCGGAATAATTAAAAACCATCTGTAATTAAGCACACAGTACTTTCGCCAAAACGAGACAAGGCAATGCAAGGCAGCATGCTTATTAACAAGCGTCGGTGAAAAACGCTGTCAACAGTACAAGCGGCAACGTAAAAGAACATCTTGAAGGCGGCATCCAAGGGAAAACCTTGGAAAATATCCACCAGTGTTTTCGCCCATCTGGTAAGTGTCTTCGCATAACTGTTTAATACAGCTCGGTGGCGTCGTTTGTTATACAAATCTTAACATTAGTACAAATTTACTTCGCTGTCGCAACCACTCGAAATGGATTTCCTACAGAGGTAAATCTTGAAATTCAACTTAAAGCCGCGTTGTTAGAGATATATCTCTTGTTCATTGAAAACAATAACAATATACCACCTTTCATTTTCTTTCGCTTTGTTGTTTAGTAAACCATTTTTGGAAATAAGTTTCCTTACTGTGAAAATAATCAAAATTTAAGCGATGAGACCAGTAGAATTGCCTCATTTCTGATTCGAGTTGCGCGTGTTTTCCTCTACTTCCTCAATCCCTAAAACTTCCGATTTTCAATGTTTTACCGCAATTTACCTAGTAGAATTCTTGGTTATAAAGTGTTTGTAGCCATGGAAACATTGTAGAAAATATTCCCGGCGCTTAGGTAACAAGGTTTATTTTCTAATTTAAACGCCTCCAGGATAGGCCTAAATTACTTGTTTCAAGAAGAAATGAATGTAGGCTTGCGCTGTGTAAAAGATAGCCGGAGACAATGCATTTTCGCCTTGCTGTTGGCTGTAGAGCCGTAATATTGACCGTTGTCTCCATCTGCTATGCGCGGTACTTCAGCCAACTCTGATTCACTTTCTATCATCGCTTGTTTAGTTTCGTTATTGCGTGATAGTTGTGATCAGAATATAGTATCTTTTATCACAGATATAAAACGATTGATTAATGTCTTTAATTTATGAAGGGGAAGGTTCGATTCCTACCCGTAAGATCACCATCTCTAGCCGGTAAGTTTCAAACCGGTTGTCAGATATCCAGTAGCTACGGCTAAAATGCGCCTTAGCAGCAAACCTCCTCAATCATAACTTACTAGGAGTGTAAAGTAAGCTTTAAAAACAGGAAATTTAAAACTGGAATTGAGTAAACAAACTCGAAAAAACAGTGCCCATGCAAATTTTATTATGAATGCGTGGGAGCGATACTGAATACGACTCTAATTCGAATGTGGTTAAAAATTATAAATTGTTAACAATATGAAAAACAAATGTAAGAGAAAAAAGAAGAAAACTACTATTTATAAGTCCTTGCCGTGTTATATCTCGAAAAGAAGCAAGGAAATACGTCTAATATCAATGACGTATAAAAGTCATAATTTTTGTTTCATTAACATCATATTTTCCCAGCCATCTCTCGTCTGACTCTCGAATTTCTTGTGTAAATTTGATGAACATTTTCTGATGGTTGTGCACGTGCCATTTCATACAATGGCGCATAAAAACAAAGGGAACGCACCATAGTACATGATTTAGAACTCTAGTTAAATGAAAGTACGAACATTTTCATAGAAACTCTCTCTGCGAAAATTAAAGTGCAAAATTGATGAGACTTCCGGCGAAATGTCTATGAAAAAATTCCCCTAATCATCATGGAACCTAAACTAATTTTATAGAACACCAGTAATAGCATACATTTTAATTTTTCTTAATGAAAGCCAAAATTTAGCTTTTTCCTTGTGTGCGCCAGAAAACTTCAACTTTTCGATCATCAGTGGACTGAAATATGATTGTACATGTTGAAATCTGATTTAATTCTAGAAACAAAAATACTAAACGGAATGTTTTTTTAAGTACTTGAACGCACCCTGCAAAGAAAGACTCACGAAACAGTTGTTATGACCAATCGGTGTGTTACTCAAAGCGTAGAAAAGGCGAGGAATTGCCATATCCAATACGAAAAAAATGATTTCATGATAGAAGTGAAAGTGACAGTCGTTCAAAAGGAATAGATCAGAGGAAGTCTGCATAGAATCACTTGATTAATGATCACACCTACAGCTTAACTTTAGAGTAGGAAACTAGACTATCAGCGGAAGGGGTAAGAGTGTTTTCACTAAGCTGCTTTGGATTCTTTCGAAGACGGACCTAGAAATTGTATCATTGTGCTTTTGTTTTACCTTTTAGCACCGACCCATTACATTAAGTCGGTCGAAAGCTTCGTTTTATCTTAAAAATGAGAGAATTTATGTATTAGTAATGATTTTAGATGATAAAAAGTTTTAAGAGCATTGTATCGATTTTACTAAAGATGTGATAAAGATGCGTCTTATGGCTTGTCAAACGGCTTTCTATGACCAAATGGAGATACAGCGCTCGCATTACAAACACATCAACATTATGTAAAGGTTGAGACTACGTCTCACTATCGCCATTGACGAGACAACTGAGAAACACTGACAATTCTATCCTCTCAGATAAAATTTTCAACTCTAAGTGGAACTGAAAATTACATAATAGCTTCTTACTTCGGAGTATTTTGTTAGCTCTAAATTCACCTGTTTGAGGATTTTCCGTTCAGTTTTATGTTCTGCCAATCAAGTGTAACTTAAATGCCCTAGATTTAAAGGTATTTATTCCGGAGAACACATAACCGCTTTATAAGCGTTAGAGTAAAATTTTGTTCTTTCCACGACTATATTGTGATCTGAAAGAAAGTTGTATTTTTCTTTAACGCCTCTATCAATTAACAATTTTCTTCGCTCAACCTTTCTGTTGTTAGAAGGGAAGCTAACTTTTCCCCCAAATTGTGTACTGGAAACAGCGCAACTTCTCAGCTGACTTTCCAAGCTAGTGAAGAACAAACCCTTAATTTGCAAGCATCACTGTCACAAGGATAGAGCGAAAATGTCTCTGATTATAAATTGTCACAGATCAACGCACTCTCATAGCGGACCACTCAAAAAAGGGCAACGCTTGTAAAGTAAATTATGTAACCGTTTTGACCATCAACCATTGCTTAGCTCGTCAATTACTGTTATTGCTTACTAGTAACTTAGGCGCTCGGAAACCCTTCGCAGAAGTACGCTAAGAGCTCGAATAAAAATTAAAGTATTTAGCAGAGGTTCTCATCGCTAATAACCAGCCTTGCCTTCCGTTTCTCAAAGCAATATGTGATCAACCGAAAGTGCGTTGTAGCAAAACCCCTCTTTCGTCTTCCGTGATCTAGAAGAGATATTAAAACAATAAAGAGGGACTCATAAGTGCGAACGACCTAAGATTTTTTATCACAAGCGCTAACTGACTGTACGGAAAAGGAAGTTATCACTTAATATGCACATTTTATGCCGAAGCGAATTAAGAAATATTAGAACAGAAAAAAGCAATAATGAAACTAAATAGTTTCTTCCTGTTACGATGAAAGTCGACCAGACAGAAATAGGTCTTTCTAATTACATGCAGTAAATCTCGACGGCAAAATTTCGTGATAGGTAAATTTCCAGAGCGATTCATTTAATTTCCGTCAAAATCATTACAGATTTGTATTTCAAAGGAAGAAAACTTTTCAGACGGAGTCTATTGTGCACCCAAATCTCCTAAATTAAAATAGCGCGAAGGTTGATTTGCTTAGGCTCCACAAGTAAATTGCTATCGAGGAAATGATTATCGCCCGAAGTTAATATGATTAAGTAGGTCTAACGAAGTTTGAAACAAAATTGGTTAACAATATACGGTAACGAAAGTCAATAACCTCGACCTAGGATTTTCATTTGCATCTCAAACAACTGTCATCGTTAACTCTGTCAAATGACAGGCGAGTAAACAAATCTTTTCTGAACATAAGCACCTGAGCTTTTGTTTGCTGTTGCCAAGGTAACGGAATCTTTAGAGAAGGGCCAGGTGGTGACGTCGTTTATAATCCATGGCGCGGACAGTGTTTGATGGAAAAAGTAAATGTTACTGCCGTGACAATTCGTTCTCTGTGTTGCATTATTTGACACAGGAGTTGTAAACAGTGTGGAGGACCGAATCCATGGCGGCGAAGGCAGATATTAGAAACAACGTGGAATGGAAAAAATGACCAGACAGCTGACTGGCTGCTCATTAACTCATTAGCACAGCAAGACGACCTGACATAAGTAAGAAACCATAATGTTGGGTTACCATTACAACGTCTTTGACTACATGACACAGAAAACGTGCATACGATCGCTTGGAAGGGCACAATTCTCGCTACATTCAATTGGCTCTGTTGCGAGCGCTGGTCAAGTCCTTCTGTAGGCGTAAAGTGATTTTGTTTTGGATCAAGTTATAATTTAGCGAGCTTGTCAAGTACAATAATGGTCTACTTCACGAACTACTCGAAAGGATACGTTGTGGAGTATGAAACTCCGTGTTTTAAAAGCTGGCTTCTACTTCCAGCGGAGAATTTATGGAGTGATGGAGTTCGAGGATTTCTATACACAGTTGCCATGTTCTATTTATTTCTAGGGATCGCTATAATCGCCGATATTTTCATGAGCTCTATCGAGGTAATAACAAGTAAAAAGCGCAAAGTTACACGCTACGATTCCGAAAAGCAAGAACGCGTTGAGATCGAAGTATTTGTATGGAACGAAACCGTGGCTAATTTGACTCTTATGGCGCTGGGATCTTCCGCGCCAGAGATTCTTTTAGCTGTAGTAGAGACGGTTCAAAATCTAGGAAACGTACCGGACGCATCACAGGAGGACAAAGATGGTCTTGGTACTTTTACCATAATCGGATCAGCTTCATTTAATCTGCTTCTTATCACGGCACTATGTGTGGTAAGTGTTCCCAGCGGAACCGTAAAAAAGATTCGCGAATTGGGAGTCTTTATTGTCACTTCTGTGTGGTCGCTGTTCGCGTATGTCTGGCTGTTGGTGGTGTTGAAATGGTCCTCGCCTGACGAGATCGAGTTATGGGAAGCGTTCGTGACGCTGAGTTTTTTTCCTCTTCTTGTCATCACATCTTGGTGTCAGGATAACGGCTGGTGGTGTAAGCGAGGCAGAATTATAAGCGTTGAAAGTCCCGAGGTAAGTAGATTGATATAATTTTAATTTAAGCACATTGTCCTGTTCAATTAGAAAATACTGTTCAATACAATTACAGCGGCAATCCGGTTTCCGTGAGAAATCGCGGTACTTCAACTCTGTTTACTTTTCTACTTGTTTGTTTTCTAAATTCCTTTGTAAAAATTTCCACTGGCTATCGACGTCATTAAGCGAAATTCGTATTTTAGCGTTAACTTCAACCTTGCGAAGATTAACAAATCATATACAAACGTTCACATTGTCTCTCTCCAAACAAACACACTCCTTTTCATAAACAACGTTAATTACAATGATCTGTCACTGCAACGGTTTTGTTTCACGGGATAGTACTATGTTACTCACGGAGTTAATTAATTAATTAAGACAGTTGGTGAGATAAGTAACTTTCAAAATAAAGAAGTACGTTTTACGGGGCTCAGTAAGATTGCAGTTTCTTTTGCTCGCTAATCAAGGCTGAAACATTGCTCCTATCCACATTCGATAAAAAAAATGCATTTTATTCTCTCTTTGACTGCTTCGTATTGATTTCGCTCAACCATTTCGAATTTTAATCATTGTGTTCATCACTTCTGCAGTTTTTCGCAAGTTTCTGGGCTTTATTTTCGATGATCACTTCTTAAAATTAGGAAGTTAAGCGATACAGTTTTTTTTCTTGATTTATACTAATGAACACGAGTCACTAACTACGAGGATAGTACGCAGTATTAATTTAGAGCAACAAACCGCATCAGTTTGCTCCTTTCAATTTTAAGCCAGTGCAGTTAATCCGAGACAAAAACCAAGCGTTCACCATATTTATTTTCTGACCACATCCGAGGTAATCGGTAATCCCTGATTACATTCCAATTAAGAAGAATGTTATTAGTTACTTTGTAAAAGCTTAGTTTGTTGCGTTTATGACACTCTAATAACAAATACGAGTACGATGCCTACAATGAAATATAATTATGCCATCGTACAATTTTATTAGATGATACAAAGAAGAAAACCTCATCAAAATGAAAATTTTCTTCCTTTTTTTGCCCGATGTTAACAAATTTGAGTGTTTACTTAACGTTTTCCTGTTATCGTCTTTGAGTCTGGATTTTGAAACAGTACCTGTTTCGATACAACCGAAGCAGAAGTGTCTGTTAAATAATTTCCTTGCAAACAACAATAAGAATTTGTTTGCTTCGGCTTATTTCCCCGTGTGATCAGCTGAGAAACTTTTTACCGCCAAAGTTTCGCGGGAAGACTTGATAAGTACAAGTTCTACAAAAATCCACGCTCCGCGCAAGCTCCGCGCGAGGGCCGCTGATCGCTTTTTGCAAGGCTCGGTAACGGTACAGTAATGGTTTCTCTGGATCACAGTTTTTGCTCGAGCCCAAGTCTTTCGTATTTTTACCAAACGTTCCTTCAATATGAGTGGTATAATTAAGTGGTATAAGTTATGCTGCTCTTTTAAGCATTAAACATGATGAACTGTTGGACAGTTACGTCAGGGAGTTACAAATTTCAGCTTGTCAGTTCTTTTTGACGAAGAATGCAGGGATTGGAAATTCAGACGCTATTTGTTTCTTTGTTGTTTAGGTTCGCGTGATTGGGCTCACAGAACCTGGGAGTCCAATGATGACTCATCGGTCAATGGAACTAAGAGCTTTAGAGCAGCAGAGATTTAGGTAAGCATGAATAACAATACTCTACGTTCTAACCAAACACACTTATGGTAAATCCTCTTCACCAATAAATTTATCTATGCTATTTTATTACTTTTTTGTGTTTGTTGAAATAGAGAGTGTAATTTTCAAGAAACAAGGGCTCAAGTGTTTCCTTGCATTACTTTTTTCGACAAGAATCTCCTCTATGAAATGAAAATCGTGTATTGCACGTTTTTACGTGAACTGAACACTCTAACCCGCTGTCTAACTGGGAAATTCAAAGGTTCGGATATACTACCCTTTCTTTTAGTATCCTTGCCAAATGGTTGTGGTAAGGAGTGTTTTATCGGTCCTAAATTTCCCTACAAGAGAAAGAAAGGCCGTTTGCTAGCTATCAAAGTCTAGTATTCATACTAAACACTCCACTTTTATGTATCATATGTCAATTCCAAGTGGCCTAATATTAAATATACTTACACTTTTGTTTCAAAGTGAAAATGAGTTGAATGGAAGCAAGGATAGAATAAGGTTAGTGCAATATTGACAATATTATTTTTGTATTTTTATTGTTATTTAGGTTTTATATCACAAGCCAAGCAAATCATATTTTGTTTTCACAAAATATATCTGAAATTAAAGTGCAATTGTTATCACATATTTAGTGGACATAAGGGAGCATTCAATATTCATTTCCTGGGAGGTGGGGGAGGGAGGGAGGGTTGAGGGATTTGGGGGGAACCACATCATTTTTCAGGGGGGGGGTTGTAGTAAGGATCAGTTGTGTCCAACAGAGTACAAAGTGGGAACTACAGAAAATTGACTGTCAATTAACTACTAATGCATATGGGGGGGGGAGGGAGTCATGGGAATTACAGAACCTTATGGGTGGATCAGGTAAATTTTATTGTGTCACAATAAAAAAATCCTCTGACCTTCCTTCCTCCCTCTCCCCCCCCACCTTCCAAGCAATAAACAACAATGGTTTCTAGGCATTATCTTTCCAGGTGGCTTCTGCATTTGTTTCAACAGTAACATGATTTTTATTTAGGTAATTTATTTAGAACATCATTTAATTTGAGCTTTCTTTGTTTGTTGGATTAAGATATACTGTATGTTGAAGGATAAATTTAGAATAGGAACCAACTGGTTTGTGAAACCCTCATGACCTTGAAGTTTCTTTAAAGAAATGTAATCATTCTGCAGATCTTGTCAAGGTGAAGGTCAACATTTTCTTACCAATCAAACTTCTTCATTGTTTCTAGGGGTGTCGTAAATTTGTGGAAAGAATCAAATCCTGATTATAATGACAATAAAACAGTAGCTGATGTTGCCTTGGCCCTGAAGCAGTTTAAACAGATGACCCAGCAACCACAAAACAGTGCTTCAACTAGAGCACGGTATTATTATTGTACTATAATTGTTTGTTTGATCATTGATGTACATCTGTTTGAAAAACAAAGCGATTTTCGCACTTTCATCGGCACATTTGATATTTTTTCCTTTATTGATTTTTCTTTGGGGAGAAGTGTGGTTGTTTTCTTTACAATACTGGAGCCCTAATTTAGAGGTTCTGATACAGGCACAGCATTTGTTGCTCAGAATCGGCACTGGTGAAATGAAAAAGCAGCAATTGCTGACTGGATTTTTGGCCAGCAGTCATTTGATAAAGCACAACAGACACTTCTTAGGTTATACAATGACAATTGTTTGATATTGAAAGCTATATTTGAGCTGCCTTACTTGAAATTTCAGCCAGAAGCCTAATTTCTTAGTTTCAACACTGCAGGCTTTGGTTAGTTATTGTTTTAGTGGGGCTATTGGGTGGTACAATCAACACTCACTGAGTGTCTTTCCAGTCAGAGGTACGGGCATGTAATGGCTACTCATTGGGAAAGCAATGAAACAGGTTACTTCCCAAGTTTTGTCAGCCAAAACTGGCAATGGACTGTCATCCTTTGTGGCTAAAGACTTAACCTCTTTACTCATTTGATTTATTTACAGCTTTCGACATGCTGCATTACGCAGCATTACGAGACAGAAACCTGGTATAAAAGAACCTGTTAAGGACCAGGAGGAACAATTAAATATGCTATCGAAATCTCTTTATGGGTCTAGAGTTTTTGGCGGAGGTAACTTAACAGTACGCATATCCCATGCCCTTCTCTATAAAAATGCCTTATTTACTAAAGTGTGATATATGATGATTTTTAAGGTGGGTTCTGTTATGTCTTATTTTGTGGTCAGTTAATTTTGAGAACATTTTAGAAATGACGATGTAAATGAAGATGGTAATTTTTTTTTTTGTGGAATCATTGCCAAGCTTAATGTGAGAGTTGTGTGCTTTTAGCATTTTAAAAATGGAAATCTACCCTTGTAACTCCAATCAAAATTATAAGAGGGCCAATCCAAGATTGTTAATATTGAATTTCATGTGACAAGTTTTCCTTACAAATTTATCACATTTTGCCTTGGTATATATATCACAGGATTTTGTAGCTATCATCATTTGTCGTGTCACACACAACTTAATCGTGTATGAGGAATTCTGATGATGAATTGATGGATAGCATTTTGTTTTCTAAGTTGATGTTTAGTTAAATTTTTACTTTCAGATGAAAAAACCTTTAGCTTCAGTTCAGCATCATATTCAGTTGTAAAAAGTGCAAAGAAACTAACTATAGAAGTGCAACTCAATCAAAGGATAGCAAGGTTTGTGCAATATCCAAATCAGTGAGAACTTCTTGTTTACGTATAAGCTCTACTGATTTAATTTTCCAAGTTGACTTTTACTTATGTAACTCCCAAATTTGTAATTATAACCGTAGTTTTCCTTTCAACAGATCACCTTGTGTTCCACGTAAAAAACTTCAATTATCAGCTCCTTATGACCCATCAACACCCATTGTTAATGGCAAATGGGAACAGCTTGCAATTCCAATCATCAAAGCTGATTTTCCGGTTTGTTTTTGGTTTGTTTTTTTCTCATGAATTACCAAAAAGCTATTAGTAACTTTAGTCTTCCTTCTCCTTAAACATCCTCTATTATTCATGGTTTTGATAACCAGATGAATAGTATTACCACCATGATAATGGTTTCTGCATTTGATCTTCATCAGTTATCTGTAAAATGTATTTAACATTGCCCACTTTTAACAGGAAAGTAATGGTGTCCCTTTGTCAAATCCAAAAATAAATGGAGATTTACCAGCAAGGGAGAGTGTATACAACATACGAGATGCTGTGTCCACAGAGAACAATGGTGAATTGCAACTTTCAGAGGATTCTGCCCAGTCACAAGCTACAACATTTTATGTGGATTACGAGACTCGCGATGGAAGTGCTAAACATGGAAAGGACTACCATAATTTAAAAGGCACATTGGTGAGTGTAATAATAGTCTTAAAAATCCTTCAATTTCAACTGCATGAAATCCAGGGCCAACCCAAGAGGCACCACTGATCAATGTACATTTTCTCAAGTTTGACTTTGCCTACATGTTAGGCAAAGAATAAATATGAAACAAAGCTCAGATTTGAAAATGAATCCTTTCTGAATTTTTCACCTGAGGATGGATTTCATGTCAATTGGATGTCAAAGGAATTTTGAAGATAGAGGCAGCTAATGCTAAAACTTTGTTTTAGATTTTTACCTGACTTTTGATACCTTATTAACAGTGACAGATGTTATCATTATTATTATTATTATTGTCATTATTATTATTATCATTATTATTATTATCATTTTAACATCATTTTCCCAGCTCTTAAGCTTTCTCTGTTTAAAGATCCTGTTGTACATTGTTTTGTTTCATCACCATAATTATAAAATTTTGTTTTCATTCTTCTTTTTTGGGGGGGCTTGTTTCATGTTGTTTTGGTGTGTTTTTCAGACATTTTGTCCAGGAGAAACCAAGAAGACATTAACAATTACAATAGTCCATCATGATGGATATGCTTTGGAAAAAGACTTCTATATACTGTTAAAGAATCCTGTAGGAACTGCTGAATTGGGAGAACCAAACTTGGCAAGGATCACAATAATAGATGATGATGGTAATGTCAAAGTTCATTGTTAAGTTGATTTAATCTATATCTTTCATTGGAAGTGCAGTCAAACTTCAGATAAGAGAAGACACACCCTTGGAACCAGAGAAAGGCTGTCTACTGTGGGAATTTTAATGTGTGAAAATGAACAATATTTGAAATAATTCTAAGAATTGAACAATAGATATGTACAGTATATGAAATACTTAGTGGCTTGAATGCAGTATTGTGTTATCTTTCAGAGCCTGGTGAATTCTCCTTTGAAAAAGCAAGTTATCATGCAAATGTAGTAACTGGTGATGTCAGTTGCACCATAATTAGAAGGAAAGGTTGTGATGGCACAGTCACACTGACTTACAACACCATGTAAGTGCTGTCAGTAGTGAAAAAAAAAAAACAAAACAAATACACTAAGGGCTCGTTATTTACACAATGTCTAACCCAAACCATGGTTTTTTTATCAGTGGGTCTCAGGCTTTATCTATAAGAGGACTGATGTAATTGTCAATAATGATGATAAATGTCCTTCCACCATTTGCTTTTGGCCCTCTTGATACTGTTCACAAAAATGAATATTCAGATGAAAGGTTCAGCTAAAATGAGGATTGTTTAGGATGAAGTTTTGTTAAACCTTTGTTTAAACGGTTGACCTTTGTTTAGATAATCCCATCTTAATCTCCTCAATCTGCATATCCTCCCATATCCTCTCTCTTTCATTATCTGGTAATTCAGCCATGTAGTATGATACAGTCAGGTTACTAAAATCCACCTCAGCATACATTTATCTGATCTGATGGTATGTTGTTTGTGTAGGAATGGTACAGGCAGTGGTGGGACAGAACAGGAACTTGAACAGAAGAAGTGTGATTATGAACAGGCAGTTGGCGGAAAGTTGTATTTTCAACATGGTGAAACATCCAAACAACTAATAATAAGAGTGAATCCTGACTGCAAGGTAATTGATAATTGGAGGAAGGTGGTCATTGCTGAGAGAGCAATTTTAAATTGAGTGTCAAAAGTAATCCAGGGTTGCTGTAATTTTGCTTTGTTTCATTCTGTGATTGGTCCAGAAAACTTGAGCCACTCTCTTAACCAATCAGATTCAAAACCGAGGCTAATGGAAGTTGGTCATTTGTGTTTTTTGCATTTTGGATTATCATAGTTTACCTGTTTTTACTTTGGGTTCTCAATGGTTCCATTTCATATTTTTCTAACTTCTGATTGGCTGTCATGATTACTTTGGTTTTGGTGTGAAAACACTCCATTGAAATGCATTCTGTGATCATTATGTTTGTTAAATTGATTCAATAAATGTCAACTTATGAGTGGAGGGAGGAGGAATATCCATTGTAAGGATTACATTTCTGAACTGTCTTGCACATTGTATAAAGTACTTGACAATTGAGTTGCTCATGATGTTTTTCATTCTAAAACCATTGCAGAACGCCCTTTTCTGTAAATTAGGCAACATCATAAACTTTTATTAAAATATCAGTGTGCCTAGTGAATAATCTTCTATCAAGGCATAGTTTATCTTTAACAGTGATTGAAGTACATTGTGCACTGTTTTATCAAACTTACTATATAGCAGAACGTAGTAGAACAGAAAGGTTGAATGGAAAAATTATAGACCTACCACCAAAAATTTAAGATGACAGATACTGCCTTGAAGTATAGAGACACTAAGTTGGGGGCTAACAAAATAAATAAGAAAATTAAGAAATAAGGCCAATTTTAACGTTTTCCATTTTGTTCCACTTTCTTTGTAGAATAAAAACTTTATTGTGTTATTGAGTGATAAAAGCCCTGGTGCTAAAATAGGACAGAAAAGTGCAGCAGTTATAAACATTACAAATGGTAAGCTTCTTTAAAAAACATGTGTTACCAGTTGCTTAGTCTTTAAACCCAAGAAAAGTGTTAGTTTCTTAGTCTATAAACCCATAAAAAAATTGCTTGATAATAAGGAAGCCACTTGTCCAAAAGTCCAAAAGTCCAAAAGTCGGCTGAGACCAGGGAGGAGGGATAGATTGGCTGATATCCATGAATGTTTTGACTGGTTTGATTTAATTTATAATGTTATTAATTTACCTTGCATTACTAGTAAAAGCAAATGGCATCATGAAAATGCCTTTTGAGTCACATACATTCCCAGCTTACTTTGTATCATGACAATTATTATTATCATCATTGCTGCCATCATGAACAGAAAAGACACCATTAAGACATAGCTTGGCATAGCAGGGTGGTGGATGTGTGTCTCAGTATTGATACCATTTTCATATTCAGATTTGAATTCACTTTCAATTTTAATTTGCATCTTAGATGTTGATAACATTGTGGAGCGAGTTGCCAACATTAATGACAGCAGAAGATGAACAAAGTCTGACCAAAAGTTGGAGAACACAATTTGAAGAGTAAGTGCTGAATATTTCACTCTAAACATTTCTCCTTGAATGTTCCAAAGTTGTTTTATCCTTCAAACACCATTTTCAATTGTCACATCAGGGCAATGGTTATTCAGGGGGAGGAGGATGATGAAGGAAACACAGAACCACTCAGCATTATGGACTTTGTCCTTCATTTTCTCACATTTTTCTGGAAAGTGCTATTCGCCTTCATTCCTCCAAGGTAACTCCTTTGTTTTCTATTTTTACATTGATATGTTGCTTTTGCAGACTTTCACCACAATCATGCTCTTTTATGTGTTTGAGAGAAGAGAATGAAAGAGACACAAGATATAAACTTAATCTGACCTTAACTCTAAGAAGTGATTAACTTACATGTATAACTTCTCCCAATAATATTGATATATTATCCACCAAACAGGTAATGAGAATACTCACGGTTATCAGGTAGAAGTTGTCACCTTGATCCAATGCCCAATTCTCATAACTAGTCTACAAGGTAATGTTAAGCAGCAAGAGAGGAGAATTTACAATCAGGTCTTGGGAAGTAAATGGTTAAGCATTACACCTTGGAAAACCTCAGTAGATGTAGACAATTGTTTGCTGTTTTTTTTTTGTTTAGGAACTGTTGTGGTGGATGGCCAGCATTTTTCATGTCTTTGTTAGTTATAGCGGGACTGACTGCATTGGTAGAACAGGTATGTTTGATCCACAAACTCTCAATATTTAATGAATAAATTGATTAAGAAATATATATTAATAAGTAAAAAAATAACTATTTTTTACTGACAACAGTAACTACATGTAATTGTATTTTAAATCATCTGGTCACTAGTAGGTTTTTCTTGCACATGTTCATATCAAGTTAGCCAAGAGTTTATTTTCATGTTGTTTTACAGCTTGGCAAACTCCTGGGTTGTGCCATAGGACTTAAGAACAGTGTTACAGGAATCACTATCATAGCAATTGGTACTAGCTTACCTGATACCTTTGCCAGCCGCTCTGCTGCATTGCAAGATATTGGAGCAGATGCCTCAATTGGGAATATCACAGGTTTGTGCAACTGCTACAGTCATTATCCGATCATGTCACTGTGCTGGCTTATTTTCTATGAGATTGACTTTGTTGTCACAAAGTAACAGCAGTTGTGTTTAGTTTGCACAATTTTAAGTACTGAAGTGAGGACTGGAGACACTGTTAATGTTGACTGAACATAATAGTGATTAATTAAACTTTCAACATGTTTGAATGTGAACTTGATTTTTTTTTAGAGGTTCTTAGTGCTTGGTGTTATTGGATTTTAGTGTAATATTAAAACTTTTATCATTTAGAAAATATGAATGAATGTGTAAAAAATTGTGTATATCAGCAGCTTGAAGCACATAGTTTCCTCAAGCTTTGTTTCAAAAAAAAGAATTGTTAGCTTAGAACTTGACGTCTTTAGACAAACATCAATTTCCAACCTGTTGAAGCTTACTATGCATGCACAATTAACCATAAAAAACCGTGACGTGATGTTTTTTCAAAAATTTGAATTTTGTTGTTTTTTAGTTAAAAACCAGTGATTTTTGTATAATAGTTGTTCAGTCACAAATCAAGTATAAATATGATAAAAACGTTCTTTAGAAAGAGTTTTAAAAAATCTTTTCTACAGACATTTACACAATATATTGATCATGTCTAGTTATATGATACCTTTGTTGTTTGCAGGGAGTAACAGTGTGAATGTGTTTCTCGGTCTTGGGTTGCCATGGGTGATATCAACTTGTTATCATGCAGTGAAGAAGACAAAGTATATTGTGTACAGTGGTAATCTAACCTTCTCTGTGCTGGTCTTCACAACTTTTGGACTCATTTGCCTTGCAACCCTTGTCATTAGAAGAATGGTGAGCTGATTGTTATGCAGGGTTTAATTATTGTGAGAAATGTACTTTCCTGTGGAAACTATTTAATTACATGATTTTTTTTCATGAAATAATGAATTTTGACTGCTGAGGTATATTGGTAAGTTTCTGGGTCAATACAATGTTACTGTGTGCGTGTAATTAGAGAAAAAATGTTTGGATTAAATCTTTTTAAGAGAAATATTTATTCTATAAATTGTATCTTCATTGCTTTCACTTGTAAGTTATTTCTGTATACTTTTGCTTTAATTTTCAGATTTTTGGAGGAGAGCTTGGTGGTCCTGCAACATCAAAACAAATGACTGGGTTCTTCTTGGTTTTCCTGTGGTGTTGTTATGTTGTGGTATCAGCACTTGTGGCATATGACATCATTCCTGTTGGTCTTTGACACCTTCAGCACAAACACTTATTTATGAAGTTGCTTCACCATATTGTGTGGACAATCAAATTGAAATCATTCTGTTTTGTCAAATTACTTGAGAAGAATGGCAACATGACTTAGGAGACTTATATTGAACCACCAAGGAACAAAAATCTGAGCAACTGTGTTGAACTCATCTGGCTACGTGTTAATATCTACCACACATAGGGGAAAATATTGGTGGACTCTGTGGCTTTGGATGGAGTTGTTTTAAGTTACAGAGTTGTGTGTGAAAGGGTCATATACAATTGGGTGTATCTCAGAGAAAATGCCTTTGTTGCTGGAAATACCAGGTTGGAAAGATTTGGGTTTGTGAATGCCTTAACATGGCAGAAATAATTAAATTGTATTTTCCCTGTGTTCCAGGGCAGTGTGATCAAAATGAGTGAAAGGATTACCCTTTTAAAGGACACAGACAGTGAAGCAAAATCTAGGCCATAGGCTTCTGGTCAGAATTGTGACCTGTTCTAAGGCCAGTGTGTAAATTGGATTTTGCAGTTTAACTAGGGACAGAAGCACTACAACAGTCTAAAAATTCCAAGTCTTCAAGAAAATAAAGCCATCCATTGCCATAACTAAGCCTGGTTTGATACAGAATCAACTGTGAGGCCTGAATGTGACACAAAAAGGAGGTTTTATATGTCTAGAAATAGAGTCATATTTATGAGGAAGTCTTGTGCTTAGCTTTAATTTGAAATTGAGAGATTTTTAGAGAGGAAATGGCTTCTTTAAGTCCAGTTGAAGATTGCCATTGCATGATGCATGGTTCTTAATAGTGAGGTGGCAAAATTATTTTCAAACACAACAGGACCCACCTCTGTTTATGAAATCTGTTCCGACAGAGGAGAGAACACCTGAGATCACAATAGCTCTTATTCAAGTTGTCAGTTTGAATCTGCTAGTAATTCTTGACATGCAATATAAGATTTACATTATAAAATAATTTATCAACAGATTATTGTAAATATATTGTTTGTTGTAAATAGTACTTTACTGCAGAAACAGAGTGGATGTAATTTATTTCCATTATTGCAGTCTGTAGGCCAAATAATAAAAGCTTGCTTTTGTGTGTCAGTATTATTTTGTACAAATGTTACAAATTTACTAATAAAATTGAACTGTAGATGGAAAAAGATGAACTCTTGCCAAAGACAAACTTTGAAACATAAATTAGTTAGCAAGTCTCTCAAAGCCAATAGCTAAGGCAGATGACACAGAATCAATGTTTGATAATTATCAATATCATGCAAAAGCCAAATTCAAAAATTGTTTTGTTATATGTCCTTTAAACAATTACCAAAAGAAGACCCTTCCTCCAAGTTCTCATGTCACCAGAAACAGAGACAAACACCAGTACTATAGACAATAAGTTAGGTTTTTATTTACAATTATAACTTTAAGAAACCAAAGGAAAAGTGTACAAAGCTTTTGGAGTCCTTATAAACATATTAGTATAAAAAATAAGTTATAAGTACAAATACAGAATTCTATCAGAATCAATAACAGTCTTGGTCGAAAGGAAAGAGGTCACAGATTCAGATCCAAAGATTGAATGTTCTAATGATAAATAAATCCCCACCAATGATCATTTGGTGAATCAAAACTTCAGGATATTATGCCCTAGCAGGGACAATGTGCATGACTCAAGAAGGAAGGAAAGCATCCAGACCAAACTCATCTATCTGAACTGTACGCATCCTTTGAAAATGAAAGGTGACTGCTGTACTTTTTGTTGTGGATATGAATTAACTAGTTGGGTGTTTCCTAAAATTTTGTATGCTGTTATTGGTAATAAAAGTAATAACACTTAATGTTTTGATTCTGTCCATAATCATACCGTCCAATGATAGTCAAATTGCACACCTACTTTTTGATCTCTGAATTCTGTTATTCATGCTAGTCAGCCACTCACTGCCTGCTAAATTGCAATCAAAATAAATAATGTGAAATATAACTACCTGAAACATTTGGACTCTATATTAGTTATTGTTCACAACATAACTGATTCCCATAATATAGTTTACATTCTGATAAACTTAAATCTACAATAAATGAATGTTACTATGAATAAATGATAATCTTAATTAAGTCTTTGGTTTAAGAAAATTGATACAAAATTTTACAGAAACAGACTGAAACAAACTAGTGTTAAAATAGTAACTAGTAAGAGATACATTTCATATTATATAGCATGATATGGCCAAAAATATCCTTTGGTCTCAATTTAAATCCATTTCAGATCTAGATAAACTTTTTAATAGTTGAATGATGAAAAAAGCTATAAGTTTAAACTTAGAAATACTTGTAACAACTTCCCCTTAGATAGGTAATAATAATATTAAATTCAATATAGGAGGCAGAGGATTCTGTGACAGCATCAGACTATCTCATTTAAGAAATTTCATCTTTAAGCCACTTGGCAATCTTGCTGAGATTCAACATAAAAATATTGACCAAATATTTGATAATGAATAAAAGGAAAGCTGTATGGTAATTATGTTAGTTATGTTCTAAAATTATGACTTTTCAGCCTAAACAACCCATCAAATCTGACATATTCTTTCTTGATAAATACACTTGTTTTAGCAGTAGAGATGAATAAACTCCATAAATGTTAAAGGATTATATTATTTAAATAATAACAAATAAATAGAGAGATAGTATTGGAATTAGAAGTTTGGTCTGATAGTTTGATCATTTTTAACTTGGCTGCTAAAAATGAAGATGTTTTTGCATGAAACATGGTGTACTTCTATCCTAAGAACACCCTAACCACAAACAAGAAAAACTGGTATAATTGACCAAACCCTCTAATTATTATTCCTGTGATGCCACACAACAAATTTGAATTGTTACCCTCAATGACAGAAGTAGTTTTTGACATGAAAGTCTAGACACACACACAAAAAACAATATAACAGATGTTCTATAAATGCTATATTACCAAATTAAAGTGATTTGTCATTTCCACATAAATCAAAATAGAATTCATTGGTAGTTACAAATAAGACAGGTTGAGTTGTCTAATTCTGAATGTATATTTGAGACCCACAATCTAACAGTTTTCACACAGATTCTTCAAAGTACACAAAAGTATAAGTTAGTAAAATGCAATATTCAAGAAACAGTATTACCACGAAAAAACATTACTGAAGCTGTTGTTTACATGTCATTAAAAACTAAAGGAACAAGCTTGTAAGGATTTCTGGTGGAAATTTTGACAGCATTTGTTTAGCCTACTTTATCAGATAAAGTGGAACAATATTCATTTCTGCTCCTGAAAGTGAGCATATAATACTTAATTTTTTTAAAAGTATTTCAGCAGGCCTGACTCACGAATCCTTGAATTTGATTGATTAATTCCATTGTTGTACCTGGTCCTGCTTTTTACAATACAGACTACTTTCCACAACATTGGTGGCAAAGCAGAAAAAGGCAAGGTGTTGAACAAGTTTTTCTTGTACAACCTAAGGCCAATTCAGGTGTAACGAAAACTGGTGAAAGAGATGAGGACAGCTTCCCCAAAATTCTCCCTCTGTGGCATGTGGAATCTCCACCTCTGTGGCATATGGAATCTCCAAGCTTCTCCAGGTAATGTTATCTGCTGATGGAATTTTCAATCTTTTTTATGGTTGTTTTGTCCAAACTGCACAAGTCAAAGTCCAGTGTTGTTTCTGTAAGTACAAAATGGCCTGTTTTCTCTAAAATGTCTACTATTTTTTGAAGGAGAGTTGAGTCTTTCAATGATACAAGACGCTTGTACAGTTGAATTAAGTCAGATGAAGGTGTTCGCTGTCCATTGCTTCCTTTCTTTAGGTCTTTTTGTCGTTGTTTTGGGCTACAAGACAAACATAAAAAATTGAAATCAAGGACAATTCAACAAACACAGAGCACTGACAACTGTAGACTAAGTATCTAAAATCCCAAGAAGCTGAAATTTTCTTTATCTTGCATGGATTAATGTCAGTGTGAATCACTGTGTGTCTTAAGCCTGCCCTGGCTTGAACCATTTTTTGTGGTCTCAGGGACATTACTCACCTTTGCAGCTGTTGTTTGGGCTTATCATGCATCACACACACACTCTCTCTTTTACAGTCATTAGCAGAAGAGAGTGTGGACCTAATGACACTTACAGAAACTATTGCAAGATTAGGAAAAAATCTGGACTTAATATAAACTCCGAGAAAATAATGTAAATACATTCTTAGGATACCTGAGTCCTGGCCCTTGTTGTTTAAAAACTGGTTTGAGCTACCCATTGAATAAATGTTTACAAAACATTCCATGATATCTAGCGGATAGCAATCTATCTGGTGGATAGCCCTATCAAGTCTTTAGACAACCAGGCCTTGGTTGTTTAAAGGTTGAATACTGCTAAATCTCTATCCAGTGGATAGTGTTGTATGTTTTGGTATTACTTGTCCACTGAACAGTGATTTATCCATTGGATAGCATTATCAGCCCTTTCTACACCTGGGTTTGGGGCTAGAAAGACAAAATTCTCAACACTAGAGACTAAGGAAGTGATCATAAACACACTGAAGGCCTGATTGAAATGGTGTTCACTGATCAAGAAGGGAATGACGCTTGGAAGAACAAAGCATTTACCATTGCAAGGGAGGGATTTAATTTTCTTAACAATTTCAGAAAAAACCGAGAAGACAAAACTTGGTGCTATAAAACATGTATATGTTTAGGTCACCCTCTGCAATTAAAACCCCACTCTGAAGATCCACTGTTCCATGACTTCAGAGGTCATCAATCAAATAAATTCCAAACACTGTAGATTTTCACCTTTGCTTTGCTGAGACATTCTTGTTGGTAGGACTTTTCAGTTCATTCTTCTTCCCTTCTGGCTTTTTCCCTTGAGAGCTGCTTTTTGTCTTGACCTTATTGCCAGTGTCTTTATTTTGTGTTGTACCACTAATCTCTGAAACAGACTTCTGTGTTGTTCCTGTGTTTACTGTTTTAGATTGAAATGGGGTAGAAATGTCACCACTATTGCCATCATCATCATCATCCTCATCACTTAGGTCTGCCATAAGTTTATCAAGTGCCACGTTTATATTTCCACCTAAATTTCCTAATAGACTTGAACTTGAAGTGCTACTTGACCAGCTGTCTCCAGAGCCACGACGCCGAAAAGTGATCTTCTCAACTTTCTTTTCCTCTGGTTTAGATGGTTTCATATCTTCCTTGGGAGATTTCTTCTTTGCTTTCTTGGATGATGTAAACTCCCTTCCCTTAGAACTGCTGGGTACTCCCTCATTTAATCCAGTCTCTAACAAGGCTTGCCGATTCTTCTTTTTGTCTGCGGCAGGACTCTTAGAAGACAGTGATTTTATTTTTAGCTTGATATCTTTCATTTCTTCCAATCTGTCCTTGCTTTCATTACTAGCACTTGGCAGTTCTAAGGGGATGAACCCCACTCCTTTGCTTGGCTTTGCAATGGCTTCATCATGTTTCTTTTTCTTCTTTTTAACCAGCTGCACTTGTGTTTCCTCTGTTCCTGATGTGCTGGCTGATCTTTTAAGTCCTGGTGTTGCCGCCTCTTGCGTTTTGACAGTCTTGTTGGCTATTGCACCTTCATGTTTGAATTTTTTGTTCTTATCAAGATCTTGTGCTAGTGATGAAACTTGAGGATTAACATGAACGTCAGCCACAAGGCTGTTTGTCACTTGGGTGTCTTTGGTCTCTGTGGTCTGTTCAGATATTGATCCATTCACAGGGGGAGATGAACTGGAGAGGGATATGAAAACAGAATAAGGAAAATGAACCACACTTGCCATTAAGGTGCTCCAGCAACAAAATCACTAACTGAGGCTGAAATTATTTTCTATGTCAAGTGAACACTCAAATTTGAATCAATAGATTTTGGATCAGTGCAATACTTCATGTACTATGTGATTAACTCCAGAGACTCTTGTTTTCCTTGCATCCCTTCTTTTTAAGAAAGCCATGGAGGGGAAGTGCTTTTTAACTTTTCTGCCCAAGCTTATTCAAGCAAATACAAGACTGCTTGAACAAGCAAAGTAAATCCAAAGCATCCTAATTTACAGTACCTGTGAAATCCATTTGTTGTGGTTGTTTTTGTGACAATCCCTCCACCTTTCACCAGCTTTCTTTTAAATTCATCAGTAGGGTTTGTGAAAGTTAATGCCTCACTTCGAATGTTATCAATCGGCAAGGAGCCAAAGGCAGGAAGGATGAGATCATAGTCAAACTGTAATTTCCTTGGTTCTATTTTGTTTTTAAAGTAAACTTCAATGGGAAGGAAAAAGCTTCCATAGCCATGTTCAGAGACAGCATATGGAGGACTCTTCAAAACTGCAAGAGAAATATGACAACAGGTATTAAAACTTGATTTTGCTTCTCAATAAGCTCTACTTGCAAGAACATTGATATAATAATTTTAATCATTAAAACAAGGGTGATACAATTTCATATGCTGTAAACTATTCATTAAATTCAGTTTTCTAAAAATATCAATCTTTTTTTTCTTAAAACTTTGGTTACAACTTTATCATGTATGTTACTTTGCCCACATGTTATACTGTAACTTGTTTTTCCATGAACCCTCTGAGGACTACGTGTGAAACACCTTTCATAAAGATTATTTGTTCTTTTATTATCATTACGCATTCTCTAAGGGTACAGGCATGGACAAGCTGCACCAAGGCTTTTTCAGTTCTACTGTTTAAAGACAAAATGAGATATTGGTAAACTTTCATGTATTCCTTGTGTAATAATTTGTTCCATTGAAGAAATTTTATTCTCTAATTTCTGGAAAAAAAAAACCAAGGCTACATTGTTTTCACAAACTTTCAAAAATATTGACACATTAGGATAACTTAGCTGTCTTGAGAATACGCAAGTTGCAGACAAACAAATAGAATTCTTACATTTATACACCAAAATGTCATTTTTTTGTCAACCCTCTTGAAGGTTACTTATTCTCGTTGCAGTGAAACTCTCCCTAAAATTAAATTGTAAGCAGGGGCTCTTAATTCAAACTAGAGAGCATAAGTATTATTTAAGATGCAATCTCAGATCCATTGTCTCTCCACACAACAGATAACTGATCTGTTCAACTCTACATCATCAAAATTATTACCTACGGTGTATTTAATTCCAATTTTTGGCATATGCTTTAAAGTTTCTTTTCTAAGATATATTATTATCATGGTCAGCAAATTATTTTTCCTCGAAGATGAGTTTCACTAAAGAAAACAGTCTTTCTAAAAGTTGAACAGAGAGACATTTATCTTTCTTCCGTTGCAGCTGTTAAAATCAAAGACGCGAAATGCTGGGAGGTTTAAATGACCCGAATCTGTCCTACTTAGCTTCCTGAACACAGTAAAAACAGAAAAACAGAAGCCAATCGAATGTTTAACGTTCGAGACGAACTGTGGATAGCAATATTTACACAAGACCAACAATGAAAGCAAATAAACCGAATCAGTTATTTTCAAAGGGGCCAATACATGTAACCTTATCCTTGAAATCAAGTTAGTATAAGCGTTAATTCAATAGCACTAACAACTGCAGTGCATTCGTTACGATACCACTAAAATCTAGTTCTCGTTTTCATCAATCACAAGAAAATTAATTCAACCGACACATCTTGTGGGTTGATGACCCTGTTACCTCTACGCAAAATTTTCTTAATCATGCAAAATTTTCTCGCGTTTATTGATTTATTTGGATTCAAATATTTCAAGGAAAAGTGTCCAATTCCTGTATTGAACAGGAAGACTGAGCTTCCCATTTAAACATCTCCTCAAGAACAGTGTAATGGTTGGCGATTCTAAAGCTTTAAACTTGATAATGGCGCAACGTTGAAAAACAACATTAACCAGACGAGATAAGTAGCTTGAACTTTACGCTTGGATATCTCCGCTGATTTTGATTAGGTAGTGTTTATATCGAAATGCTACACAACATCCCACTTTTCAAGAGGTTGGCTTTTGTAAATAAAAAGACAACCAAATCTAATTTATAAGCATCTTGTCGACAATAACAGTTGCAATTTTTCGAGCTTCTTCATGCCATTTACGCAGATTTAAGCCGTGGCCATTTGCAGCAAATCAGCAGCAAATCACACCAGGTAATGCCTTGAATTAAACCTTAATATCATATGTTACATCAAAATTAGCCATTCATGTCACTAGCGCTAAGAAAATAATATAGGAAACAAAGACAGTACCTAAGCTTTTAACACAATAGAGCTTCACAAGAGCATGAGTAATGGAGTTTGTAAGCTAGAGTTGAGCAGGAATTACCCTGGCCTACCTCGCTTCGGCTTGGGAAAACTTTCGTGCAAGTGAAACACAACCTTCTCTACGAAATGGGAAATGTCATCCCTCCCTGGTCCTCGTACAAAAACTTGCCAGTCGTGTGTAAATCCGTCAGGACTGGGGTTTTTCTTACAAGAAGCTTTGTGTCCGAGTTCAATCTTGACTTCAACTTGAACTTTCTCCATGTCAATGGATCTGCTCAGAGCACGTCAAATCTCGGCACACTGGAGGCATTTCACGAACCAGTGAGGCTAAGAAGAAATGTAACATGCCATCGAGGAAAAAGACACGCAATCAATCATCCATAACACAATAAGCCATCCGCTTGGTTGAGGACTACACAGTTAGAATTTTTCAGTAGGACGTTTTGATTCACTGACAGTTGTTGCGCGGCTGCGTACTAATAACGTGCCAAATATGGCAAACCTTTGTTCTGGACTATTCTGGGCACGATGGGGGAGGGGCTAGGGGTAAAATGTGGTCAAAATATCATTAATCTCTGATCCTAAGGTGTAATTGAGAAACAGAAAAAGGCGGGGAGGTGTAGATGCGAGACTATTTTGTCCCAAAATTCTCTGGTTACGAAAAAATAACTATTCAACACTTCTTTGGCAAGAGAGTGGGTTTTAAAACTTCAGCAATTTTTTAAAATCAGTCGGGTAGCCACAACCTATGTCAACCTGCAGGTGAAGATTAAAATTTCCACAAATTTTTTGTTGCAGACTGAGCTTTATTGACAGGTTCTCAAGGTAGAGCTATATACAGCTTTTAACATGCCAGAAAAAATAGTTATTCACCTCAAGATGGGTAAACTGCTGCCATGATTAGCTCTAACATAAGGCTATCACAGTAAAACATTATGTGAGCTTTTCAATAATTCACTATAACAGTTTATCCACCCTGATCAACATCTAGTCAATTAGGAGCATCAACTGTAGGGTCCAAAAGTGGTCTGTTTGCCTCATAATCCAAAATGATGGTGTGAGTTTTAGTTGAGCCAGCTCAATGATTCCAGAAGAAAAATGGATGGACTGATCACAATCTACAACACCTCCGAAGGTTTGTCTAGAATATGAAAGAAAGCACAATACATTTCTGAATGTGAAGTGTACTAACCAATGTAAAAAGATAAAATCTTGATTAATCCTCTACACTTTAACATCAGTATACATATTCTCCAAACTGTCCTTTAGATATTTCCTAAGATGCTGATTGGAAGAATTTTTCAACCAATCAAGAATGTCTCTAGTTGGTAATCATTTCTCTATTCTTATGACCTTAAAATGTGATTCAGGGGTGACGATGTAAGGAAAAATGAGATGTTAGTCACTCTAAGGGGTTAAAATTGATGAGAAAAATGGCAAGAGCTTGCTGGACCAATCGTATAGCATAAAAAAGCAAAATCAGTTCAGTCCCAGTGTACATCAACCCTGAATAGAAAAGCATTCCAATTTCCACTTTTTAATGAACATCCCTATCAAAGAAGGCCTATTTATCTTTCATTACCCTGCCTTAAGCTATCAACTCCTTTTAGTCACATTTCTGCTTCTTCCGCATTTTGTCTACTTTTTGTAAGCTCTTCTCATCAATGTCTCTGCAAATCTGTCTCTCTCCAATGCAGAATATATGTAGACGTTCTAGATTTCTTGGAAGTAAAGTTAATTTGTTGTCCCTGAGGTCCACATGACTCAAATTTGGTAATTTTTTTACAGTGTTATTGTGCAAAGACTGAATCATGTTTGAGTGCAGAATCAGATTCTCCAATTTATGAAGTCCACTCAGGCCTTCAGGAAATTTGTTAAATTGATTTTCAGCAAGATCGAGCTGGATCAAGTTTAAGAGGCAATGAAAGTCACTAGGCAGAGACGAAAGTTGATTTTTTGCTAAACTTAGCCACTTCAGAGATTTTAAAGCTGAAAATCCATCGGGCAAAGCCTTGATATTGTTACATCCTGCACCAAGTTTCTCCAAGTTCACAAGTTTGCAAATCTCAGGTGGTAATGCCATCAGCTGGATGTTGACAATCCAAAGTTCTTGGAGAAAGGTTAACTCCCCTATTTCTGAAGGTAAGAATCCTAGATTGTTGTGACTCAAACACAAAACTCGCAAGTTCGATAGCTGCCGAAATCCCGTAGGTATTAGCGTTAACTGATTATGATCAAGTGCTAAGACTTGAAGATTTTTTAGTGTGACAAGTTCCATCGGAGGCATAATAATCTTGTTGTTATTCAACAATAACGTTTTCACTTTGACAAGTTCCTTTAAAGAATCGGGAAGTACGGTCAGATCTCGATGACTGAGATTTAAAACCGTGCACTCAGAACTTATAGCAGTCAATAGTATTTTATCCACCTCCTTTTGAGCTGCGTGGTACATCTAACTGCTACAAAATGCGTAAGAAAACTCCGCAATATTCTCCCCTATGTAAACGAATAATTCGAATAATAGACTGATGGGATCTCATTTCCAGATTCCCCACTCCCATGATCAACAGAGAATCTGGGAACGAGATCTAAGATAGTGCGCATACGAATTTTGGTGTCAGCGGTGATAGATCGAAAGTAAACGAGGGTAATGAACGAGGGTTCCTTTTCAATTTCACCTTTTGTCACACCTTTACAGGTATTCCACGGGGATAGAAACTCTTTGGCACAAATCTAGCTCTTATTGGGAGAACAACATGATCAAGATGGTCTGATGGAATCAAATTTGACAAATAACAGGTAAACACCTCTAGAAAAAGAAAACATTTCCCTACCTTCTAGGGCGGAAGAGAAACCAAACTGCTTTCATCTTATGTGCACTGTGCCCAATCGCTTCTCCGTCCAATTAATTTTCCATCGGTCATTTGGTATAATGAAGCAACAGACCGCTCTTTGTGTCGGTTTGTCGGTGTATAGTAATAACCTACCTGGAAAGTTGGAAGAACACGAGAAAAGTTTGTGAAAAACGAGTCCGATTCTCGTTAATACAAACTTTTCGAGTGGGTTTAGTCATTACATCGGTAAATTGATACAAACTGTGGTCTACCGCTTTTATAAAATAACCATGGGTTTACCTGTGTAATGTAAATAGGCTTTTTGACCAATCAGAGCCTCTATAGTATCTCAGTTATTTAAAAACTCTTTTTACTAACACGCAGATAGCGGAGTTGTGACCATTTCAATTTTTAGGTAACTACACGATTTTGAGTGCAATTTGGTAAAAATAAGCAACAATAAATTTTTCAACTGATAATTAGTTAACATTAGTTAACTGGTAATTAATTAACATGAAAAATGCATCACAGAAAGTCAAGAAAGACAAAATTTTTACAGCCCACATGTGCTATCTATTATTTGCACTCGTGTTACAACTTTGCACTTGTGTTACATGAAAAATGCACTTGTTTTTGGCCAATAAGAAGCCCTTTATTTTTTCATGTATGTTAATGGTATAAAAATTTGCTTTCACTAAGGATGTAGTTGAGCTGAGCCAAGTAAACTAGGGGTCTTGGTGGCACAATTAGAGATGATTGCCACAGTGACTTGACTGAGGTCCTGAGCCATCTGCCATTTTTGAAAAAAATAAGGGAAAAGGCAAAGGCAAGAATGGAAATCATTGCAAAACTAAAATTAAGTTTGCACAAGATTTAATGTGAAAGTAAAACAATTCAACTCAAATCCAGAACGATAATCTTGTAGTGCCACAAGGATGATTAACTAGCAGCATTTATACCCCGGATAATTTAGGGTAGAGTGCATAATAAACATCACAGATAATAATTGGCTTAATACAAATATTTATTACAATTATAAATTTATTCATTCAATGGTGTTGGTAAATTGGATCGTCAATGAAGTTACCAGTATCCATGGCACAGTGAACCAACAACAGTCACAATCCTCATCGTTACTGCATTTCTGGGTTAGAGGAGGGGTTGGGGAAGCAGTATGTTGGCTGACAATTCAGATAGCACACCACAGGCAATGACAATTACAACCCATCAAAGATTCTAAATAAGGAAGTGGAGTCCTTGATGATTGAAATATTCTTCTAAATAAGGAGTTATAACCAGATGGGTTCCTAACTATATGAAATAGTTACACTGGTAGATAGTCTTTAATATAGTAAAAAAATATCTTAAAATCTCAATGTTTTGGCTAAGGACTCTAGCCCTCATCAGCTTAAGATTTTAAAGTATATTTTTAAAAATATTTTTAGAACTTTTTACTAGTGTAGTGATTTTATACAGTTATAAAATATTATTGATCCCTGTCCATTGGCTTCAAGGTACTCCTAATCTTGAAAGCATATCAACCATGAGCCAAGTAACTGTCTAATTCTAAGATAAACAGCTTTTTATCCATCAGTTGTCAACTGCAAGTGTCAATGTGGATGAACACAGACTTTTATGAGTAAAATTGTTGTAATTAACCCTTTCACTCCCAAGATCTCATTAGTGATTTCCTTACTGTCTGCCATACATTTGTTATGATGTTTGTGTAAAGAATTTGGCATTTGATCAGTTTATTATTTTCTTATTTATATATTTTTTTAATCTCATCGCTTGTCTGCTTGATATTGTAATGGTTTCGTAAAGATAAATTTTGTCTTGGGAGTTACAGGGTCAAGACAATTTCCTTTTTAGGATTCTCACATCAAAGATTTGCGATCCAAACCATGGTTAGCTAACACGACCTCGATCTAAATCTATAAAACACCCAACAGTGGCTATAAATAGAACGCGGAAAGTCTTGTGTTTACCTTGTCAATTTGTATCGTTCCACCTGCCTTTTTCGCGCGGCAGTATTCATGAGCTACTTTGTCAAAATTGTCCAATCAGGGAAAAGCCCGCATCCGAAATGAAGTAACTTTTTCCTTCATCGTCGCCCATATTGGATTGTGATCGCTCGTGATTATTTTTTTGGATAAGTAATTATCCTCTAAACTTGTTCGGTCGATGTACAAAGAGTGATTGGAATCGCCACGGTACGTCGGTGTATTTTATTGTTTACAAAATGAGTTTTAGTTATGAAGCGGAGAGAATCCATTAATGACTCATTCGCGTTTTAAAACCTCCCGATTTGAGTCATTGTCGCCTTTTTTATATACTTTTGAGTTATTTGTATTCGAAATATCCCTACGATGATGTAGATTTTGTTTAAGAAGCTACCGATTGCCTGACATCAGGAAGCCGCCAACATGAATCATTTTTGTAACAACAGAATTGTCATTCGCAGTCTACTCGTAACATACGACTGCTGTGTTGTAAACCTTCTCTAAAAGTCTTTCCAAATAAATAGATTTTGTCGTGCTTTATATTGTCGGAGATCATATACCAATTTCTTATCAAAAATTTGAGTACTTTATAAGCTTAAGGCGAAGATAAAGTCAAAACAAACGTTAACATCAAAGTTGTGTGAAGAAACATTACGGGTAATTTAGAAAGCAGATAATTTGCATTTCTTTAGAAACTTATCTGAACCTTGTTGACAAATGTTTCTGTTGAAGGGGTCAATATCTTGATTGTGCAGTAACGCCTCGTTGTCAGGAAATACGTCATGTGTATTTAGACTTCCGCTTTTTCGTGGAAAAGCTGAAATCATGAAACGCTTGTACGAGCGTGATAACATCCACGTTGGTCAATTATTTATCAAGTGCGTGCTTGGGAGAAGGAATTGTTCCGCTATATCATTTGAGTACGAGTAGTTGGCACGATGAAGCTTTCTTTATTACATGTGAAACTTTTTCATGACAAAAAGCCAAATCCCATTCTTAAAACGCGAAGAAAAAGTGCCAAAACTAAAAGTAAGTCTGAACTTGCGTTACCTGCATGTGACAGTTAAGAGTGAAATTCCCGGGATTCAATTTGATAATTTTAATGTTGAGAAGGTTTACCTTTGCTGCTTGATTTTCAGGTAAAGAAGTTCTAACAAAACCCATTCCGAATAGCTGCGGCTCTATGGATACTGCTTCCAACGTCGAAGCTGAAACAAACGACTCGGCGAGTTCGATGAGTTTTAATGAGTTCGAAACGTAAGTTCTAAAGGGCAATTTATCACATGGCGGTTTCTTTTCATACTGAGCAGAATCTTTAATCTTTCAGATTTGCAGATGAGGTAAATGGCGATATTCCCGAAGTAGACTACCGAGGAAGAGTCAAAAGGTTTGATCTCGATGTGTTTGTTTAAGTTTCTTCCTTCAATGGTTGTTGACTCTCGATCCAAAGCAAAGCGCGTCGCTAAAGCAAGGAACACTGGTCTCTTGTTAATTATGTTAAGCGCTCATTTTGTCTGCGAAACAGTCAGATTTGTGAACGTAAAGTTAGTAGTAAACTATATATTTCAGGCTATTTAAACATAGATAAAGAGCAAAGAATTTTCCGTTTTCCATTTTCGATTCTATGCACGCTTCAGAGCGTACATGATTACTTCCAGATTACGAGTGACGCATCGTTTTTTTTCCGTGTTGTTGCCAATCTGCCTCTTTGAAGTTCCTTTCTTCCGCTTTTTCTCTTCTCAGCGAGAAATTACCGTCAGACGTGTACGAATCCTCCAATTCACTATCACAGGCAAGTGAAACATAATTTTATTCGAAGCGTTCACTTCATGTTTTGTCTGAATTGATTAGTAAACCGGAAGTGAAGGTACAGGTGGAGTGATCGTGGTCCCAAAGTCAGCCGATGTGATGTCACGCAACCATCCTATCGGAGGCCAATAAAGGACGCGACGCTTATTCTCTTACTCTTACTCTTACTTATTCTCTTAGGACGCGACGCTTAGATCTCTTTCTAAATCCTCGCAGAATGCGTCGACAATGTTTGTTGAGTTGTAGAATTCTTTTCTCTAAAATTCCCCGTCCGCTGTGGCCGATCGATCCATAGGAATTTGTGGGTTTTTTGTTTACGAAATGGAATTATCGCGTGCCTAGTGCCTAGTTAAGGTTTCGAAAGATGGAGTGCGAAAGTGATCGTCCAGAAGTGACGCTCGTTAAGAGAGGAAAAGTCAACTTTTTCGAGAGATCAAATGGCTTAAAAAGCTTAACACGAAAAATGCAATATGTGCCACTGATTTTTCAAGATACGCTGAAGTTTAGTTCATCGTCCTCTGGTGCAAAGGTAGGTTCGTATATGCATCGATGAGAAAGTTTTTGTATAGGAACGCAACTAAAGGTCGAACAAATATTGTCAGCAAATGATCATACTAATATGATAGGGCACTTTAATCTTAAAGCTCAGACTACATGGCACATACTGGAAATATAACTAGCGTTAAAACATATCTGCTTTTAGTCGTGAAATGGACCGATATCAAAGTATTTCCAGTGACAGAGGTGTTATAGTTTTCACAAACTTTGTTTTGGACCAAAAGGATGTTCATTGTTGCACAACTTTACAAGACGCCTTTTGAGGGAACCTAGTGCTAGCCATTAGCTCTAGGTTACGCAAATTAATTGTAACATATTTCTGCCTTTGTACTAATTTGGTCGGAGACGTGTACATTGAAGCCACAATTTGTCGTATCCTCTGCCTCTGCTGTTAGGCCAGTATTATCCTGTATGCACGCTTTAATCACGTTTAATTAATTTTGTGGGAGGTGGCGGCTAGATCGTCTGATGTGCAACAACTTAGTTACAGCTGAAGAAGTTTTACATTTGGGCTGGACTTTGTTTGTTCCAAAAATAATTTCGGATGCTTATGTCAGTTTGAGCTGTGAGAAATGGGACCTCGTGAATTGCGCAAAATCTTTAAACTCAGTGATGCAATATCATAAACTTGCCATTCTAATTTGGATAATTTATTCAACTTTTGTCAAATTCTTTCGTTAAGCTGTCATTGTTCTTATATCAATAAACTTTTTATTACTGGAGGATACAAAGAATTCAAAGACTTAGGAGTCTAACTAGGCTACAAGATAATGCTTTGCTAATTAGCAATAGTTCTAATGCATGCAAGGGAGTTCACCCTGAGTTAATTGAACATCGCTGTTCTCTTAGCGGAGAAGTCATATTGATTCTTTCTCCTCTTTTACTGATTTGAATGGGTTTCTAGGAAACTAAAGCCCAGTATTCTCTCTTTGTGTTGATTATTGAGACAGTAAGACTGTTCTATTTGGAAGTTCTCCATACAATATCAATACAATATCAAGCAGACAAGCAATGAGAATAAAGAAAAATGTAAATTAGGGGATTATTAGTTGATCCAATACCAAATTCTCCAATTAAATATAGAAAAAAAAAATTGAATGGCAGACAACAAGGAGTATTATTGATAAAGATATTGAGAGTGAAAGGGTCAAAGATCATTGTCTCTACAGTAGAGGGCTGCTGAGTAATTGTTAGTAGTAATTGTTTCAAAGGAGTCAATTCTTCCCTTCATTCAAGAGAGGGACAAAAACATAGTTACATACAGCTCTTAAGAAGGAGTTTGATGTCTTAACTTCTCTGGATATAGAAAGTAATGGTTAATTATAGAAATGTATATTTTCATTGTGAGAAAAAAAAATTTCATTAAATGCATCTGCAAGAATCAATGTAGGATCTTAGCCACAAACCTTATTTCACAGCACCAGCTTAGAAAATTACAGGACATGGTATGTTGTTAAAAAAAAAGATGTTGAGAGCATCAGGCTAAAGAAGGACAAAACTCTGTCAGTGAGACTAGATTTATAATAATCAGCTTTGTTTTTCTTTTTCAATTTTTTTCACAGTCACAACTTCTCAAATCAGATAGGACACCAAACTTTATCAAGGTGAGCCAGCTTTGTACTGTTACAAATTTTAATAATTAGTTTGAAAGATAATTGAATAAATACAAATTTGGTGTTTATGATTTTTCAAAATTTCCTGATAATGTGTTTTAAGAATGTGAGTCAAAATTTTTTTTTGGTTCAATCTTCACTGTGACTTAGAAAGGTTACTTGTTTTTCTGTGCAATGTGGCTGTTTTGTTAATAACCTGTTGGAAAATGGTACAGTATAATTCAGTCATGTCACGGTGTTAGGTCTTTATAAATCTTCATGGCTCTTACAGAGTCTTGAATTCATGAAAAATGTACAGAAACTTTGAAAGTTACCAGTAAACTAGCTCAAGACCTAGAGAAATAAAGAATATTCAGTTTACATGTTGACAAATAATTACTGGCATATAAATCTGGAGTTCTTTCTTTTTTCAAGTGGCAGCAAAATTTGCGTGCATTTTCTTGTGAATGAAATCTAAAGAAAACCACCAAATTTAAATAAATTATGACAAAAGGTCCAAGACCTAGAAAACCCTTAAAAACTGTTTTTTTGCTCAGGCCAGGCTACTTGACACATGACCTTGAAAGTGTTGAGAACTGAAAGTCATTATTAATATTAGTCTTGAAAAAGTCTGGAAAAAGTCTTGAAGTTTGTACCCAAAATGAAGAATTAAAGATCATGAATCTTTGAAAAAAGTTTAAAAAATCTTCAGAAAATGTCTTTACAAAGATCCAAAGGTGTCTGTAAAGGTTCCTCAATTTCTACCTAGGACCCTACTAAGATATTGAAAGATTACAGTTTGCAATGTCTTGGAAAGAGTTTTAAGGTGTTTCTCCATCTAAAAATTATTTACTAAATACTTGCTAGAATAATAACCACTTACCATAAAAGCTTTGTGCTCTGGAAATGTCAAATCTTTCAAGAACCATTCGTTAATGCAACTTTCTTTATCTTAATGGCTGGCTTTAGAAGTTTTTAAATATTAACAAATTGCCAACAAAAAGACCCAAAATTATCATAAACAACAGTATTAAAAGTCATTTTAATGATTATGGTAATTGACACAGAACAAGTGCAAATGTAAAGATGTTAATGTGTGACAAGAGAAGGACTTTAAGGTTGTTTATTGACAGCGGTGTAAATAAATGGCGTATTCCTTGTGAAAGTCACTTCAAAATCATATATTTTTATCATTTTTTATTACCTGTAAGGTTATCTGTCCTATTCCATGATATAGATGTATAAGTTAGATCCACTATTTGTAAGTAATATGTTTCTGATAAAATGAATGGAAATATAGTTTTGTTTCCTACACAGTAAATAATCTGAGTGAATTTGAAGTCTCCACCCAGCCAGAATGCCAAAGCAGTTTTATTTAATTTTCAAATGTTCTGGCCACTCACTGAACACTGCTGTAAGTGCTAAGTGCTTTTATGTTCAGTTAGCTGTCAATATATATTGTCTTCTTATATGTTGGAGTCACATACAATTTAACCTCAGGTAGAAGTTTAATTATTCCTATTAACATAGACTCTTAGTTCTCTTTGTCCCCAAGTCCTGGTAATAATTTAGTATGGTTATGACACAAAATATGAAAACTTGGGATCAGCATAAATATAAATTTTCTTAAACCTAAAATTAAAATTTAACAGCAACATATACATTCACATTTTGTACCACAACTGCATTTTAAGGTGTAATGTCTCTATGGATATTAGCCAAGAAGGTTATTGGATGTGATAAATTATTAAGTTGACACAGTGTGATATAATTGACAGGTGGTTTTGTTTTACAAAACAGGTAACCTCCAAAAGTAAAGAGAAAAATTAATTTATATTTTTATTTTGCTTGTTCTTGATGTCTTGGGCATGTGTAAATTCTTTGAAATGCTCTAAATGTGGCTGTACTGTTTAACTAGAAGGAAAAGGATTTGAAAGGGCAAATCTTAATCTCTTTCATGGTTTTTAATCCTAGTTAAGAATTTAATTCTGATATTATCTTAGATTTCCATGAATTTTTTTTTGTTCAAATGATTCATCTGCATTCTTGCCTGGCTTAAAAGTATTGAACACTTGGATTTTGTACCTAACAGTTTACCTTCAGTTGAGAGTAACAAAAGTGTTTGTATTCATCTTCCCATGTGACAAGTCTAAACATTTAAGTTACGTTGTCTTCATTCAACCATCAGGAGTTCTATTGGGTTATTTTCTTTACATAAGACAATTTACTTTGGGATAAATGCTACTACCAATTGTATTCTTTCACCTGCCACTTGTTTGTAGCCAATCAGGAGCAACCTGTCATCTCTGTGGTCTGTTTCTGAACACTGGTTTATTTTAAGCCTTGAATTAATTATCTGCTTGTGAAATGATTTTGACCGGTTTGTTCCTCACTCGAACCAAGTCTGCATAATGTCTCATGCATTTCAATTAAAAGTGAGGACACACCGAAGGTCCTTTCCCAAATTACCATGAATGCAGGGAAACGAAAACTAAGGCGGCGGAATGCAGTATTTGGCCGATCTAAGGATGATAGTTTCCAAGTCACAAGCAAAGCACGAAGGAAAGGAGCTAACTCACAGAACAGATGGGTAAATTGACATCAACATTTCCTGTTTATGAAAAGCTTTTATTAAAACTCTAGAAGGCTTGAATTCCTAAACTAATGACTTACTTGTCAACTATTATAAGAATCTTCATTCTTAAACTACAAGCTGCAGTTTTAAGTTAGTAAAATTTCAAAATTATAGCAACCTACTTCTGCATGGTTTCCTGCGTTCACATGTGAATGAACTGTCAGATGGCAGTCATCCAGCCAAGATTTTCAGCAAAAATAACAAATAGGTGGCTTACAGAACTCGAACCAAAAAAAAAATTTATATCTCAGAGCATGTTTCATGGTTTTCGAAAATATTCTTCAACTCAAAAATTTTAAAAGACACAGACTGAGTGTTATTTATTTGTGAAATGGGTAAAACTTTTATTTCAACCCTCAGAATTTTTGGCTAATTTGTGGCTCAGTATTTTGTCCTTAATACCTTTAGAATTGGGACTGCATTATATTCTCAGAATTGCAGGAAACCCATTTTGAGAATGCTTGGTTTGGAAATCAATTCTGATGGCTTGTAGTGTATAAATTATTGATTCAAAAGGAATAGCCATGATGGGGTAAATGCTAGTGTCCAAGATATGAAAGTTTTCTTAAACTGAGCATTTTGATCTAATCTTTGAATTCAAAGTCCTTTAGCACTTCATATCTATTTCTGGTGATAGATATATGCTGGGCAGTATGGCTCTAGTCGGCTTATTCAAACAAAATTCTATGGTGAGACATTTACCATACAGTATTTATGCACACATCAATACATATTATACATTTTACATTTTTGTGAAGACCAGTGCTATACACTAACCTAAATTAGGTTAATGTTTAAATTTATTTTAATGATAATAGAGTTGTGAAGTTTTCCCAAAGGTTTTTACAAACCGACAAGTTGAAATTGAAAGTTTGCCCTGAAACTGTATATCAGAGGTTCTTTGTGGTATTAAAAATATTTTGAGGGATGTTTACCTGTCATTCTTTTGTAAACACAGAGTTTCATCCGTCAATAACTTTTATTAACCATTGCTTAGATTTAACTTGTCAATGCTAAAACACCTGATGTTGATGTCTAGCCTTAGTGTTGTAGTCCATTTGAATTTTAATACTAATTTTAATTGGCCCTGATACAATTCATTTCCAAAAAGTGCCAAAATTGAACAGCTGTTGCTATTTTTTGTATTAACATAGCTGTGCTACTGCCTAACCATAAAGCAAAAAATTATGGTGGCACTGCATTTTATATAACAAAACTTCTTGTTCACATATGATGGTCTGACAGCTCTCTGTGCTGAGAAATTTGTTATTATTTGAAACTCACAGGACCTGTTAGTAGGACAAATAGTGGCTTTTATGATATGGGATGGTTAAAAACAGTATGAAAGTTGTTGGGCTAGTTCAGAAAATGTTTTAAATCAGGGTGATACGTGGCATATGATTTTTGACCATGATAGTTATATTATTTTAATAGTAAATAACGTGAAACTAAGCAAATAAGTGGCATATTCTGATAATCATTTAAGCAAATAATCATACTTAGTAAGACAACCTTTTGAATGCCAGGATTTAATAAATTTAGGTGTTGATTTGTCACTTTTTGGGATGTACACTATGGTGCTAAACTGGCACCAGTTCAGTTTTGACCTGTATTTTGTTGACACAGTTCACATTGATTCACAGTTTTTGTTTTTGGTTATTTTTTTTTTACTTGCAGTCTTTACTGTCAACACGGACTCCCTATGAAGAATTTCACCGTCTTTTTAAGAGTGTTCCAATGGACCAGTTCCCCATAAATGGTAAGTATATGAACTTACATTTAATAAAATAATATACATGCCAACATTGATGAAAAGGTTTGATGAAAAGTCCTTTTGATTCAAAAAACTTTTGAGTGTTGCACTCTTGATTATTTTATTTATTATAAGAGAATGTCTAGAAATTTTGATTTTGTCATCGTGCCATTCTGTAGTGTCTGCATTTACTTCCAGTTTAACCCCCCCAAAAATTGTTTAACATGTAACATTCAGTTGTTTAACCACTTTAGATTATTATTTTTTATTTGAGTTATGAATTTCTCTTTTTAGATTTTTCCTGTGCTCTAAGTCGTGAAATTCTACTCCAAGGAAGAATCTACATCACACAAGGATGGTTCTGTTTTTATTCAAATATATTTGGTTGGGAAACACAAGTAAGTTTAAAACCTTTGTCCAGTATTGATTCCCTTTTATATCCTATTTTTACTTCTATTTTTGATGTTTTTTCATATTAAAAGAATATTTAGAAGACTTGTAATTACTCCTGGCCAGAGTAATTGCTGGTGATCATGGCAGGCTGTGATCTCTGATTGGTTGAGTGTTATCTCATATCTTAATGCTATAATCATAGAGTTTTCAGGTCTTATTTCCACTACTGCTTAAGTAGTGTTCATTACTCCGAAGATCGCTTTCATATTCACATCTTTATCCACAGTTTACATCATTCTATGATTTTCATACATTCACAGTCAGTTTTCATTTCACTCAAGAAACGAAGTAGGGGAAGAATGTTGTTAGTTGATTGGGAAATATAACTTTGATATCTAAATAAAGAAAAAGCTGAAGAATTCTGTTTAGCAGTGAGTGAATTATCGAATCTCTGAAGAACACCTTGAATACCCTTGTGTTCGCTGACTTAGGTTCCCAATGCAGCACTCAGTTTAAAAAAAAATGAATGGACACCTTATAATTTTTTTATATGTCTCTGAAGAAGAAAATAGTAATTATTATGAAAACTTAAGTTCTGTAGCTCTCAAATTGATATTTTACTAATGGCTTTTAAACGTTACATAGAATATAACATTCTCAAGAAATGCTCAGCTGATTGGTCCCTCAAACTTTATTTCAGCATTATTTAACCCTTTACACCCTAACATCAGTATCCATAGTCTCTATACTCTTCTCTATACATTTCCTTGAGTACTGACAAGGAGAATTTGTTTAACAATCAAAGCTTCTTTGGTTGGCGATCATTTGCTTTATTCTCATGATCTTAATGAATGGTTCAACTGTATGACTGTAAAGAGAAATTAGATGCTGGTCACTCTCAGGGTTTAAAGGGGTTAATGACCGTATTCAGTTAGCCTGGGGCAAATAATTGTTAGTATTATTAAGAAGGAAGAATTAAATGTATTGACTGTTTTTCATTGAATTTGTTTTACTCAGGTAACAATAGACTGTACTAAAATTCAGTCCATAACTAGGGAGAAAACAGCTTATGTTGTACCCAATGCAATTCTTATCTGTACTGATGAGGAAAAGGTTAGCTCATTGCAAGTTGTTTTTGTTATTGGTATTAATTATGTGGTGTGATAATCTTAATAATATTATAACTTTGTTGTTAGCAAAGTTAGGGACTGCTTGTATGACAAACAGATTCCATGTTGCCATGTGTCTGTTAAGTAATAGATCACAGATGATGTAAATATGTGGCTAGAACGAAAAAGCAACACACCACCAGGTGCAGCCAGGTGTGTTGCTGATGTTCTCACCACATTTGGATGTCTTCTGTAATCTATTACTAACAGCACCTGAACAAACCCACAGCAACATGGAATCCATGTTTTATGTGATAAAACAAGCAAAAGGTTGTTATTGGTGAGGCCATATATACATCTTTCCTCCAATAGATCTTAACCCTTTACACCCTAAGATCAGTATGCACATTCTCCATACTGTTCTACATATATTTCCTAAGATGCTGACAAGGAGATTTAATTGCTTAACAATCAAGAGCTCTTGTATTTGTTGATCATTTCCATTACTCTCATGAACTTAATGTATGATTCAGGGCTGATACTGTAAGGAGAAATAAATCACAAATTTACTCTGTAACTGAACTGTTTTTCACCTTTTGCAGCACTTCTTTTCATCGTTCTTATCCAGAGAAACTGTCTACAAACTCCTCCTTCAGGTGTGGGATGAAGTAAAAACTAAGAATCAGGTTAGTACATGAGGTCACTTAACTTATTCCAGGTCTGATTGATTTCTGTTTTATACCTTTAGCTGGTTACTGGTAACTTGTATCAGTCATACTTATTTACAGTTATAATAGGTACTTTGAATGCTCCATCATCACCATGTAGCCATTGTCATTTCTCTCTGATCTATGCCTTTTTAACTTACTGAATGGCCTGATGAAAGTGTGTTCATTGTTTAGTTAGTAATTTCTTGTGAACAAAGAAGACTGATAAAAAAGAAATTTGAAATTTAGAGTTGTTACACATTACTAAAAGCTAGTGCCTTGGTTGAAAAATAAAAGAAGTTTCTAATAAATAGTTGTGATCTATTGGTACTTGATGTTGTGAATTTGTTTCTTTAATTCAGAAAATGGATGAAGCTGATGGAGAGAATCAGGTGAGTAGTAGTTATCTTGAGAGTTCAAGATTTGATTTTTTGATTAAAACTGTTGGGCTTTCATCCATTGAGGGGTAATTACTTTAAGACTTTTGCTTCATTATAATTTATCAACTGAAGATGCTGGATAGGAGTGCTTTAAGGCTCAGAAGAGGAATATTTGATAACTCAAATATATCATTACTCACAGTGAATACTTTTAAAATGATTTTACAGCAGTTTGTGTGTTAAGTAATTAATATGTATTGTACACATGCTCACATGTGACCTATTCTCTCCCAGCAAACTGAAGCTGGTTCTCCATCAGAAGATAAAGATGTGTGGGAAGATGAAGATGAAGATGAAGAACAGAACATAGAGGAAAACGATGGTACATTGATAGATGTTACCACCTTACTGATTCAACTATAATGTGTTTAACATGTTTAATGACTCTGTTAATGGTTGTGTTTTCAATGAAATATAAGTGCAATTAATCTGAGATGGACATTAATATTTCTGGTTTTTTAGTCAATTTTTACAATTTGTAAGTTTTAATGCTCTGGAAATTCAATATGAGGAAACTTAATTGGTTAATATGAAACATTTGAAAATATTTTTAAATTTCAACTTTTCTTCCAGTCAATCAGCAACGTAGGACTATATGTACATGTTCTTGACTGTGTTTCTGTATAGGTTCTAGTTGAAGAACTGATATATTAACCTTTGAACTCCTAGAAGTGATTAACATACAACTTCTCCCTATAACATCCATACATTATTCAGCAAACAGGTAATGAGAATATTCAAACTTATCTGGTAGAAGTTGTTATCTTGATCTTGGATCAATTGTAACTAATTTACAAGCCAGGGAATGTGTAGTCGTTAGGGGGGAGAATTTAGAGTCAGATCTTGGGTTAAGGAGTAAATCGACTTTAACTCTTCATATTAAACATATTTTGAGTTGCATAATTTTATTGCAGATCATGATCTTCACTTTACATTTATGTCATTTCATATGTAGATGAAGACCATGAGTGCAGTGCTGGTGGTCCTGGAGAAAATGCTGGTCATTGCAAGAAATGTGAACAAGCTAGAAAAGCATCCTCTGAAAATTTATCAAGAATTAAAGATGTGGATGAGGAAGGAAAAATGGTGATGAGTAAAAGAGGTGGCCATATTTCACATCTGGGTGAAAAAAGCTCCGTTTCTAGATGTCAAGACCCTGCAAAAATTACTGGCTGTGGTAAGAGCAGCATTCATTTGATGTGTGTATTAATTATCAATTATTAAATAATAGTTTGTTAAACTCCAACAGCACTTTCTAATTAAGATATATATGTTCAGTGATAGTTTTTGTTATTCATAGTTTGAAAACTTAAATAATTCATAACTAAGTAATCACAGCTTATTGCTGGAAAGTTTATTGTCATTTTTAATGTTTTGTAACTGTTATCATTGTAATATTTTGTAACTTTCTGTTAGTGGTATTTATCTGGTTGTTTGTTTGTAATTTGCCTTTTTCGTTCTATTGTTTACTTATGGTGTGTGTATTTATTGTATTTTGCTTATTTTTCAGCTGGTGCTGCAATGTTTTTAGCTTCAGTAGCTGAAACTGTTTACTCATACTTTCAAGTCAGCCTGCGTTTAGTCAGAAGGTGGGTGAAGGCACTGCAGTATTTAATGGACATGTGAATCTTATTTGTAAGTGTATAGAAGTTAAAAGTTACAATATTATGTATAGTTTGTAACAGTTTCCTTTGTATTTTAGAAGTATCTGAATGATACTTGTTCTGAAAATTTGACATAAGATAAAAGACAAGAGAAAATGCTCAGAATATTTAAACATTGTTAGCTGAGAGAAATGAAAGATTTTCTTGACCAATAGCAAGAAATAACTGATATTAATGCCATAAAGTTTATTATATCATTATAAGGTTATTATTAAACTTTCTATTACTTTAATGTTTTTACTAAGTGGAAACATTACTTTTTGCACACTGGTCAAACTTTGTCTTTGCAGACTTACAAGGGAACAGCTCTTTTACATAACTACTTGTTTTCTGTAAGTACTAAGAGTTTTTATCAAACTCCTTTGATGTAAGCAGCTCTCATTAAAGTTTCTTTTAATTTGTAAACCTCATGATTATAATAATTGTGGCAACAATGAAGGCGGTGATTATGTCAATGATCAGGTCAATGATGATGATAATGTTTGTTTGTTTTATCATGTTTAAGTGTCATTGAGACTTACATGTACAGTGAAAGATTGAATATATTTTAATTTTGTTTCAGAATAACATGTTTAATAATGTGCAGTTTATTCCTGCTTCAACGTATTTCCATATTGGAACCTAAAATCATGGCACAATTATCTTATCCTCCAGAAAAGATTCTTCTGTAAGTTGGATTGACGAAGGTTTTTATTAGTTTTGTATGAGCTTTAGGTAATGTTGTTCTCATTTACCAAGAAACTTCGTACTATATTCCTTGATAAGCATAAAATGCATATAACAATAGAACATTTGGATTGAGCGTTCTAGAAAAAACCAATTAATTAGTAAGTAATTGCAGCAGCCAATTAGAGTGAAGGAAAATATCACAAGGAACCAATCAGAACTCAAGTAAGAACAAGATTTACTTCATCAAGTGATTGTGCAAGCAACTTAAAGGAAATTAGTTTTAGTTTTCAGAGGGTACTGTAGTAGGAGTTTTCCAAACCAATTGCAGAGTAAAGTTAAACAGATGATTCTATTGTTATTATTCAGATGATATCTGATATTTATTATTTATTCTTATTGATAATTATCTTGATGTTAATTTTTTTTCCAGTCAAAAGTCAATGCATCAATTGTGGAAACTTCGTCAGGAAGTTTTTGATGCAGAAATAGTTAGGTGAGGATATTTCTGACTTTTCTTGGATTAACATTTATTCTACCCTAGCCATATACTACTCCAGCAACTGTGAGAAACAATGACTCCAATTTTTTAATTGAATTTCATTCCAAGATAAAACATTCAGTTTTATACAACCACAAAGTAATCTATGTCACATGATTGATGACTACATGGAATAATGTTTTATTTTGTTTTACAGATTTAAAACAATTGTAGCAGCCAATTTGAATGCAATCACACAGGTATGTCACTTGTTCACTATCTAGATAATCTTTAAGTCTAACTTATTATGACCTGATATAATTATATGGAATACTCCAAGGTGCAACCAGTTTGGTTGCATGGCAAGAAGAAAAAATATTTGTGTCTTATCTTGCAAGGAAAGTTGCCAATTTTGTGACCTGCAATGTCCCTTCTTCTTATGGCTAAAATTTTATTTCTGCATGGTGACCATTTTATCATTTTAGATTTCCAACTTGTCATTTTAATAACAATTAAGCCTAAAGCCCTAACAAGATTGTAAAATGATGAACAATCTATTTTAATGACCAAAGCATTTTTTTTACTTTCCTGTAGGTGCGGCAAACACTCAAAATGTTGGAGGATGATCTTGATGCTCATATGAGTAGAAATTGTACTTTACTTGCAAACAATGTGTGTGTACAAATTTGAGAACAGGGACTTCCTCTTAAGCCTCGATTACAGAACACTGATGTCAAGTACTTTCATCATACATCATTGTCTACATAGAAAATCTGCAAATCTGAAACATCAACTACCCTCTCCAAAACTTTCAAGTAGCCTGAACTCAAGTTGCCTGTGTTCCAAAGTGCAACCAACTTGAAATGAATTTAAATTTAGGTGCTCTTTAAGACGCATTTTCAAATTGGTTATTTATTATTGGCAAACGGTAGTTTTATGAGCAGTGTATTTATTCCATAAGTTTTATAGAAATATATAAATTGGCGAGAAGTATTTTGTATTTAATACATTTGAATGATGACGAAGAGGTAAATACTGAAAATAATTTTTACATAATATTCATTCTTAAATGACAGTGATTTGAAGTGACTGAGGCAAAGCCTTATAAACTAGAAAAAAGGGAAGAAGTGGTAAAATTACATAACTTTCATCAGATTTATTTGAAAGAACAGTTGAAAACTATTGTCCTTTCTATGGCAACAAGTACACTGAAACATTTGAAATGAGCCTCGACAGTGCAGGCATTGTCATTTCTCAGCTAAAGCAGCCAAGCTGCTGGAGTTTTCAAGGGTGAATATTTTCAAAAAGTGTACAGTTTGGTAAAGTTAGGGTTTTTCTTGATATCAAGTCATGGGAAATCAGCTTGGGTTAGGGAATTGTTCATTACACGGCAATTTTTATGATCATCATGTATGTTTAACAAAGAAATTGTAATTTCTATCATCAAAACACAGTGTGAGGAAATGCACAAAGTAGATTCCATGAATTTTAATTAATAGGTCAGTTACTGTACGTACTTTAGTCAAAGGAGCAGAAAAGATGCAGATCTATTAGGAAATGGTAAATTTTAAGATATTAGATATAATGCAATTTAATAGGGAATATTTGAAAGAATAAAAACAATGAACTTAAAGTGTTGTGTACTTACACTGTCTGAATTCTGTGAACCCTTTAACTCCCAAGATCTCATTAGTAATTCTCCTTACTGTCTGCCATACAGTTCTTGTGATGTTAGTTTTGAGAATTTGGTGTTGGATCAACTAATAATCCTCTGATATTTTTCTTTATTCTCATCACTTGTCTGCTTGATAGATTACCCCTGAATTACACATTAAGGTCACCAGAACAAAGGAAATGATCTTGATTATCAAACAAATTGTTATGTATAGAGGACAATATGGTAAATATGCATTTATATGATAAGCTCAGTTATGCACGCATTCTGATTGGTTCTCACTTATGATCTATCAGAGGACAGACGTATAGATGACGTCATCATTAAAACTTTTTTTAAATTCTTTATTATATAAAACAAATAGATTCCAAGTTGCTGTGCATCTGTTCAATAATAGATCACAGAGGACGTCAAAATGTGGTAAGAACATCAGTGACACACTTGGCTGTGCCTCGCGTGCCACTTTTTTGTTCTTACCACATTTTGACGTCATCTGTGATCTATTAATGAACAGACACATGGCAACTTGGAATCTATTTGTTAAACTGATGTCAGGGTTACGGTAAGCCAATCATTTAAAAGAGTTCAGCATTTTTTGAACAGGCTCCTTCACTATTCAGTTTCATTTGTTGAAAAATGGTGCATGGATACACATCAAACAACCTCTCCTGTTTATCTCCTCTACTTTTGAAGCAGCACTATTAACAAACGAAATGCATGTAATAAGCTTCTTTTCAATCAAGGGGAGAATGGAAATTGGTTAAATTTGCCTATCTCTTTGCTTGATTTTATTTACCAGCTTTGAAGTGGTGAACATTGCTTCTTCTGGTATTAGTGACTTAAGAGCATGAACTCAGAGTCCCAAATGCTAAGCTGAAGCCAAAACAACATGCATCCTCCCCTTGAGTGCACTATGATGGTATTTAAAAAATTACTCACCTACTTCCAAAGGGAGGGAGGTTACTCCTCTAAAAAGCTTTTCAGTTTATGAGGGGCATCCCATCTACCAATTACTGTAAGTTTGTGTTAAATCCTGAATGCACAAAAGTAAAAATTATCAGAACCATCCATTTCCATAATGCAGTATTATTTTAAGTGCTGATTCTACCTGACATGAGGTCCAAATTTAGAGACCCCTATGGCATTAATGCCAAAAAATGTACAGGTTCACAACACTGATTAAATACTCTAATGTTTTTTGTTTTTTATGCTGTCAATAAGACATGTTATTGGTAGTTTTACTTTCATTGGTCAAACTTCCTATTGTAAGTAACAGACAACAAGTATCAAGCATTTATTTCATATAAGTTTAATGTCCCAAGTGTTTCACACCACTAAATGAATACTGGTAATTGAAAAATGGATATCTAATGCATATAAAGTCACTCATAGACACTAGCTTACATACAAAAATGAATACTAAATTCAGAGTTTGGATGTTCTAAACTCATTTGGCACTTAATCTGGTTTGTGTGTTTACTACCAACTCTCCAATTATTTTAAGAAACAAAGTCAAGTCATTGCTTGGCAAAACCATCTTTAAAGGCCTTTTTCAATGAAGTTATGCACAATAAATAAACATCAAATTTGTGAAATGTCAAGAAGGCTCAAATATAACTCTGGAAAAAAAACATTCACAGCTTAAAATGGCCCCTTTTTTAAAGGAGTCTCAGGGTCAAATGATAGTCCAAACCTACAACCAACCAGTCTTATGAATTTCTACAGAAGTTACTGGTGGATTTCTACCATTCTGCTAATTTTTCAAGTTATATGCCTTAGGTAAGTTACTATGCCCATGAATTTATCTTATACTGAATGCAAGAAATATCCAATGAAATAATATTCCTTTGATAAAAATTTACAAAGTTTTGCCAGCAGAATAAGTTAGTTGTTAAAAAACAATGAAATTACAAAAACCAAAGACAATTCCTGTCTATTATATAGTTATGTATTTATTTGTCACAAATAGAGGTCAATTTGGATAAATTATAATACAACATAGTTTTCCTCCTTTACAGAGACTCCTCGCAAAAAAAGATAAAAAAAGGAACTAGAAACATAGTAAAATAAAGAAATTAAATGTTAAAAAAATCTCCTGTAAATCTGCCACATTCTTTTTTCTTTGGTCCTATTTACAGCACTCCCCAAATTCAAATCTGAATAGATTATTCTTAACTTACACCCATACCAGAAAACCCAGAAAAAGAAATGATCTTTGTATTTCTCAAAAGTTGACCAAATGTTGATTGCTAGAGGATGCAAACAGCTCTACCTTAAAGTTGAGATGTATTACATCATTAATGCTTAGTCCACAGCTTTTGCAGTTCCAAATTAGCAATCAATCCTTAGTCAACCATAAATAGTGACATAAAGACTATTTACAATAGTAATAGTGCTATTCTTCAGTTCAAAGTACTCAAAAAGAGCATTAGACAAAGGACATGGAATAATAATCACTCAATTCAAGAAGAAAAACTTCAAGCAATATGTACAGCATAATTTTTGGTGATTTTGCACATCTACAATTTCTACTTCTAACAAAAAAGGTCCTATGGATGACAAACCAATTGGTGATCTAAGAAATCTTGTCACAATTTTCCTATAAATTGATGATCATATTTCAGACAAACTACTGAAATCTACTTCCCTAGCTTTCCAACTAATACCATATGAGAAGAAACTTATATTTTTAACCTCAAATTTTGTATTGAGCTTAGACATACTGAGCTTCAAAGATGTTTTCTCTGTGCTATATACAATTTGTTCTAATTCCCTGGAAAAACCACACTTGCCCTATACAAATAAAATAGGTTAGCCTAAATGTGTTACCCAAACAACCATATGCATTCTTAATTTCATAAAATTGTCCGTAGCCTCAATAAATTACATCCTCTGGGTAAATACACTAAGCAACTGCTATTATGGGCCTGCCACGTCCAAAGCCTGCATGGAAGCCTCTGGTACCATCAGGACCTTTAGGGAGTCTTTGAACTCCCTCCAACTGAATCATCCTATGTCGTGGACTGGTAGAGTCAACCAGTGGGCTGGATTTTTGAGAATGGCTGCTGTTTGGTGATCCAAACTTGCGGCGCTGCGACCATGGGCTGTTAGGAGTGCTGTTAGGAGCACTGTTACTTCCTTCCTTGACAGAAATGTTGGAAAGCTTCCTGGGAAGTTCTGGACTACTCTGTGGTGATCGGCGGGCACCTATGCCTAGGGTTCGTGGGCTGGTAGTGGGTGATCCGGCCCTCTCTGGTGTTGGACTTCCACCACTGTTATACCTGCGTCGACAGGTACTAAATGATGAGTAGGAGTTATCTGTATCTGAAGAACAGGAACTTGACAAGCTATCATCTGAGTTCTTGCCCATTAGCTCTTGCACACGTTTATCTTTCTTTCTGTTTCGGCGTTTCTTTTTAGAATCGTCGTGTTCCTCGTCTGAGTCTCGCCCGCCGTCGCTTCCCCTTTCTTTGGATTTCGTCTTGGACTTTGATTTCTCCTTCTTGGCGCCATGTTTGCCAAGTTCTACCACTTTCATGCCGCCTTCCTTCGACAATTCACTACACGCACGGGCAGCTGCGGCCATCGTTTCGAAGGCTACAACCGCAGTTGTTTCCTTCTCGAGTTCCGGATGTTTGGCAAAGTAAGACTTTAAATCAGCAGGGATTGGTTTTCCTGGCCGAATGATGCGGATTAATTCAATCTCCCCGCATTTAGAGAAAATCTCGCTTACACCTTCCATCGTCGCGTTCTCTAATCGAGTGACAACAACAGTTCTCCCTGGATTACGTTCGAGAAGTTCTGAAGGAAGGGGTACATTTCTTCTCACCTTTGTCTTCTCTGAATTCAGGGAAAGCTCCTTTGATTTATCCAGGGCTTCGGCGACCACTCTATAATCTTTTGTCAGCGTTTTTACTTTCTTGAACGACGTTATAAGCTTCAAGTTTACGTAACCTTCTTTGTTACGACGGACATGCTTGAGCAAAAAGGCATCTTTAGCAAGATTATCGTCGCCCAAGTAAAACTCGACTTGGGACACAATTTTCTCCGCCAGTTCATCGCTAGGAGGTTGGAAAGGTTCAGTTCCATCTTTACCATCGTTGTCGGAGTGAGAATCGACGGGAGAGCGCCGATATTTACGATCGACTTCATCTTCTGAATGCGACGAACCCGCTACGTCATGATCAGAACAAGCGGTGGAACTGACTTCTTGTCCGTTCAACAACAACTTTGGCGAAGCTTCAACTTTCTCTGCGGTTTTCCCTTGTAAACTTTCTTCCCTCTGATCGTCAGCCATCTTTAATAAAATGCAAAGAGGCAGATGGCCCGTCAGCTAAATCTCGCAACCCACTTACTACTTCGTGAAAATACAACTGATCGGAAACCGTTCCGCCGCAGTATTTATAATCCTCACGTGGCCCAAGTACGGATGACGTAAGAACGAACTATTCTTTCAGTTCCGGTTGTTACATGAAATGTTTCACATTTCAGACAAAATCTATCATACGGCTATTTTTACTTCTTCCTCCAAAAATAAATCGTTTCGATTTGCTCGTAAATAATTCAAACGTGTCGTTTATTCCAAACTGTTGGCTAATTACGGGGAAGAACAGCCATATTCAAAATATTTCGTACGTGTAAGTACTCACGGAACTCTCGAGATATTTTAGACGTGCACGTTGCATTGGACACGTTTCAATAAAGATGTCAGCCGGTGTCATGTTATGTACTTCGAGTCACGACTACGTTTGCTGATAAAAACTGAAAAGAAGTATTCCAAAATTATCACATATTGCTGCTTTCGTCACTAAAATACATTTGAAGAAAAATCCGTCAGAAAACACGTCATTACGATGTCATTTTACTGAAAGACTCCTAAACAAATCGTAAGATGCTATAGCAATTCTGAAAGAGGATTACACCATAAAATACTTTGATCAACATGATACAAAGTTCGTCAAATAATATACTTTGCAGCGTGACATCACTTCTATATCACAAAAACCCACAATATTATTAATAAATCGTAGTATTGAGCTTTGTGCTCTTGGCCTCGCGGCTTTTTTAAAACGTATTTTGAAAATTTTTGATAGATATAATTTTTTGTTTTGCTTTCCCCCGCGCAGTTGAGTGCATATTGCCCCCCGAGTGACTCTTATGTATGAACCGCTAAAATTCCTTTTATCTGTTTGCAATATCTATGAAAAACAATTTAGAAGAAACTGTATTTCCGTTCGTTAAACAAAAAATTCACTGTGTATTTGTTATCATATTTTTAAGAGAGACCAGCCAAAAATTCTCATGATTGATAATGACTTGAAACGGCTAAGAACTTCCCGAAGCGGAAATAGGAATCGAGTGGATCTATTTGGAGTTGAAGAAAAGGAAAGCTCCCGATTTATTAGTGGGGAGTCGAACTGTTTCTATTACTTCATCCTCTCTTTCAGTCGCTGATTGGTTTTCACATTATGTTTCACACTATGCTTTATTTATAAATGTTTTTATCTTTATCAAATATTAGACAGTTGATTGCCATCTACAAAGTAGATTGACCAACTCATCAGAAATAATCAAGCCTCAAAGAAAAATGATCGTGAAATTTTTTTTAGCATTCCGCTTTTACTCGAAAAAAGAGAGTCCTTAAGTCAGATTTTTACGTCCGTAGCTTATGTATTATTTTAGCTTCTATTTGTACGCTTGGTGTAAATCTATTACAGGAGTGTCTCATTTTAAATCATAACATATCTATCCTTCTTTATCTACATTTTTTGGAGTTGTATACAAACGTGCGCAATTTTTAGTTGTTTCTGTTCCCGTACTTCGGGGAAATGTTTCTAAAACGGATTTTCCCCTCTTATCCGTTACCCATAAGAAAATTTCAGTTTCTGTTTCACGGGAAGGAAGATTTTTATTATTCGAGAATATTATCCGAGTTCTGAAACAGAACTGGCAGATTTTTTATTAGATATTATTCTTTAATATTCCAAGTGGAAAGAAACTAATAATATCAAAATGTTTGATTTGTTAATGGAAAACGACCTTTAAGGGTAGTTTCAGCAAGTCAGGATCATCCCGATTAGTGTGACTAAAGTATAACCGGTGTCTGCTTCCTTAAGTGAGAAAGGAAGGACATTTGAGTGTGCGTCTGCCCTTCCTTATAGCAATGTGGAAACAGTTACAGTGGGCAATTAACGGGAAACGTGACCTTATCACAAAAATACGCAGGGCAGGTATGCTTAAAGCAAAAACTTCCGTGAATATTTACGAGTTATACGTGTCTGTTCGGCTTCGCTGAAGCGAAACGTGTACTCATTCCTCTTCCATCGTTACTGAAACAAACAGATGGACGTGAAACTTCCTTAAAAATGATAGACTTGAACTATTGGAATCTTGCACGACATTGTAGAAAAACGGTTAGGTGCTCATGTGGAAGTTTTAATCAGCTTCACCAAAACATAACCGGTATAGTTTATTCAAAAGCTACCGGTGTTCCTTAGAAAAAAAAAACTTCTCAATTGATATTTTTGTTCAAGTCCGACAAATTTCACACGAACAAAGAAACTTCCTCGCACATGCATGTTGCGTGGAGGGAGGTGGGTATCTCATTGGGTTATTTTCCTTAAACTTAACTGTAGAGTTCCGTTTGTTATGGCGGGGTTTTCTTTGATCTTACACATCGCGATTCCACGTACTGTGCAAGCGAATAAAAAAAATTTTAAAAAAAGTGAGTTTTATTGATCAAATTATGATCAAAATTCGGTTATTTTGGGACGAGGTTTTGTCCTTTCCAAAGCTTTTACAATGTAGATTACGGAAGTTGTTTAAGTAATTACATTCCTGTTGTCATAACTTATGAGATAAAACGTATTGTGTTCTGAATGCATGTCCTGCCTTTAATTGGAAGTTGTTGTGTGTTGCCAAAAATGTGTTTATTTGATATGGCTCACTGAGGTTATGGACAGGCATGAAATATTCCAGTCGAGAAATACAGCTCAAAGCTACAAAATTTCATATCATCCTTAAATCTTGCAATTCAGTGTTCTGAATCAGTTTCTCTCTCAATCAAAACAAATAAAGGTTTTCGTGCATGATAAGCAACGGTTTACATTCAGATTCTCGCTTGATCTTTCTTATTCGTTGTGAAGAAACAATCAAGGTAATGTAGCGTATATTAAACACGCACAGAATGAAAAGTGAAGGTCGCATCTAGCAAAGCCATTAAATATAGTAGGTTGAGAACCACACCGCTGCTGAAATAACTTTAATAACAGTAGTTAGCACAGAGACACGCTCAAAATTGTTATTTTCACCATAAGATCTGATTAAGATACCAGTAATATTTTGTGTGCTTGACAGTGGTATTTTATTTTTAGCAATAAAGGAAAAGTAGGTGGAGGTATCGTATCCTGTTTTGATGTCCTCGTTTTTGTGGGCAGTTAAATTATAACGAGGGAATGCTTGGCTAGGGATTTGACCTTGGCCGTAAAGGAATGGGTAACAGACTAAAATAAATGTAGAGTAACTATGTCATTATGAACATCGCATAATTTTAGCTGACACAGGAAGTTTTGTAAGCAACGAGCAACGAAGTACAGTGAGCTTTGAGAACAACCCGAATATAATTACTTCCTCTCAAGGCATAACAAACTCTGTAATACGCTTGCTGTTTCGATTGCTCCAAGACTTCTTCGAAATCTGTCGGTTTGAAAGATAGGCTGAAGAGTTCCTGGTAGCCCCAGGGATATTTACTTCAACCTCTGAAAAGAAACGAAACAGCTTCATTCAGATGTTGAAGACCATAGTCCTGTATTCCTAATCACGATAAATTTTGAGAAAAGGCCGAAAACAGAGAGTAAATCAAGAGACTATAAATAATCCAGTGAACACTGTCGATGCTAATCAAAACACTAATTTTTGTCTTGCTTTTTTCCTCATTTTCTCAATATATAAATGCATCTTTTATGTATATTTTGTTTGCAGCGCGCTTTTAACGGGAGGCTCTTGCGCGGGAGTTTAAGTGACCAAACCCTACGTTTCAACACTACATTTAATTGATCAGTTTTAAGTTAGCAATCCTGTTAGCAACCAGTTAGCAACTACATCTTTGGTAAATGTAAGGCATCTTTCAGTGATACTTTGGTAGCGCCCGTCGTTCTAATAAATATTGTTTTGAATCAATTATTTGAACTTTTCGATTTGACCATTCAATATATATTTATACTAATTTTTTTTAGTATATTTTTGATTCCTGACTTCATATTTTACCATCTGGATATTTTGTTCATAGTTATGTCTTGAACAGTAATATGGGACAATTTAATAAAAGATAATTTTCTCCAACCCAACCCTCCATAAAGTGCAGTCTCACTCTCAGAGCCTCTGTTACCCTTATTTAGTGCAACAGGTGCTAGTTGAGGTAATGAAAGGGAACAAAGACTCAGGAAACAAGAGTGTCCCTCAGGGCTCCACGCAAACTCTGTTGAACACTTGCTGTTTGGAGAGCAGCAAGGCTTGTTCAAAATCTGTGAGTTTGAAAGATGGGCTGAAGAGTTCTTCAAATGGATATTTATTACATGTTCTGGACAGAAACGAAACAGCTTCATCCAGATGTTGTGGACCATAGTTGTGAATTCCTGATGATGATCAATGAAAAGAAAAAGGAAAATAGAGAGTGAGTCAAAAGGCCATTGATAAACAAGTAGACATCTCACTGTAAGTTCAAGCATCCTTTGATACTTACCTTTAATAGTGACACACTTTCTTATGATCTGTTCACCAGTGATATCTAAATTGGAATTTGGATGTACCATACCAGCAAGCACATACAAACCCCCAGTGCGAAGGAGTCTTATTCCATCAGGTATCACTCCTGGGAATCCACAAACCTGTAAATAAATACACAACATCTCAGACTGCAATTTGATGAATTCTGAAAAACAATGCCTGGAATAATCCTCTATTATTTAAGACAACTAACTACAGTCAATAAGTTACCAAATGGATAAAACCTCTACACCCTAACATCGGTATGCAAGTTCTCCATACTAATCTTTAAACAATTCCTAAATAGGAGAACTTGTCAAACAATCAAGAGCTTCTTGAGTTTCTGATCATTTCCCTTTATAATTCTCATGAACTTAATGTTTGATTTAGGGGTGAAAATGTTGGGAGAAATTAGATACTCATCACTCTTAGGGGTTGGAAGGGTTAGATTCCAAAAAGTGTAAACTGATATAAAATGCATAACTTTCAGTATGAAGTAATAAAAGTTCCTCACCTCTATAACCACATCAACAGAGTTGTCACCAGGGTCACTTGGAGGGCTCCCATCTATAAATTTGGAAATTATGTGGACTAGTAAGTCTCTCCTTATGTGAGTTTGTTGTTAACGCTGTGGAAGGTAAAATTTTAATGAAAATGTCAAGAATAAATCCAAAAAGGGATTGATATGATGAGAAATATCATGCTATAACTTATTTATAATATACCTTTTGTTAATTAAATGGACTGCCCTTGGAAGGAGCTTAATCATCACAAAGCAATCAAATTATATCACATCACTTCATATACACCTTTAACTTTGATCTAATGATTTTATCACACTTACATTGGATTTCCACAAGGAGAAATGTAAAAAAGCCTATCTTACCTGTTATGACAGGAATTCCACCAAACCTTTGAACTATTTCCAGTCTCTTGGGTTCAATATCAGAGCAGTAAACTTTTCTGAAGCCAGCTTCTTGAAGAAGCACACAGCCATAAATTCCTAACAGGCCACACCCCTATAATGTTACAATTGAGCTGTACAGTCATCAAGTTGACATATTTTGAGGTTTAAAAGAAATTTTAAAATTTTTTTTGAGAGTTTCAGAGCTGACATTTCGAGTGTCAGCCCCTCCCTTGGAGCAAATGATGAAGGACTAACACTAAAAACATCTGCTTTTAAACTCTTAACAGTGGCCAATTTAAGTTATCAACTCAGTTGATAATACCAAATTACCTTGTTATACTCTCTCACCCATGCAGCATCACAGTTTCTTTAAAAACTTAACCCCCTTTATTCAGTTGGATATTACACAGATTTACTGAATTGATTGAGCCATTGGAGCACTTTTTTTTTGCATTGCATGCCTGTCAAATTTCATAATTGCTTACCTGAATTAAGGCAACTGTATCACGATGAGGATTTTCTCCTGTAAGTCCAGACACAACATTAACCATTGTTGCTAATGCACAATTAATGGTGGCAGCCATATTATCTCTGACATGACCAGGAATTTTTGCGACATGTGTTCCACTGTGTATGATAATATGGGATGCATAACAGCCATTAAGTTGTGATTCTTCTGTCATGATAGAGTGACCATACTATAAAAACAAATGAGAGCCCAGAGTGAATCTAATGCTTTACACCCTAACATCAATATATATGCATTAATTCTCTATACTGTTCTTGATACAACTCCTAAGGTACTGACAGAGAGAATTTGTGTAACAATCAAGAGCTTCATTATTTGGTGATCATTTCCTTTATTCTTGTAACCTTAATGTTTGATTGTAAGGAGAAATTAGATGCTAGTCACCCTTTAACTCCCATGAGTGACCAAGACAAAATTTCTCCTTATAATATTAATACAATATCAAGCAGACAAGTGATGAGAATAAAGAAAAATATCCAAGAAGATCCAAGACCAAATTCTCCAAACTAACATCACAAGAACTGTAAGGGAGACAGTAAGGAGAATTATCAATGAGATCTTGGGAGTTAAAGGGTGAAGAGAAGAAAGAGCAAGATTTGTATTCTTTGGGGAATACTACAATTGACTGAAAGCTGCTTTTTAAGACTCTATGGCCTCAAGTATTTAGTAGGCATAGAATATAGTCCCTCACTGATTGTGTTTAATGGTCAGTGAGGTCAGGCTTCAGAGGAAAGGTTGACATGTCTAGGAGGAAGAGAGGCAGAGAGAAAGAGACCAAAAAATAAAAATTATTTAATAAATAACCTTTCACTGTTAGAAGCATCCAACATACAATTTCTCTTTTCAATATTGATACCTTGTTCAGTAAACAGTTGAATGTCAGATGTTGTCTTGATGTAGCATCAAATTCTCTCAAATCATTCGCAAGAAAATGATTGGCAGATGAATGGTAGAATTAACCCTTTAACTCCCTTGAGTGACCAAGTCAGAATTTCTCCTTACAATATCAATACAATATCAAGCAGACAAGTGGTGAGAATATAGAAAAATGTCAGTTTGGGAATTATGAGTTGATCCAATACCAAATTCTCCAAACTGACATCTAAAGAACTGTATGGGAGAAGTAAAGAGAATTATTTATAAGATCTTGGGAGTTAAAGGGTTAATGATCACAACTGTCAAGTGTCTTTCTCAAGTGTGCCATGTAATTTCTCTAAACAAGAAATAACCTGAACCCTTTAACTCTCAAGAGTGATTGAAATGTAACTTTTCCCTATAATATCCATACATTATCCAGCAAAAGATAAAGAGAATTCTCAAACTTATCAGGTACAGGTTGTTGTCTTCATCTAACACCAAATTCTCATAACTAAGTTACAGGTAAATGTGTAGCAGCTAGAGGGGTGAATTAACAATCAGATCTTGGGAGTTAAAGGGTTAATTGTTTTATCCGAATTCCAGTTTGACATCCATTAGGTTCTGACATACTCACCAGGACCTAGCCCTCCTCCGGATCCCAAATGCCCCCTTCCCACACTTTTCTTAAAAAAAAAATTTATCCCATTGTTACCTTGAACAAAGAAATGCATTTCTGCTGAAGTCCTTCCCTGCAGTTTTCACATTTGTTGCAACAGTTGATGACATGAAATGTTATTCTGTCTCCTTTTTCAATGTCAGTATCTGGACGCAGATGATTGATTACTTCTACAACACCTTCATGTCCAAGAATGCTAAAATTTAATGACATCCCATGAGTATCTGTGAGAGGTGAATTAGTTGATGAAAAAAGGACTGTCTTGTCGTTAAAGTTACAAAATCTTCATCTTTAAAAAATAAATATATTTGAGAATTCAAATAGCATGGACTGACTTGAGGTGCTTGTTATGAGAGGAGTTCACCTATATAGGTTTATATAATCTTAAAAGTATGATCTCATTGGGCTGGTTATTAAAATGAAATTTAGCTGTTGTCTAACAATGCCAGGGCAACAATACTCAATTTAGCAGGACCTTTTATCTGAACATTTGTTTTTGTGAACACTGTCAAGAGAGCCAAAAGCCAACAGTAGAGGAACATTTCATTAATTATATCAACCCTCTTGTGGAGAAAGTCTGAGCCCACTGATTGTGTAAAACAACAGTTTAGGTTAGACCTTGTGTAAATAACAGGTCCATAGTATTCAACAATGCATGTTTTTTTTTTATATCTTTTTTTTATATCTATATATTTATATATCACATATATTAGGGGGAAAAATTCTATCAAGTGAATTCATCCAAAATACATTTTACAAAGCAGTCTATAGAGGATGTGTGTTATGGTTATGGAGTGATATTATACTATCACAGTAGAACCCTCATTTTTTGGATCTACCCCTAAATTAAATTCCTCCTTTTTGTTTTCAATAACTGTTTTATTTGGCTAACAAATATTAGCTCATCTTCCTTGATACCTTAAACAGCCAGAATTAGGTAAGGTCATGGATTAGGTAAGGTAAGGTCATATACTTGCAGGCACCTTAGTGACAGAAAGATAAATTTAATATTTATTTTGTTTTTCAAAGCATGCATCCCAGAATGGCTACTGGTAATCAAACAGATGCTTTGGGTTTTACTTGTTGCTCTTTGACTTTTGATTAAATTGCCTCCACAGAACAATTTGTTTACTTTGACTAGACCTTTTGCTAAAAAGAGTTGGTCAATAGGACAGAAAAAAGAGAATAGAAAAACTGACTGAGAGAGCCTGAGTGCAGAGGAAACCCAGATGAGAGCATTTGCTTATTAATTGTTTTCCTGACCCAAACACACATTAAAAATATAAGTCTGAAAATTAGGAGTAATTCTTTCACAAACATGTATGTTGACATTCCTGCCTTTAATGAAAAATCTTCCTTTGAAAATTTGAATTTGAAGGCAATTTACAATAATTTGCATATTTGCCCAGTACTTGTTCTGGGTGTGCACGTTGGAATCTTTAGAGCTAAGATACCTTCCCATATCAACCAGACCTCCTCCTCCACCCAAGGAGCCATTTTCTTTATAACTTCAATAGACATACGGAAAGAAAAAGCGCCTTTCAAGCTTTCACTCCTTCCCCTTCCCCTCCCCCCACAAAAAAATGCTCTTAAGGAATGGGGGGTGGAAGAACCCAAAGATCCATTTATTCAATTAACAGTAACGTGCTATAAAATAGCATTTCAGGTTATACCTCGGCGTCTGCTCTTTTCTCTTTCCGCTAATTGTATGTAAATCCGATCCACATATTGTTGCCATGCGGAGCTTTCCTAGGATTTCACCAGGTTTCAACTTTGGAATAGGAACTTCTTCATGAATCAAACATGGTTCAGCTTGGGTGCCTAGAAAAACAAGCCGGCGAGCTGTATTACTCATGTGTGACATGGCCGAAATTTCGAAGACCAATTAACACCAGGAAGAATGCAAAACGAGTGGTCTGATGATTAAACGAAATCAACTGAGCAGACGCTTTCTGCATGAATTTTGGGGACTTGCAATACGAGGTCGAGAAGGAGATCTGGTAACAAAATAGACGAATTTGGAGGTAGCCTGGGAACTAAGCAAGAACAAGATGGCTGATGCGTTAGCGCGACTTCTCTATCTTGCCAAAGATTTTGCCGTCGCAAATCTTTTTTAACGTGACTGTGGGTCATGCACAGCCATGGTAAGGCAAATAAGAAGAGTTTTTCAGTATACCAAGCTGAAACCTAAAGCATCAGAGGTATTAACACAACATTTACGTCAAAGAGGACTGCCGAATTGGACTTCATATTTCGTCCGCTACAAGTCGGTGATGAATGACAACTTCGCAATGTCCCATTTTAACTGGCTCGTTGATGGACAAAACTACCATATTCTAAGAACAGGCTGTTTTCCTTTCATCAAATACCATTGCTCAAAAAGACCTTGGCAGGATCTGAAGCTCGAGAACAATATCCTCACGTTATTGAAAATTTTGAATTTAGGAATTCCTACTTTGGCTTATGGAATAGCGGCTTTCTTTCTAATAAAACATGAGGAGACAGTGAAAACTGTCAATGGGGACGTTAAGATTTACTTTTTAATGGAAGAGGAAAAAGATGCCATGTTTTGAGTAGAACTTGCTCAACAATAAACTTTTAACCGACATCCTGCAATGCAGAGCTTTATTTTTAGAAGTAATAGGCATAGTGGCATTATAATCGATGCAGAATGCTGGGGTAGAACACAAGTTAACGTTTTTACCGTAAATCACCTACCAAACGTGAGTGATTTTCAAGCTTTTTTATTTTCCACCAAATTCTTTAGTGTCAAGGGAGGAAGCTAAATAATGAATGATGAATGGAGGTATTAAACCTTTTATACCCTAATAAATATTAATATTCTATTCGGTCATTCTTAGACGGTTGTTGTGTTTGAATATCCTGTCGGGTTGAGGTAGGGTCAATGTCGGATTATTTTCAATGCTTTTTGGCTGTTTTCATCACTGTGAGGGCGAGTTGTCTTAGTCGAGTTTTAGAAATGCCCACCCCCTCGAATAGAGTTCATGAAACTGGACTTTCCAGCTATTGAACCGCGGGTAAAAGCATATATTCATCATGAACTCTTCCCATCCCCTCGGTAGATTTGCCAAGAAATCTTCCACACCCTTACCTCCACGTTGAGAGATGAAAAAATTATCGTTGCATCTCTCTCAGGAGGCCATGTCGATGAGAGCGGTAAATCGGCACAGATCCGGATACCATACACTCTATCAAGGACATTAGTCAAAGCCCTATTTTGATCAGTTAATAAGTGTCTCTTTCTTCGTTGCGAACTTAGATGTGAAGTTTAGTTCTTTTAATTCGACCTTTCAGCGTCACTACGCTGATGTAGAAGCTAAGTTAGCGTCCTTTTAAAGTAGTTTTCCCTTCGATATCTTGTGTTCTTTTCAACTTTGTACCCAGCTCGGTCGTTTCTTACCCAGACTGATAAAGTATGTTTTCCACTTTAAGCTTTAACTTGTGAACGAGGTGTCCATTTTTAGAGCGCGACCACCGAGTGTAGGGCCTAGAACGTTCATAAGAATGGGAGAAAAATATCACACATTGCGTTAGGCAATTATTAATTTTTTCGCTAGTTTTCACAACATTTAATATGATACCAGTGCTTACTACGCTGACGGGGTTATCCTCAATAAATATTATTATTATTGATCACATAATTTTGTCTGTATTTTTCTAGCAATACTCTACTTACTTGTCGTACGCAACAATTGACATCTGTTCACACACTCGAGCGTAAGGTATTTCGAATATATGTATATTAGGACGAGTAAGAATCGATCAGCGATTTGGGTACGAACCGACTGGGTATGAAGCGACCATGTGTACGAAACGAGCCGGAATACCCTCCAAAAGTTACCAAAGGCTTACGTTCAATTCTCAGCTACTTGTGAATATTACTCTGCCTCAGTTTTACTCGCCTGGAGATTTAGCCGTTCTTTTAACCGTCCCAATAGTTATTTGTAGTCAGGTCTGCCCCTCATCTCGAAATATTCGAATACATTATATACTTTTTACACGCTACCTCTCGTAAGGCGCGCGTGATAACGAATAGCAGGGTTACAAAGCTGATTATGACGTAACGTTTACCTTCCCGCGAAATTGGAAAGTAGTGTAAAACCCCAACAGTTACAACGGAGTGACAGATTTTATCATGGATCCTGAGGAAGTGAAAGTTGTTGGTAAGACATAGTTTCGCTGTTAAAACGTATCTCCAGTCATGGGCAATGTAAAATATACTCACTTTTCTTTCGTAGTTTACGCAGCTCGAAATTTACAGCCAAGGAAAGGAGCAGGTACGTCGATGTGTCTTCCGTAATCAATGCGAGCCCTTTTCGCGAAGGTTTCCATGTTGTTAATTTAATATCGTGCTGTAATCTTTCAGGAGTATGTACTGCATCGGTTATTTTTGGCATTGGCAAGCAAAAATATCGCACAGAGGCAGTGCGAGATAACGATCCCACTTGGAATGAGGAAACTACAATGTGAGTGTAATGTTTCTTGTTTTTTTCTTTAAAAATAGGAATGTCGGGGTATTCATATCATCAAGTTTGTGTTCATTTCTATTAAGGAGAAAATTATGATGGAATATTCGAAAAGTAGTCCTACAAATCAATAAAAACAGGAGCCATTAAGGTTATGGGCTCCTGATAAAAAGCAATACTTCTGTCTGAAATATAAGAACCGTCGTTTTTAATCGCGATTGAGTAGTCAAAATAAATAGTGCTAAAATAAATCGTGCTTTTCTTATGTAAATCAATAATGGAAGGTTTATGCTAAGCAAACAATGCATTTTCACACCTTAACCAGTTTTTATCAAAGGGAAAGGAGTTGCAAATTGTTATTTTTTTTTGTAAATGTAAGCTCTGCGTTTCTAAGTAACTGGCTTATTTTCGGTTCAGTCATTTATCCTTGCTGCGATGCTAGGCGAGAACTTCGTATTTATCAGGAACTAGAATGGAGATTTATGGGACTGTATCTGCTTCTATTATCTATTCCTGTACTATTTGCGTTAATAAGAAACATCTGCCTTCAAATTTTGGTCTTTTAAAATAAGCGGGCAGTGATTACGGATTTTTGTGATCTTTTGGAATTAATTATGGAGAGGATCGAGGATTCATTAGTAATGCTGGATAGTAACATCCTCCAATTACTCCTAAGTTGAACTGGAGACGATTTTATTTCCAAATTTCCTCATAACAATTTGTGCTTAGAAGATTCAATGACGTTCACCCCCCCCCCAAAAAAAATACAAAAAGAAAAACAAAAAAACAGTGGAAACGAAATTATTGACGTAACATATTTAAAATTTTGCAAGAAAGAAGGATAAAAGAGCCACGACACAATTAAAGCTAAAGAACACGTTGATCGCCATTGGGTGACGTTACTTTATGCAAAATAGTCTAAAGTGTTGATTTGTTGGAAAGGAGCGAGAGCGGGGGAGAGGGAGGGGGGAGATCGGCAAAGTTAGCTCTTTGGTTTAGCTGTCGCTCCTAAAACATATCCAAAGAAACGCGCCTCAATTTATTTAAGCGTTAAAGATAAGCACATCTTAGTTCTCCTCAGTTAGTTTATTTGCCAAATTGAATACAGTTTCTTTTAAGTATATCCATATTACTGACATCTAAGGTAAAAAAATCATAGGAAAAAATTATCGAAGACAAGACGATCTTTTCTGAAAACACGAATTGTATGTATATCTAGGAGATCATCTTTTTATTTTGTCTCTTCTCTCAGAAAAGTTTCCAAACCAGCTGCATTGATATTCACAGTGATGGATCGAGAAGACTCCCTTGGCACAGTCAGTTTGCCGCTTGCACAAATCCCCTCCGTGGCTCATCGTCGCCGATGGATTCCGTTGACGAGAAAAAATTCCCAAGCTATGGGCGACTTGTGCATCGATTGTTGGGTTCTTTCCTTCAAGAAGGCAGGAGAGGGGAGTAAATGGAATTCCATAATACCTTTAAAGGGTCGCAAGGGAGGAGGCGGGCGAGATCGCTCCAAACGAAGAGCCTCGATTGAAGCTGCTTCTATTTCTAAGAATGGATCAAGGTCGATCGAAAATTTATACTCCAAGCCTGAGCTTAAAGTTGACCGTAATTTGGACAATACAAACCCCTTTAAGACTAGTGACTCTGGATTGTCAAGTCCCAGTCTGTCTCGTAATTCATCGTCCAGTGCCACAAATTTAGCGTCCCTTTCTTTGTTCAAACCGCGTCTCGCCCCCACCTTAGGTCAGGTGCTGTCCTCCAGTCGTGCTCCGGAGATTACGGGACTCTCTCCAAAATCTGGTCCTTCGTCTGGAGGCACACGGATCACAGTGCGCGGTTGCAACCTGGGCACCTCAAAAGAAGATATAGCATATATAACTGTCTGTGGCTGTGATCTGTATTCCACACTTGAATACCACAGTCCAGCCAAGCTTGTGGTTGTAACGAAAGCTTGGAATGGCTCCGGACCTGTTGTGTTGCAGACGAAGTCTGGTGGACGTGGTACATCGACTCTCGATTTTAAATTTCAGGATAAAGCTTCAGGTGAATAGCTACATAGGTAGCCATTGATTTAGCTTATAATTGTTGTTGTTGTTGGTTTTGAAAACTTAAATATGGCAAGGGATCGGCACACGATACCATGAAACACGTTTTGTACGAATGTACTGAAAATTCTTAAAATCCCTTTTACCAGGATACGCGCGCATAATAGGTGCCAGATGAAATCAGAAATTAAAACTTATTTTACTTCTCATGACACCAATGCTAATGACAAAGACCTTAACTAGGACAGAGAAGTTAATTTCGCAGAAGTCACAACTTTGGCTTGTTCGTGGAAAACTCTCCAGGAGCTTATCAATATCAAAAGGAAACGTTTTCTTCTTTATTGCATTCTACGACCTCTTTAGTTACTTCGTTGGTTTTTTAGAAGCTCTCTAAATTTCTTAGATTTTGCTGAATCAGCGACTTTCTCCTTCGTGTGAATTGATATTTTTGCCGTCACAAAATGAGTTAAATTTAGTTTTACTTCTTTCGCATTGTGTGGACAAATCGTGCGATGCGAAAAATTAGCAACATTATCAAAAAAATTTGCGCAACTGCGCTCAATCGTTTACATTTCTGTGGTGGAATATATATTTTCATAACCTCGAAATGGAATTTATGACGAATCCTCTTCCTAAGTGCTGAGCTTCAAAGTAGCTGTATAATATTCAAAATATAGATTGTGCGGGTAAATCACACATTGTTATGGCAACCAACTATGACATCACACCAGAAAACATCTTCAAGTTCACTGAAACAATTTCGTCCAAACTTCTTAAGAATCAGTAGTATACCTACTCAAAGAATTTAAGTTCCGAAACAGGTCAGACATAAATCAAATTGTAAATTGTCGATTTTCACTTTTGAACGAAGAGAATAATTTAAAATGTGTTCAGTGTTGGACAAACTGATTCATTTTCTCGGCTTTTATACCTTGATCGATAGCGTCAAGCAAAGATTCAAGCAAGAAAGACAAAGCCTCAAGAGCTGACCTTTTAACAGAAATAACACACCTCAGAGAGGAAATTGATGGTAAGGTTATTCTCTACAATTGATACAGTAACCAATGGTCCTTGCATTGGACTTAAAGGAATTTCATTTATTAAACTATTTCAAAAGTCTCAATTGACAGATATTAATTAAGTTTGGGTTAAAACATAAATTGCTCGAGTTTTCTATTTTTTTTTTCAGATTTGGCTGACGAGAATCGTTCAATGAAGAAATACATAGATAGACTAATGACGATTCTCATGGAAAAGTTTCCAGAAGTACTAGAAAATTTAGGTTCTTCTGTCCACTGAGTGTGTACGAGCCAGGAGAAAATAAAATATTTGTTCACTAAGAATATTTAAGCCTAGCCAAAATTAGTTGTTAGCTGATCAGTGTTTTACTGATAGAACACACGATACAGTTCATTTTTCCGTTCTCGCAAAGTGAATAAAATCCCTTCTGCACTCCTAAGTCTAAATTAGATATCACGCTAATTTTTGAAAGGGAAATTGGTCTTCTTCATTTTCTTGCTCCAGCCATACTAATCAGTTGAAATTGATTAATAAATTTCAAAATATAATTTTAAATTGTTTCTTTCATTATAAAAATGCTCATAGTATTGGCAGTCAGTAAACGTAACAATTCCAAAATATATTTGCGTAATTCTTCACCGATTCTCAAACGTTCGGTCTGTTACGAAAGATAATAATTAAACAGTTATCTATTTTTTTAAGACTAGCCACAAAAGCAAACTTTCTAAGTGTTTCTTCAGTACAGCGTCTTCCCTATTTGAAACATCCAACCAACTGTAGCTCAAAATTGCTTCAAAAGAACTTCTACTAAAAATTGGAGCCGGATATAATTAAATAAAATCAATTTATAATTTCCAATCCCTATGTGTAAAAAACCATTTGACAGGAGCACATCACTTGAGATTCTGCTGCTGATAGTTAAAATAAGGCGTCTTTAACCGGTGACAACTTTACCATGACCACCCCTGAGGGATTTACTTTGGCACTAAAGAAATTGGTAAACTGACCCAAGTCTTCACAAGCAAACAAGTCTCTGACAGAGGCCGTCTTCGATGTCAATCCAATCTGTAGCGCAAAAAAAAAAAAAAAAAGGTGTAGTAATTTTTGACTCTGATATGTTACTGGCTACACTTTAATTTTAAAGCTCTACGGATGCGATAGTGCTAAAACGATGCAATTGTTTCCTATTCTATGAGCAATCAACTCTTAAACAGCTCTTTTTCTTCCTCCTTAAATTCTGCCCGTTACGCAAGTTACTTGGGGAGTAAGCCATCCAGGCGAACATCTTAAAGGGTTTCAGTGGAACAGCAAATATTTCAAAGCATTGTTGGCCTTTAGACGTACATGACTCAGGAAAAGAACTTCACAGTTAGATAATAAAGTCCCATTATAAAATAGTAATGTCAATTCACACAAACCAGTTCAAAATCAGCTTTGATTTCCTGGGCTGAGCCTGCGTTGCGATTAAACAGCACAGCAGCCACACTGCCATCAGACAAGGCACGTGACCACACTTCCAGATCTTTTTCAGCGAACTGTTGAGAAAAGCAGAACAAAATAACTTAAGAGCAGAATACACGGTTAATTATTAGAAGAGTTGGGGTGCTGGTCAGTTAGCACAGAGATAAACCAATGACTTGAAGTCTTATTAACTCATGGCATCAAATCTAAGCAAAGCTGTTTTGAGAAGATTTTGGCAATTTCGAAAGTTTGGCCATTGATGCGGAAAGTGTTTTGTGTTATGATGGAATTAATGAAATAACTTTTGTCAGCGTATGCATTTCCACGTTCCCAAATTAATAGATTCCATGCGTTTATTCCGCAGTAGATCACGTAAAATAGTAAAAACGTAGCAAGAACAAAAAAGAGGCATACGAAGCGCTGTTGTGTGTGTCATTGATGTCATTACCGTATTTTGACGCTATCTATGATCTATTGCCGTAAAGACCCACAGTAACATGAAATCTTTTCGTTTAATAATAAAAACAAAACATTGTCAACGGTGACGTCATCAATGCGTCTGTCCTCAAAATGCGAGTATAATTCAGCTTATCTTATAACAATAAAAAAAGTATACATACCACTCTTCTTCCCATTTTTCCCAGCTTGTCTTGATCAACAGCAATTACTTCTCTGGTGGTTGTACATACAAGAGTAAAATAGAAATATTTACGATCTTTAAGCCAACAAGGAACTTAAACGGCTGTGCAGCTTGGCCAAAACGACTTTGATTTTTCAGGATTTTCCAAACTCGGACGATCTCACTACGCGATAGGCTAAAACTCTCCTATTGAACCCTGCACGTTAAGCGATGTAATGAATATACCTGTTTAGAAGAATGTCTGTGGCTTCCTTTGAGATATTCCTCAAATCATTGGACATGATAAGTGGCTGTACATCAGAATAAAGACACGTGATCAGTAAATTTGCATATTCAGGAAAAGAATAAAACAACCAAGAAATACGAGGGCGTGATGCAATTATGAGGTTGTCTTTCATGGTTTTGTGACATCTGAGATAAATAATCACTTCATTCTGTGGCGCACAAATACAATCTAAGACTGCATTCTCCTACATGTTCCAGAAAATGGCACTTGCAGAGCGACATTCCTTTCGAAAAGATTGATTATTCCGAACTTTCCTTTTTTCTTCAGAAGTCTTCGATGGTCTACAGAAAAAATATGGAAGTTATCAGAAAATCCTCACGATCAGAACACTCTCTGGTTAGCAATCATACCCTTTTAACATGGAAATATTCAGAGCACATTGCTTCTCCACGGCCTAAAAATGCTTGACCAGCACAAGGAAAAAAGGACTCAATCCTGGCTTTATCTGCTTCAACATATCTAATCATACGCACCATACACATCATGACAGTGAAAGAGGCTTAACTTACTGCGGCTAGGATTGACCAAAGTGCAAACTGTGCTTTAGATTGTTCGTAGTTTAGCCCAAAATCACCAATGACAAGCTGTAGAGGGAAATTAAAACAAAACTATTAAAAATGTATCCAGAGTAATTACCCAAATATCATTGATTTAGTTCTTAATCAAAGAAACTAAAGTTATCACAGTGGCAAATCAGGACGAAGAGCAATATTTTGATAGACAACCAGTGTGAGCAGAAACATCCAACTTATTACATACTTCTGGAGAGAGCTGATACTAAGGGCATCAAGTTCGCTTAATAGCGCGGGAAAACGCGTGCGATCAAGGCGCGATTGGATTTAGTTTTGTCTCTGATTGGTTGAGGATGTAACGCGACTTTTTTAGACCAATCACAAAGCAAAGTAAAGCAAAGCCAATGCGATTCTGAGTTGCGTTTAAAAATTAAGCAAAAATTGCTCTACGGTTGTGGTATAATATATTGATAACTTGGTATTACAAGCTGGCTGGCTTAGCGTTTTACCATATCTGGGTCATTCCAGTGCCCAGGTCCCGCCGCTGCAACGAACGTGTCTTGGTTCTCGGCAAAATGATCCAAAATTCCTAGAACACTATTCCACGAGTCCTGTTAATGAAGATTGAAAAAGTGATGCATAAAAAACACGGTATAGGAGTTGCCAACTCCAAGTATATATGCGCTACACACATTGCATTTCACTTAATACAATTACTATTACTACTGGTTTAAACAGAAACAGGATATAACAAGGCTGAATGAAAAGATGAGTAAATACCTTAAATAACAAATACATTTGAATAAATAAAGAAGAACGAACGGATCAACAAACTCTCCAACCTGTACATCTTGGTAATTTCTCCAGGTGTTGCAGTTTCTAGCAATAGCAGCATAGTCAGGCTGGAATAAAACGTTTTTCAGTTCAAGGAATGACTTTGGATGGTGTTATAAGGTTGAAATTTATCAAAACCATCCTCAGTCAACTTATTCTCTACTTTCACTAGTTGATAAACTATCCTTCCAATACTCAACAGAAAATTCTGGACTGTTGAAACAGATTCTTCTACTGAGAAAATTACTCCAAACATTCTAATACATGACATAAAGTAACCTATTTTGAAATACTCAAGGAGGAAGGTTCTTAGTGCACAAATGCTTGGGGGCAGTGGGGAGGGGAGAGGAGGCAGGCAGGGATGTACCTTGGGAAAAGCTGGAAGAAGTGCGGCTGAAATGAGCCATTTTGGGCTTTAGCCCTTTAACTCCTAGAAGTGATTAACATGAAACTTCTCCCTATAATATCCATACATTACTCAGCAAACAGGTAATGAGAATATTCAAACTTATCAGGTAGAAGCTGCTATCTTGATCTAACACCACATTCTCATAACTAATTTACAAAGAAATGTGTAGCAGCTGGAGGGGAGAATTAACAATCAGATCTTGGGAGTTAAAGGTTAATACTAGGATTGATGATCTATTATTTTTCTAACCAGACAGCTACAGTGGTGAGCAAAGTTGAGATTCTCCATAAAATAGCATAAAATACCTAGGTTGCAGCAATTTTCCCTTAAAATAGTGTTTTTGTCATTTCAAGTCCAGTAAGTATAAAAATTTGTTAATCTAAGCACAAAATAACTTCATTAGCAATACTGTTCTTGTATCTGTTGCAACCTTTATTCCAGCTCTGGACTGGTAATCAGGCCATTCACAGCTGAGTAATATTGGGCGCCCTGTTGCATTTAGAGCTTGAGTAAATTTTGGATAGCCGACATCAAACAGAGCAGGGTCTGCGTAACAACCATCCACTTTGAGATAATCCACTTCCCAACTTGCAAATGTCTGAAAAGTATGATTATAATTGACGAGAAAGAAACAGTGGTACAAAAGTGATAACATGGACAGTCACCCTCACAACTATGAAGGGAACCATGTAATGCAAAGGTTATGGGTTGAAATGCTATTGAAGTTTCTAATTTTCAGTATTGGCCCAGGTTGTTTAAGGCTAGGTTAAGATAACCCAGGGTTAGTGTGAAATTTGATTTCAGGTATAAAAGCTTTAAAAGGAATTTGGTTCAAATATTTTTGCGTGCAATTTAATCATTGGATATTCTAAAAAGATTAGGGAAAATTTTCCCTTAAAAGGCTTTTGAACAAAGAAATTAAGAAGCCTGGAATTAAATTTAACCCTAGGTTAGCGCTAATCTGCCTTTGAACAACTGGGTCCTGTCAGATAAATTGGTGATTTTTACAGTGAATATTCAGTATGGATTTGTACCCAAACTTAACTCCCTGGTCTGGTGCAAAAGGAATTTCATCTGACACTAATTATGTGTATTTTTTCAAGCAGTAAAGAGATGGGAAGAAAGCAAAGCTATAAACCAGTTAATATTGTTTCACATCTAATTATCTGAGCTAAACTTGGAAGAAATTCACTGAATACATAGCAGGAAGACTAAGGCATTAATAAGACTTAGAGACAGAGGGGTTAGCAGTCTTTCACACTGCCTATAGGTTAAGCAACCCAAGAGAAAGTCAACATCAGAGTCAGTATTTTCCTTGTATCCAGTAATGATCTTCTCTTGGTTATTAGACCATCAGCCAGTATCACTGATGACAGGTCTTTTTAGTGGTGCCTTTACTGGGATGATCATTCTATATGATCAAAAGAGAAGAATATTTTATCAACAGCTTACTTGTGCATCTTGTTCAATGTGATCAATGCTCCCAGGATAACCAGCACATGTTAAAAAGCCATAATCTGTTAGAGATCATAGAAATAAAGAACAGGGGTATTTATAAAAGATGATATTGAGAAAATGAATTAGCAAAATTTATTACTACAACACAGATAGCTCACCTTTAATACAAAAAATGTTACCTGTTCAGTTAGCATTAAAAATAAGTTGTTAAATCTGCTTTCAACTGATCACAGGAAGTAGTTACTTGAAAAGTGACAGATTCAGTCAAAAATACTAAACATATTTACACTTTGACTTAAAATTTCAATCAGTAGATACTCACCAGCATACATTCCAAGTTTCAGTCTTTTACTGTGTAACTAATATAAAGTTATTAAAGAAGCAAATAAGAATTTTAACAAATTCAATATAGTGTCATGAAGGAAACAAAACAAACTTATTCTGACACGGGAAAGTCTATAAAGAAACAGTAAAATTTACAATAAAAAATTGGAGACATTCTTGCCTAGTTAATTAGCTTGTTAAATATTATTATCTGAAAAAGTAACACACCAGATCAGCAGGAGAGTTTTAAGTTAGTAACTCTTCATATTATAACCAGTAAGAGATACATTATCTTACATAATCTGCTAATGCTTTCATCCCACTTGGAAATCTTGTACTGTTTGGCTGTAGATTGCCAGAAGAATCACGCTTTTTGTTTGACCAACAATCCTGAAATATGTGAAGTTAAATCCAACAAGGAAAAAATCATCACCATCATTGCTGTCATCATCATCATGGTTTTCAACCTCATTATTGTCATCAGCATCATTGTTGTCATTATAATGAAATGTTTACATCACATTGAGATTTCAAGAAATCAATGACAACAGTACATTGCAAGAGATTTCAAGGTACTTACATCAATGCTAACATATTCATATCCAGCATCTCGATAACCATCTTCAGCAAGATGATCTGCCATCTGCTTGATCAGATGTTCACTAAGACAGATCATAAAAAAAAGTATTTTCAGCTCCTGGTTAAATTTTAAACGAAAGCTCCCTCTAGAGTTTATAACTTTTCTGCTTGGAACTTTTCTGGTGACTTATGTTTGTACTGTAGGTGATGAAGATCTCAGGTGAGGTACAGACTCAGCAAGGTCGCTGTTTAGAAAATTCTTTAAAAGAATCAGTGAAGATTGTAAACTTGTGGTGGCCAATTTTTTCAAGCTGGCTATCTGTCTAGTAACCAAAAAGATTGATGTTCTGAGATTATAACCAATTAAGACTATTAAGGGTACCCAACCCCAGTCAACACCCGTTCCCTTCCCCCATCCCTCCCCTCCCATTCCTCATCTTTGATCAAAAGGTAGCAATGAGAGGGGGAAAGGTCCTGATCTTGTGTCACGCACAAATTTTAGAAAAATACACGCATCACTTTTTCGTGCCTCACGAATTGTCAAGGAAAAACTTCAAATCCTATCTTACCTTGGCTTCCTGTTTAATTTAAGCGCCGCGTATTAATTTTGGGCTCAATGACCTTCGTCACATGTCACCTGCAAACTTTTGCCACCTTATGTCATTATTTCTAATTTGTACATGACGCTATGGGTGTTTTTAAGTTGCTAATCCTCTAAAAAAAAATATATATATATATATATATTGCAAAAATATTTTCATGCATTCAGTTTTTATTGATCAACACTAAACATTTAATCAGAGAGTGTGAGATACACTTCCGTACTTTATCTACCATTTCAGTTTCAATTGGTACTACGAGAAAATTGTCTTAAAACAACGAACTCACCTTATGCAGTTTTCTGGATCCTTGTTGCAATCGATGTTGCATCTAAATCTTTCCCAGTCCATCCAGCCCACTGTGCAAATGAAGTAAAACCGAACAATGCATCTGTTACCGTGATTAATTATCTCAGGGGAAACGAATATGAAATCAGTGTATTCTGCAAGTCAGCAGAATTTAAACAGCCATCTTTTTAAACTTATAAATTGAACTGAGTAACCGTACTTGGTGGTGTCAGAGCTAAGCCGTTATCCAAACCAACAACTGCATCCTTGTTGGGGAATGTGACTAAAATAACCAGAATTACAGCCGCAAAAACCCAGTGACTATCCGCCATGTTCAGTTTCTGTGCGAGAAAATCACGAGATTGCTTGATGCACGGCACTCGCAGCCTGAGAGAGATCTCCCACTCTCCGCGCGAGGGAACAACTTGCGTGATCTTAACACTCGAGGGAAAATTAATCAGCAAGATAGTATCAATATTTTGTTGAAATCAGTCATTCAGGCAATAAAAATGTGAATTATTTAATTTTTTTCCCTTTTTGGCTATAGACCGGAAAAAAGTGATGTAAGGTAAGAAAACATTTCAAACGGATTTTTTCATAGCCCTTTATTCGTTGCAATAATAAAATGAATCAGGAAACTCAAATCAAGAGATTCGTGATAGTAAATTATATCAACAACTGATCATGCAGCAACTCCTTTTATGACTTTCTTTTCCTTTTCCTCTTTTCTTTTTGAGTGATTTTTTTTTCTTTTCGCAGATTGGCGTCAGTTTCACCATGGCCACCCCACTAGGGTTCACTCTGGCTGTAAATGATTCGTTGTACATTCCTAGCTGCTGATGAGCAAACAGGTCACGTGCACAAGCACTTTTTGTTGAAATTCCGACCTGCGTTTGAATAGAAACAGTTGGCTTAGCACGTGTTGATGACTGGGGTTGGGAACATGGGAGGACGTACCCCCAGGATTTTTTTCTAAGCACCCTAGTTCACAAGAGGAGTGAGTTTTAGAGAACATATTTTTTTGTCGGGACATCGATTTGGTCACGGAAGGGGATGTTCCCTATGGAATGGTCGTCCTGTATCCTGATACCCCACTAATCAACAATCTTTGTTTCGACCCACTATTTAAAAACGTTATAAAGTTGAATACCGAAGTAGATTAAATAAATAAGGGTGCAGGATATCCTGATACACCCATAAGGGCTTATTGTCAGGGGGGAATTCGTTTCGTAATAGGTCGGAAAATATTACATTATTTTAGGTGGGAATGCACAGCGAGAGTGAAGATCTAAATTTAGCATTGGTGAAAATAAGCTATGATCAAAAAGGTGGCAAATTCTTGAAAGTACTTTCTCCATAAAAAGGATACACACTCGGCATATTTTTACCCAAAAAGAAGGCAGGTATCACATACACTTGGGAAACATCATTAAAGGGATTGTGCAGTATTTTTAAGGTGATTAAAGCTAAATTTGGTATTTCCAGACAATAAGCTTCAGAAGAGGATAGAGGATGGATTCTTACGTCAGAGAACGAGGCTTCCACGTCAGAAGGTAGATCTGATCTCAGGCTAAGAAGGACCACAGCTACACTCCCGCAGTCTGACAAGGGTCGTACCCATACCTCCGTAAACGATTTTTTGTTCTATCGGAAGGAAATAAAGCTACTACGATCAGTCAACCCTTTAACTCCCTGGATCTCACAAGCAATTCTCCTCACTGTCTACCATACAGTTCTCGTGCTGTTAGTTTCGAGAATTTGGTATAGGATCAACTAAAAATCTCCTAATTAGTGTTAGTTTTTATTCTCATTAGTCGTCTGCTTGATATTTTATTGTAAGAAGAAATCCTGTCTTGGTCACTCATGGAAGTTAAAAGTTTAACTATTAGAAGGATAGCAAACTTTATGCTTAATGATCAGCAGCTTTTGATATTGCTGCTAGAATCTGGCAGTATGCAAGATTAACGCTTATGGCTTATAAACCCGATAAACAGCCTTTAGCCTTATGAGAATGTACCGATCCGACGGCGGAATAGGAAGTTCCCAAGGTTTTAAATCCTCGTGGGTGACCCAGAATTTTTCGTTTGTACCATGCTCTTCCAAAAAGATTATCAAAACCATTGTCCCAATTGGTCATAGCAGCTTAGCATTTCAAGCAATCGTGTCGAAGGCATCTTTCAAGTGGAGAAGAAGAAAGACATCTTAATTCTGTATGTTTTGAGGTCATAGACGCTTGAAAACGACTCGTCCAGACGTAGGCAACTTTCTGCTCAAAATTACTAGTAATATTGAATTTCGCTTTACCTGAACCACTCGCTTGCCTTGTTTTCCGAGCTTGTCTTGGTTTACAGCGATTATTTCTCTGTAAAATACATATCAAATTTGGGCCTAATTGCATCAGGAGTAAAAAATGGGTTTATTGGAATGTGTGGTAAATTTTTTGTTGGTTAGTTAATTGGCGGATTCCTGGCACTGTCTGGATTCCGTTCTGTCTCCATTCTTTTCTAACTCAAGTGACCAGTCGCCGATTCATAATGAGATATTCCCCTCCGCAGCAACGACGAAGAATTTTACTAGAAAAGCATAAAGACATTTCTGGAAGCAATAAAACAGGTGTACATCGTTTCCGTTGACTCGTGGGCGCGTTAGCCTTTGAGAAGTAACAAAAATGATACCATGGCTTAGATGTTACAACGCAGAGAGCTTAATTTGTTAAAACAATGAAATGCTGAGTTTTGTAGTGCCAGTTACAGTGACAGTGCACGTGACTTACGTGTTCAGAAGAATTCCTCTGGATCTGGCATCAATGTCACGCAAGTCGTTGGACATAAGCAAGGGCTGATGACGAAAATCATGTAAAGAATTGATTTGTAAACATGAATTACTGTCGAAGAGACTCAATTGAAAAAAAACTATGCAGGGGTGGCCACTGGCTGTTTGCTCCCATGCCATCAATAAGTCATTACTACTATCATTCTTTATTCCCGAGAAAGAAAAATGAAAAAAAAACATTGTTATAACAGTAAAAACGAATTCGTTCACGAGGGACTGTTCCCGTCACTGGGGATACTCACAGATGCCAATATGGCCCAAAGAGCAAACTGTAGCTTTGACTGTTCATAACTGAGACCAAAGTTTCCGATAATCAGCTGAAAGAGAGAACCGGAACATGTCACTCATGCAGGTTAAACAAGAAACACGATAGTTCTTATGCTCTCAATTAACTAACTGATGAAAAGCTCATGTTTTCTCGTGCCAGAGTATGGTATGGGTTGGGTTTGGCAGAATCTGGATCTCGTTTCATGGAGAATAAACTGATCATTACATCATTCACAAAAGAAAAGTCAAAACAATTTGTTTTATAACAACAGAATGGTTAGATTTTCAGGCACATTGATTGCGGTATGGTCAAAATATAGAAAATGTAGAAAAGTAAAGGGCAAACATGAAAAAGTGAACCATTTCTACGTCGATTTAAAGTCGTGTTTCTTTTGCAATTTTCTTGTAGCTGAACTTGCAAAATAAAGATATAAATCTGCTGATGTCGCTGGGATCAAAGAGAGAAGTCTGGAGAGAGGATTGATGGTACAGGGAGACACACCGAGTGCGCATGCATTTCAGTGAGAGTCCACTGACCATATCAGGGTCGTTCCAGTTTCCACTGCCTGCCACTGGTATCATGTCATCCTGGTTGTCTCCATACCAACTGAAAATGTTCACCAAACTTTGGAATGAATCCTGCAATTTAAAAGCCGGTAATTTTGAGTGCCCTATAACATCACTAACCACGATTTGAAGATCTAAGATTAAAATTCAGCCTATAAAGTTTTAAATTCGAAATATGTCTAATTCGATATATCCTACAGTAAGGAAGGAGAAATCCAACATGTATGTTAACCCTTTTCCCCCCAAATCGCATAGAAAAGTGAATCATGGCGGCAATACGCGTTATTAATTTTACATTTACCTGTATATCACCATAATTTCTCCATAGATTGCAGTGTTTCGCGATCTTCTTGTAGTTGGGCTAAAAATTAATTTACAAAACACGAATTTCAAGTTTTGATCTTACGCCACAGCCCAGCACCCGAATAACATTATTACATTAGCTGTGATGTAGCATTAGAGATGATTAATGAAAAGAAAGTTATTCTGAGCCTTTTTTCGATTTTGCATCCCTTTTTTTGGCTTTCACTATGATCAAATCCGAAAAAATTTCAGCCCCCATGCACGCTTTACAAAACAAAATCAAAACAAAGACGAGCTAATGACCTTAGATTGGTGCAAACCACTTTTTAAACAAAACTTGCATCGTTAGAAACAATGTTATACACACTTTCATGCCCATGAAGACTTGGTAAGCAGGCCAACTACATGAAAACACTATGGGGCGGCCTGTCTTATTCAGTGCCTTGGCAAACTTTGGGTATCCTTTATCCATCTCTTTGGGGTTTGCATAACAACCATCTAACTTGAGGTAATCTACTCCCCAATCTGCAAATGTCTGAAAAGAAATACCAACTTAGAGTGACAATAAAATTATTTGCCCACTGTGAACGAGAAAAAAAAAAAGAGTGAATTTTAGAGTGCGATCTTTTCAACTGATGCAGAAACCTGTGCATCTTTCTTTATATGATGAATACTCCCTGGGTAGCCTGCGCATGTCTTGATTCCATAATCTGAAATCATTCAAAGAAATCAGAAGGTTACAGACTGATCTGACGACAAGTCCGGAAAAACAGGAAGTTTCAAGATAAGTGAATTATAAAGGACCAAGGCCGGTACCTGCATAGATTCCTAACTTAAGTCCCCTTGCATGAACCTGAAAATATCATCAAAGTGTAAATCTGCATAAGCCTCGAGGAGGAATGACCTTCTTCGACAACAACTCCAATGAATATATCATGAAATCAGAAGAATCAGAGACAAGTGAGATGACGTAAAACATATTGCTCTACATACGTAATCTGCCAGCTTTTTAATTCCGTTTGGGAAACGTTTTGGATCCGCTTGCAGGCGACCGTCTTTAGTTCGATTCATATCTGTCCAGCAGTCCTAGGCGCACAGAAAGTAATTGAAGAGAGCACTAAGAAATGGAAATTAAGGCCACAGAGAAAACCTAAAATCTGAAAAACCAAGCATTAGGTGCAAAAGATAAAGCGATAGAGTCAAGAGCGAAAACTAAAGTATGGGTGGTAATTGTTAATTAGCAGGTGGATTACTTACATCAATACAAATATATTTATAGCCAACATTGCTGTAACCACCAAAGTACATTGCATCTGCCATTTCCATGTAAAGTCTTTCACTGCAGTCAAATCAATCAATCAATCAATCAATCAATCAATCAATAAATCGGTCTATTAATCAGTCAATAAAGCAATCAATTAATCAATCAATCAGTCAATCTAATTTTGGTTTTTGCAAGTAGTGAATGTAAGCTATCGTGTTCAATAGTCTCGATTCATTTGTTCAAAACATCTTGAGTTGCACGAGTTTTACCTAATGCAGTTTTTAGGATCCTTCTCGCAATCAGTAACACAGCGAAATCTCTCCCACGACATCCATCCCACTGGAATAAACATACACAAAAATTTCTCAATATTTATTTGATTTTATGTCAAGAGAAGATATTCTAAAGGTTCTTCTCGTTTGAATCTCAATTTCGGACAACAGGAACACAGATGACGTCAGAAAAATCATCTAACAATGATCGCTCCATGCATACTCACATGCCTTACACAACGGAGAAACGTGATGTTAATTCAAACTGGCTAAGATGGAAGAGTACGCCATAAGTAACTATTTTCATAGTATACGAAGTAATTATCAAAGCTATTCAGCTCTTGCACTAAAAATGATGCATTCTTGACTCGATCAATGACTCGTGGGTGAGTTCAGTGAACTCTGGAATTTTGATAAACCCGTCTAGCTGTAATATTTCTAAATTTGGTGTGTAACTGGAGAACTATCAAGTATGCCTGTTGAAGAATGTCCTTCCCTGTGAAAAGGGAAGGATTCTTTGATACCGCGTTTTGTCATAAAAAAAATTGTGATCTCATATGATAACTAAGATATTTTCTATCATTAGGTTCAGTGTCAATCGACTGATACCAAGAAAAAAGGTTCATGCCCGTAAAAAACACGAATTCTCAGCCAGCGGTCTCCATAACACTTCTTAACCTCGTACCTAAGGTACTTCCCCCTCAAAAAGGGGAGGTGCCTTAGGGACAAGGTTGATGAGTTGTTGCTAGGTGATGACAAATTAGACCTTCGTTCGTTCTCACGGCTCTCCAACTTTGTACCCTAATCAGCAAATTCAAAGGATCTAACATGAGCTTAACTGAAAATCTTTCTAAATCGCGAATTTTTTAAACTTACGCTAGCATTTCTCTCGTCGGTGAATACCATCGATATTCGCTTCGAAATATTTTATTCAATCGGCTTTTATTTTGGTTCACTTTGTCGCTAAAAAGATTTTGCCTACTCGTATAAATCATGTCTTTTTTAAATACCAAAGATCAGCTTACAACAACAAATGTAGCGCGAGATGTGCATTTACTGAGATCAAATTATTATCTTGTTGTGAGCCAACCACGGAAAAACATGTTTTCTTCCATCAATATTTACTGATCTCTCGACAAGTCTAACAGGTACCAAACAGGGATAAAGAACGCACTGTCACCAAGTAAAATGGTGATAAATTATGAAATGAAATAATAAAGGGAGAATCGAATTTTACAAACATAGAAAAACAAGGTCATGATAGCAAGGTCGTGTAGACTGGGAAACCGAGGTAAAATGCAATAATTTTAGCAAACGATTGCCAGAATTTGAACAAAATTATTCATGACCAGGTCTGAATTCTGCCTCGAGAAATATTGAATTGTTTATAATTTTTTGTGAAATTTAGTTTCTTTAGCAGTTGCAGGCTACAAAAACTAAATACTTACTTGGTGGAGTTATTGCAAGACCATTATTCAGCGAGTAAACTTGTTGTAAAATCGTCGAAAATAGACATAGGAACACTGCTTCGCTCAAAGCGGGCATTGCTTTTAAGAGCTGTTTCGTTACAAATGCTAGCGTTGTTTACTAAGAGCTAATGCACCGTGACCTCAGAACAAAATTATTGCCAAGCATTACCAGTAAATTAAATAACTTCACCCGTGTTTCCATAAAAAGGCTGATGCTTCTTCGTATTATTATTATTATTTTTGGTTCATTCGCGCACCTTCTAAGGCGAAAGAGCAAGAATCGCTGAGTGTCATTTACTACGCCGGTTTTTGTCATTTTTATCAAGCTATTTGTTTGCATGCATTTATTTGCATGCAGGCCTTTTACAGTCAATCATGGCAATTTTTGATTAAATTAGTTGTTATAGCAACCGACTGTGACAGCGAGCTCATGACCTCCGGGTCCTCGGGTCCGTTTTTGTTGCTAAGGTTACTGGTGATCAATTGTGAAGTAGATCTTCGTGATTTGTGGGAAGACGTCTGGGAAGTCACTGGACTCGATTCAGTTGGTTTTCCAAAAAGAAAATTAACCAGGGGAAAATCGTTTATGTCAGTTGTGGTTCCAGAAAACTGAAACTGCTCATTAAATAATCTATCATCTGATTAGCCAAGAAAAACCTCAAGCTAATTTGTCGCTAATGAAATCCTGTCAACCGTTGGCGGAGTTTCAGAGAAGCTAAATCAGTCGTATCTTTACAATCATGAAGACATGTTCTTCTGGCTGATGAATACATGTTCTGTTGGCTGATGCATATCTCTCTATCACCACAGTTGCAGGAGGTCTGTAACTGCAGAGTACTGTGGATCTTAATTGTTCAGATGGTTGTATTACAGCTTGTTTGTGAAATTTTAAGTGAAATTTTGAAAAATAACGTCAGGACATACTGCATCCATTTTGCCCTGAAAATATTCAATTCATCGCTTTTGTAATGTGAGAGAGAGGGATCAAAACTGGAATACTCTGCGTTGTTGAAATCCTTAAGTATCAACATTAGGTTAGTGTCAGCGAAGATCTATTTATATCTCTGCACGATAAAATAAGGTTTCTTAATAATCTGGTTCTCAAACAGAAACGAAAATGGTTCTCCCTGAGAAACAGTTTGCATAGTTGGCAACTATGTGCTCAGATATATTAAGATCTGATCGAGTTGTGTCGTTCTGCCATGCAGAGGTGTTTGTCAAACTATCGTCTTGCACACATTCAACCGACCAACATGGTTCTTAGTTCAGTATTATTTTCAATATGAAGAGCGCTTTTAGTCACTTCATTGGATTTAGTTTCAAGAGAGTTTGCAAGAACGAACCTGACTCGCCAATTAGTTATATCAGGGAGGGGGTGGTGGTCTGCTTCTTGACTCTCACCAGAACATTCCTACCAGCGCTATTCAAGTCGCCATAAGGCAAGGCTATATAAAAGTAAGAGTTAGGTATAGAAAAAAAAGAAAAGAAAAGTAAAGCTCTTGTCTGCGAGAATGACCGCTCCTAACTGGTCGAGTTAAGACCGAAAAAGGTGTTGGGGCTATTGTATGATGTGTCTTCCATGGCCAATATGTTCCTTGTTTAAAGAGGCTGTTCCGCCGGCCTTGGCATTATGCGCCGTTATAATTAAGATATGTGTATATGAAGTGCTTTAACGTAGGTTAAGTGGCACAGGTCGACTATTGTTCCTGTTTAAGAACAACACAAAACACAAATAGAAACACATGTTCATTAATTGGATTCATCAGTGAAATATGCATCATCGACCTACAGCTTTGTGGCTTTATTCGACCTGACACATTTGTCATATAGAACATTTCTCTCGATAACAACTATTTAACAGTCCCTAACTATATCATGCATTGCTTCTCCTTGCCGCTAATTCGGGCAACTAGCCGCTTGCTTGCGGGTGAATTGGTAATTTGACTCAGTCAAGCGTTGAAATCCAGTACGTCTGAACTTTTTTTTCTCTTTCATTGTGTAGGCGGACAAAAGCGTCTTCATGTCAATACTAGGCCGCTGATTCGCGTGAAAACTGAGAAACTTGATTAATACGCTTCCAATATGCTTCGTGATACGGATAACCGTTCTTTAAGCATAAGGAAGTTCTAAACAAACCCTCTGTAGCTGTCTGTTGACACTAGTAATCAACCTCGTTGGAATGATGACTGACAACGAGATTATAAACAAGACAAACAAATTAAGATCAGAATCAACGAAGTGAGTTCAGGAAAATTAAAATGCCATAAATCAGGCTTTTTCTCATCACAGAACGCCACACAGGGTCACAAATATCCGAAATCTATGAGAAACTAACGCACCTTTTATAATAACGATCATTTGTATCTTACATGTAAGGTCTCAAGTTGCGAGTACGATCGTGATAGTAATTTTAACATTCGAAACCCTATTACCCCGGTGGCTTTTACAGCTGAATGACAGTTATCAACTTAAGTAGTTTTTTGTATTTCCATTCGCAATTTTAATTTTTTCATTAAGCACAGGTTTTTGTTTCACGCTTTCAACCAAAAGATAGATAGTTCCTTCAAAACGAAACCTGTAGTGCCATGCGAATGATCCATGGATAACTCTAAAAAATAATTATCCAAACTGTTTTTTGCAAGTTTAATCGTGAATCGTGCTATCCTCGCTGTCCTCGACTCAGTTTAGACATATTAGTCACCTGAAGCACTTTAGAGCGAGTAATCAGAACAGTAGAGAAAATGATGAGCAAACAGTTCTCACATGTGTCTTCGAGAGCGCCAATGTCATTGACGCAGCTGTAGTCAAATTCAATGTGCGAACTGAAAAAACTTCAGATTTCAGAAGACTCTTCCTCGATACAGCTTCATGTCGATTACTTTCCAAGTAATCAATTATTTAATCAATGTTCAACTCGAACTAGTAACGGCGAGGCAGATTTCATTCACTGATCCAAGCGAGTACAAAATGTCAAGAACACTTCTCCCTGGAACTGCAACGCAACTTTCATCATTAATGACGTTGTGTGCCGGCTACATGAAAGTCATGGCTCGCTCTCGTCCTCGTATCTTAACCAGATTCCTGTCTGTAAATCCGTCCTTTATGTGACTTATACTCGCGCCTTTTTCGATTAGAAAGCGCGCGCAGTCAAATTCTCCTTCGTAAACCGCGGCATCCAGCGGCGAGGATCCTTCTTTGTCGCGAACTTCTAACTGCGCACCTTTTGTCACGAGGTACTGAAGACATTCAAAGCTCCCTGTGCTTGCAGCTCGGTGCAAGGCATACGACCCATCGACTCCTGGAGCATTAAGGTCGACTTTTGTACCTTCCACTACATTTTTTAAGGTATCAACATCATTGTAAGTCGCAGCCCACTGGAGTAATAGTTGTGGATCTAGCGACAAGCTTTGCTTTCTTCTTCTGGCCGACTTATCTTCTGGCTTCAGTTTTCCATCGTCTTTTTGCGCCGCCATTCTCTCTTCGCTGATTCTCCTGAACACACTGTTTCTTGTTGGAAATTTTAACGCAGTCTTTGTGGCAGAACACATTTCTATTCCAAGATGGTACAGATCAGCGCGTGTGTTCTTGCTTTCATCTGTTGACTTCCAAGATTGCACGCGAATATCTGGTGTCTCCGTGTCTTTTGAGCCCTCACGGGTTGATGTAGATAATGTTTTGGCTTCTAGAGTTTCATTTCCTGTAAGCGGATTTGTTTTGATGAAATTTTTGGCTGTGCACATTTCGTTGGATGCAGTTAAATGTTGCTCTAGTTTTGCCCGTTTCCACAAGTTTCACCTTCCAACGCCTAAAGGCAGTCCTTGACTAAAAAATTCCAATATTCTGCGTTGATAAATCAGGTTTTAAAGACGTCATGGTTGTATTCAATTAAGAGCTTGTTTTCTTTCGCTATCTTTGATCATGGTTGACTTTAGACTAATTTAAAAATTCCTGCGGTCTTTCACAGGTCAGCGAACTTTCTGGCCCCTGCTTAAAAGATCCTTTCCATTCACAAATCCGTTGACCTCTTGTATATTTATTTTTGTTAAAGAATTACTAAACAATTTCTTTTTTTTTTCTTCAGCAAACTTTCCGACTTTGTTCTCAATGGCTGGTTATAATTGCTTTTTTTGTCATGCCTTGGAGCGAAACATATATATTATCTTTCAAAATCTGTGACATTGTTTGGAGCTCCTTCAATTTATTTGGATCTCCACTGTGCGATGCGTTGATCGTCAGCTATATACAATTTAATTGGCTCGCAACCGTCTGAGATATTAGTTTAACAAACAAAGGAGAGTACACGTTATGGTTTGTTTTGTAATTTGCGTCATTAAGGAGACTGAAGGCTATTTGTTCTTTTCCTATGACGTTGACGTGGATGTTTCATGCCGCTGAGCAAAAATCCAAAGGCGAATCTAAAGGGGGGGGGGGGAGTCTGGGGATTCCGGATCCCCAAGTCCTAGACGCTTCATCAATACGGGTCTTAATCCTTAATTCGTTCAACGATAAGATTGCTCATCACTACCTAACTCGTACTTGGAGTGTTTAAAATTTACTTATTTTGAAATATTAATTTCTTGGCTTATTTAAGCTCTAGAGCCGGGAAATAGAAAATGATACATGGGCGTGCTAGATATGGACTTTCTCTTCGAGTTGAACAGGGCCTAGTTATATAAAGGGCGGAAATGATAGCAAAGCATGTAGAGTTATCCACCAGGACTCAGTTGTATAGAGGGTGGATAACGCTACGCAACGGATAAATCGCTATCCGGCAGATAAGTGATAGCAAAACATATGGCGTTATCTATCGGATAGAGTTAGCCAGACCCCAGTTGTTCGAAGGTTGGATAGCGCTATTCATTGGATAAAACTCTATCCGGTGGATAACGCCATACGTTCTGCTATCACTTATCTACCGGATAGCGATTTATCCGTTGGGTAGCGTTCTTATCCACCCTCCATACAACTGGGCCCAGATAGAGATTTATCCAGTGGATAGCATAGCGTTATCTGATCTTCAAACAACCGGGGCCAGAAAAAGGGAAATTCCATATCTGATTGGCATTATCAAACACCCGTAAAAAAATTATCAGTATATCACACGTGTGCAATTGCGGCTTTTCTCAGGTGGAAATCCTTGTAAAACACCGCAATTTATGTTGCAAAAAATGCATTCTGTGTTTTCTGAATCATCGTTTGAACTCCTCTCTCTCCACCCTTCATCAAGGACTCCTAGATCCCCCCCGACATTCTATCGTAGCTCTTGAAGATTTCGATCTTCCAATGGAACCCAAAACCTGTCTGATGCAGATTATCTCTACCTTTTGACCACGAACTCAACAAAGCTCAGGAGAACCCGGCAAAATATCAGTTTTATCTAAGATTGTGAAGCAATTTGATAATCTGCAATAATAAATGACCTGAACTCCTAGGACATCGAAATGTGAAGGCAAAAGAGTTGAGGGTCCACCAAAAGAAAAAACTTGAAAATTGACTTAAGGTTTAAACATGTGCAAAATGCACACGATTCGATTATAATTTTTATCAGGCAAATATTGCTATGAACCGAACAACTTTTTGTAACGCACGTGCGAGCACTCGATAACTGAACTTATTCTACATTCCTTAGCTTGACAGAAGAGTTAATGGCGGAAGCGATTCAGAAAGTTGAGTGTGTTGATTTTGGAAACCGCAGTTCTATATTACAAAACCGCGAAAACACGCAACAGAAACATGTGGTCAGCTGTGGTCAGGTATCAGGGGTAATATATTGTGGCGGCTCTGAAGTTGTCGCGGTTAAGCTTCATCCGATAAGATCCGTTGAAGGGTTATGATCGATTAAAGGGATATTCCGGATATCGGCCAAGATTTTGCATGATAGTGAAACTTATCTATGATGGAGCTCTCGCTCAATGTTATCTATCAAAGGAAACTTACGATTGTACGTAGGACTCCCAGACTGTGTTGATAACTTCAAAAACGGAGTTAATAATGGGGTTCATTGTGCTCCGAACTGCTTATTTGTCCTCCTAGCTTAACCTTTGCAATATTTAACCTCTCTATTCTGTAGTCCTTTCTCACAGACGAATTACTTCTGCTGTCTGTTTGTTTTTTCCATTTTTTGAATGCGGGAGATTACGCTCGCACTTAGTCGGACGTCACTTGTGTCAATTAATCGCCATCAAGTTTGAGTAAATTATTATGGTGCCGCGTATTCGCTTAATCAGTCTTGAAAAAGCCCTTTACCTTTAAATTTTAAGTTGCTTAGTTTTGTATCTACCGACACGTTTTGGTAAAGTTTTTTTCTCGTCCTCTCTTTATCGTATTTATTGAAGATAACTGAGGATTATTTGCACAGTTTCTAGTGAGTTTTCGTTTAATACGCACTGTCATTTAAAAGGGACCAAAATAGTCATATCTTGTAATTTGTGAACAGCCTAACATAATCTTTTTGCATAGAGGAGGCCGGGGCACTCCTCTCACCTTAAATGGTTTTCGTATTACGGTTAAACTATACTGATCTTCCTTTTTTTCTGATAAATTAACAGTTATTTTTGGCAGAGAGCAGATATTTAAGAATTATTTGACCTTTCACTGTTTTTGATATCGATAGGCGACAATCTCAAAGAAAGACGACGAAAAGGATAAGTATCCTCTTCTAACATATCTAAGGCGTATTCAGAAGATGGCTTATCCTTTCAATGCCAGGACTTGTTTTGTTTATGAATTATGTTTTTCTTCTAAAAGTTGTGTTGAAGCGTGAATTAAATCAGCTAGGAATCACCCAGATGCAAAGCCACGCTAATACAACAGAAGAAATAATAATAATCTGCCCGCAGGAAATGAAACTTTAGATGGAAAACAATTAAGCGTACTAAAATTGTTTAAATCTTGAAGGCATTAGCCGTGTTAAAGAAAAAAAATCTTAGACACGCTCTTAGTAAGTCAAGATGTCTTCCTTGATGTGTAAAAGCGTACTTAAAGTTTCTACTTCCAGAAGCATTTCGAGGAAAATAAGCGAGGATAGGACAGCGATGTTACGAGATAAAGATTCATTAACAACGAACGAAAAGTCTGTTAGGAGGAAACGAAGTTTGTCGCTCGATCCTCAAGTTTTGCTGCAATGGGCCGCAACACACAATGACGTGGACACATTGAAAAGCGTAGTGGAAGGATCGAACGTGGATATCAACCAGGCGAGTCTCGATGGAGTTTACCCGTTACATCGTGCTGCCTGCTCGGGAAGCCTTGAAAGCCTCCAATATCTTGTCATGAAAGGAGCACAGCTCGACGTGCGGGATAAAGATGGCTCCTCACCCTTGGACGCTGCGGTTAACGAGGGAGAATTTGACTGTGCAAGCTTCCTGATCGAAAAAGGCGCCAACATCAACCACATTCGAGACGGATTCATAGACAAGAATTTATCACACGGGAGAAAGAGAGCCATGACTATTGAGTAGCGACAGATGGAAGGAAGTAAGAACTTAGCACTACTTTGAAAAAGAAAACGGCTATGGTTATGTCTTGGTGTAGAAATTTCCGTTAGTAGATATCATTAGATACCATCGATATTCATTAAGTAGTGGATACTGTCTTCGCAGGACTGATCTGAGCAAATAAGTGCATCGATGCCTTAGAATTGTAATGATACGTGGGGTCTTTCATAGATATTAGCTTTCTTCAACTCCTCAGAGCGATTGGGTCATTTTTCTCTCTAGACTGATGTTGTACGACAATGTAGTAACATCTTCAAGAACGACTCTGTTCAAGTTCAGAGGATAAACTTAAAATACATCGGTTTATTTCGCAGATTTGCCGTTGTTATTAGTACGAGTTATTTTCATGTCAAAAAATGCTAAAAATTGGATTGGATTACATCTTTAACTTGTTGACTGTAAATTTAACTCGCGTTTAGTGATTATCGAGTTGTCAAAACATGATTTCATGCTGTGCTTGTTGTTACTGCAAATCTTCTAAACATAGTTTGTAAACACGACCAAGATCACGTTTACGTTGTTTTGACAGTAATTCATGAAACCATCGTCATAACAAACATCGAAAAAAGCTCACATTTTTGTAAGAGTATCTGCCTTAGTAATTTTCAACAAATCTTTATCAAAATTCCATCACGTTCCTTAAAAGTTATTAAGTCTCTGAGTAAACAGCGAGCATGAGGAAAAATACCGTAACTCGTGTCACAAAGTTGGAAGTGGGAAGGGCAGTGTTGGAAATTTACTTTTAACTGTTATCAGTTTAATGCAGACACATAATTATCCAAAATCAAAAATTAAACTAGATAAAATGTCTTGAGCTGTAAAACCAAAGATGTCGTTTTCCTCCGCGAAAGAAGTCTGCGCGACTCATCTCACTAAATTCAGTTTAACCCACACGAACGTTCTCTAAGAACGGTCGGTCTTCATCTGCATCGTTTTGCTTTTGAGTTCTCGGTTTTTAGTTTTCAGTGTATTGTATGTCTCTTCATACGAAAATATTAGGTAACTCTAGTTCAGAAATCTCAAAGATGCAGCTGCTTCATAAGCACTTCCTCTTTATATCAACCCTTATACTAAAAGCGTACTATAATTTATTAAATAATTATGGTATTATTATTCTTGTCTGAGTATTTTGATTTGCATTTTAGTCCTAAGACTGAAGGGTTATATGGGCTATCATTCTTAAATATCGATAGTGTATCGTCAATCTTAATGGTACTATTATTATCATCATCATGACTTTTAATATTATTATAATCATAATCGTGATTAGTGATTTTGTTAACTACTCGTATGTTACAAACCAAATTGGACTCCCCTGAGTCCGATTACTATGTCGTCGTTTTTCCCGAAAAAGCGATCAGGGCCGGTATGCGTGAGGGCGTTGCTGCTGACAGAAAAGGACAAACTTGCACAGGATATAAGCATCTTCGCCCTCTGGTTGGCTCAAGGCCAAAGTAAGCCGATGTTACATGATGTTACATAGAGAATAATGCATGGGTATAGAATTTCTCGTCGAGTGTTTAACTCAATAGTAATATTGTAATTTATCAAATAAACTGCGGTGTTATACAGGGATTTCTGGCCCTGAGAAAAGCTGCAACAACACACGTGAAAAAATATCGTATTTTTCCACGTGCATTGATATAGCCAATCAGCTGACACGTCACCCGCCTTTGGTGCCCCTCGGTCAGGTTGATAAATGAACGTCAAAGTTTTCGCGATTCTCAATACAAGTTGTTTGTCGGAGCTATCTCGAATTATGGCTGCTAAAACACTTAAAATTCCGTATCGCTGACAAACAGTGAGGTTCAAACTCAAGAAGGGGAGGAAAACCAATATACTAAAAGAAAAACCGAAAGTTACGTATTCAATGGCTTTGGTGTTACCATTTCTCTCGGCTGAGAATCAAAATTGACAACTGGAGGATTTGCCACTGGCCGATTTTGGCCGTTTACCTGAAAGACTACTTCTGTCGGTAAGGACAAAGTCAATAAATGAGAATTTTGTAAATTGAAAATTACAACCATTGTTGATTTTGTAACCATGATTCAACATATTTTTTCATCTTAAGAGTTAGCGCCAACGTACTCTACGATTGTTATTCGGGGATTGTCGATTCATTTATTTTCATTCATTATTGAAGACGACTTTCCTTGTCAGTAAAGGGCTATTGTGTTTATATGATAAACAAAATAATACATGGTTGCTTGTAGATATGGAATTTCTCTTTTTGTGTTCAAGTCAACATCCCACTCGTTCGCTGCGTTCACTTGTGAGCTATCGAGTTAAACACTCGAACAGAAATTTCACATCTACGCGCGCCCATGTATTATTCTCTATTTATTGAGCTCTGATTTTTCATTTATCGCGCAATAATTTATCAGTTATCGCGCGATAATTTTCATTTATCGCGCGATATTTTGATTTTATCGCACAATGAAAAAAAAACGTGGCATGTCCTCCATGAGCCATCGTACAAACAAGATCTCAAATCGCGTATTAAATACAGCTCTTGACAAAAAAACCTGTTGCCTTCCTTGGGTTTACATTTTGCTACATTTCTCCAAGGGAGAAATTGCTGAGAAATGGATCGATGACGATACGTTATCCAAGATTAGTGCCGAGTGGATTAATTTACATACCTTTTACAGTTACCCTAACTTGGTGACAGACTAATACAGGTATTATGGTTGTGGGTGGGTCACGCAAAGGACAAACTTGTTTGTGTATTGCAGAGAGAGGGGAAAAAAGATAAAGAGAACGCAATAAACTGATTACTGTGTTTTCCCAAACAAAGAACGAATGAATGAGAAATCTCACTGAATGAGTTGGAAATTTCTTGTAAGGAGTAAAACATGAACAATCGAGACACCTGAAAAGTTTTTGATGATCTGCTGGTCTTCAGTCTTTAGCCTGCTTCAGGCGTTCAGTTGTAACAAAGTGCAGTAGAAAACAGCATGATATGGTGAGGGAAGGAGGGGGGAGACTTTCCGTTTCGTACACTGATGACAAATAAATCAAAGGATAGTTTAGTTGAGATAAGAAGTGAGTTCGAATCAAGTAAAGCAAGTTTATATAAATTTGATAATTTCCAATTTAAGAAATAATTCAAATTACACATTCTTACCTGCTTGCAATCATCTGATGTAACACAGGTTAAATTTTCCTCAGTTTGGACTTTTGATTCTCATTGTCATAATTTTTAACACAGATAGCTTCAGCTCTCTTTCAGTCCTATAGAGGCGCTTGGTAGATTATTTGATCTCGAAATGACAAGCCATGCAAACTGCTTGGCACTTCACCCTTTGTCTCGATTCATCAGTCGACAGAGGCCCTACGTTTCAAATACTCTTAGTAAAGTTGAAGTTCACCAGGGTTTTAAAAGGAATTTGCCCTATTTGAACCCAAAGGTTGTTACACAAGCATCATATTTGAACTGTAATAATTTTGGTGTATCGCCTCATTTGTGGAAGGTTACTAAAGGCCACACAGCGAAACCACTAACTGTCACTGAGAAGTCCTCAGGATGTCGACTCTATAGCACTGTAAATCAAGGGTGTTCACAGGTACTATTTCTTCATTGAAAACTCTTTATTGGTAGCTTAATAGGTTTAAAGGAGGGTTTATTTTGGAATTCGGCTGTGAAATGTGCTTTATTTTGGTGGATTATGTAAGATTCTAGCTGGTGCTGGTTTATCCTGTTAGCTACAGTGTTTGAGAAAAATAATGGCATGGACTTTGACCCTCCATTAGGCTAGTCTATTCTGGTTTCTGGTTTTTATTGATTATAACTGTAGCTTCATTTCTGAGTGTAGAAATGCTTTTTAACTAAGATTAAGGAACAAAGAAATAAGGGGAAATGTAATTTTTGATGAAGGGATTTTGCCATACACAGTTCATGCTTGTTAAAACTTACAATTCTGAACCAAGCACAACAATACTCTTGTAATAATTGCACATTTTATATCGTACAACTTTTAATGTTCTCTGATCTAGTTCTTTTTAAACAGCTCGGAAGTCATGTCTTTTTTTTCATAATTTCTTTTAATGATCACCGACAAATTATTGGCCTATTATGATTTTGTACACAATTTTTCATCAAAGAAACAACCTGAGGGTAGATGGAGAGGGAAGAATGGAGCTTAGAATATTGGACGGTCTTAATTGATTAATGATACCCCCTTTTTCTTTTTTTTAGAATTAATGAATTGGCCTGGCAATTATTCTGTTGTTAACTTTCTGATGGTATTTTTTTTTCTTTCAGGATTTATTAACAACTGAAAAAGTAGAGAAGAGCAGTCAAATGGCAGACATGGAGCCATCCAATTATTCTGCTCCCAATGACACTTGGACTGTGGAATCTCTTGACTTGTATAAAAGACTTAAAAGTGATTTAATAGAACAAGGAAATGGCGACTGGCTTGAACACAAGAGCACCATATATTATGGCGAAAGAAGGCTTTTCACTAAAGCATTAGTCAATGAATATCCAGGGAAATTCTTTGAGTATGTATTTTTCTTCAGCAAAAATGAAAAGAAGGTGAAAGGAGTGATTCAGTTTGGACCATATACCCAGGGACCTCCAGGGTAAGTGGGGCGACATTCAGTTATGAGGGAGGGGGAGGTGATTTCATGCAAGACATAGAAAGTGAGGAAATGTGTTCAACAAAGCAAAAGAAGCAAGGGCCAAGGGCCCAAGAGTCTTTTAATCCTTTAACCTATAGGAGTGACTAGCATCTAATTTCTCCTTATAATATCACCCTTGAATCACAAATTAAGGGCACAAGAATAAAGGAAATGATCACCAACTAAAGAAGTTCTTGATCGTTAAACAAATTCTCCTTATTAGCTCCCAAGGAAATGTATAGAGAACTGTCTGGAGATTTTGCAGACTGCTGTAAGGGTGTAAAGGGTGAAGAATGGTATCCTTTTTATGGAAAAATTTTCTTATGGGTGGAGGTTGGTGCTTTGCATTGAACAAGGGTTCATGTCAAGAAATTAAACTCCATACTCCTTTCAAGCCATTCTTTGGGTCATCACAAAATTGGTCTTTTGGAGGGACCTTTGCCTGACATCTCACAGAAAAGGTGGAAAGAAGATTAACCAAACCCAGACTGGAATGCACTTTTAATTTAGTGGAGTTTAACTTTCATGGTCAGGGAACAGGTACTCTCCGGTGAATCAAAAGCCTGAGGACAGTTTTTACGAGGCAAAAAGTCCCTGGCTTCTCCAGATGGTTTATGTTCCACCCAAGGGAATTACATATACATGTAAATAAGTTTCAGGTCAGAGAAATTGGTGATAAACACCAACCTGGCAGAATAATTGAGCTCTCATAATTTGATATCCACATTTGAACTTATTGTAGATGGGTACATGGTGGTGCAAGTGCTTCCATGATGCATTCAGCCATTGGCGTTTGTGCGTCCAAGTCATTTCCTGATTGTGTGACAGCTTCTTTGGCCGTGGATTTCAAAAGGTAGGGTATTTCTTTATCAAGATATCTCAGAAAGTTATTGAATAATACAGTTCAAGTGTGAAATTCAGCTTTAAAGAGCAAGAAGAAGATTGCTACCAATGATGATATATCATTGTTAGAAAGAGTTGTAGCTTTAAGTTATTTACATAGGCTTGTAATACCAATGTGCACCAGCCCCGTATGCCAGACAGTTGTAGCTTTGCCTTTGACTCTTATAAATATTGATCAACCTCACAAAGTCAGTCTGGCCATGTGAAGTTGCATGTCAGACTTGAAACCAAATAGTCAAACACTTATAACCTTCTCAGACTAACTGGCTTGCTTATTCTGTTGGTCAAAGTACTCCGATTGTACAACTGTGTTTAGATATACTCTCTCTGACCTCCTACAGATCCATACGATATTCAACCTACGAGAAGTTATTTTGGCGACATTTGCTTTGTTACGCATTCCTCTCGATAACATTTGCGTTTCGCGGCTGTTTGAGATCAGTGGAGGCGCTTAATACGTAATTGCCGCGTAGATCGAAGACAAACCGGAAAAAATTTGGAAATCCCGTTTGAATTTTTGACGAAAACCGAAAACCAAATGCTGAATCACGTAATATCCGCAAACCAAAATGAACAATCCGATCCGGTCCGGTCCGGTCCGGTCCGGTCCGGTCCAGATTTTGTCGACGCTGCATTGTTTACATCATTTAAGGTCATATTAGGTCATATTAGGTCATTTTAGGTCATTCCTTGTTTTAGTAACTACCCTGGAGAGTGGTGGTTTGAGAATCAAATGGAAATCATGGCATTAAGGGATGTAGTGATTTGATGTGAGAGGTGTGGCAAGGTGACTAGGGTGTGCAAGTCAGAAATTTACTTTGACTGATTTTATACTGCAAAGGTCGGGAAAATGCTGATCATTATTAGACACAATAGTCCTTTTTCGACCTTTTCAGGACTTCTTACACTTGGAGCAACTTACAACTTACAAAATCCAACATTCACTAGTCCTGTTTGAACAGAAATGTGGTGATTATAGATTTACCACTAGAAAACCACTTAAACTGCCTTAACGCTGTAAGACCATGTGGTTAAAATTCAAAATTGTGACAGGATTTGTTACATTTCTTCAAACAGTCCTCTTCTCCTTGGTGCGACTGCTCTTGTTGAATCTTGGGTTGACAAAGTGGAAGGAAGAAAGATCTACGCTTTGGTAGAATTAAGATCTCCAGATGGCAAAGTGTTACATAGTTCTTCCAATGCATTGATAATTCAACCGCAGCCCCAGGGTGAAGATGCTGACAAAGGGAAAAATGCATTTGGTGACAAAAAATGACAGGTTTAAGTTCTGCATCATCTTTGTTGAGGATCTGCAAGTTTCTTGGCTAAATTACCTTCTTCATAGAGTAGATCTGTTGGAAGCCCGATTGGAATCAACTTACTGTGTACTACAGTCGGGTAGTTCTGTCGTTTTTGGTTGATTTTCTAATAAGATTGTATGTCTATGTTTATTTCAAAATTCCTCAAATATACGAGATGTCTTCTATCTCTGCGTATATGATATGAGTCACAGATAGTGACATTTATAGAAACGATATTGATTAGTTACGGCCAACCAATTACTTTAAAATGTTTTCCCAGACTTATGGATGAAAGGAATAGTGTGTATATTTTTCGTTATTCTATTTATTGGTTCAAAAACCGGCTATCATAATCCTATCCTGTTCAGTTGTGCATGGTGGATTTAGTGGTAGCAAGATGTTTACAAGTTTATAACCTTAGTCTTAACCTTAGTGTAACCTTAGTCTTAAGGATACTATACTGTGCGTATAAACTACAACGGAAAAAAAAAGACGAACTTGCATAGGATATAAGCATCTTCGCCCTTTGGGTGGCTCTAGGCCAAAGTAAGCCGATGTTACATGATGTTACATTTCATTATTACATAAATAAGTCGATACTAGGCGCATCTTAAGAGCACATGTAAAACTCTCTTTAGTTTTATATCAGATTTGCCGATGGAAATAGCAGTTACTCCACCAGTTTAGCGTAGGAGCCTCTTAGTCTCATATCCAGATCTTCTACGGCCAGTTACGCGGTACGATCTGGGTACGAGATTTGGAGCCACCCCCTTCCCCCCCTCCCCAATGACCACCTAAAAGCTGGTACTTCTTAGGGTTGAAAATGCGTCTTCTCCGCGGCATTTAGAGAAGGAAGGGAGCAAAGGTTCAAACTTTCATCATTTTACTCTCACATTTTACTTGACACTCCTCTATCCCTTGCAATTTCCGCTGGGTTTCAACAACTGTTTCCATAAAAGGCTGCCGATGGTTTAATGAGCGGCAGTGCCTGCCAAACTCAAACACGAGAGTGCTCGCTAGCTAACTCGAAGGCGGTAAGATGTCTCACAGGTGGTTGTAGACCGCCGGCAACTGGCTTTTAATGAAACCTCAGAATTTTTGCCTTCCTTTGGTGCCGCGACAATTTCTGCACCTCTATCGAGTAACAAGATTTCTCTTAACAGAGTATAATAACTCATTGCAACCCAAACAAGATTAAATCGCGTATTGAAAACAGCTCTTGACAAAAGAACCTGTTGCCTTCCTTGGGTCTACATTTTGCTTGGCGAGAAGTTAGCCTCCTCCTACACCAAAATAGAATATCGTCTTGCCTAGATATATTTTCTCAGTGTTGAGTCGAGGAAAGTGAAGCTGGAGAGAATTTGCGTGATCAACAACTACAGCATCAACAACATCAATATGCGTGGGAATCAGTTAGGTTTACATTTTAGGTTTGGCCAGGGGAGAAATTGCTGAGAGATGGATCGACGACGATAAATTATCCAAGATTAGTGCCGAGTGGATTAATTTACATACCTTTTACAGGTTATCCTAACTTGGTGACAGACTAATACAAGTATTATGGCAGTGGGTGGGCGAAGCGCGAAAAATCACGCAAAGGACAAAATAGTTTGTGTATTGCAGAGAGAGGGAAAAAAAGAAAAAGAGAACGCAATGAACTGATTACTGCGTTTTTCCAAACAAAGAACGGATGAATCATTTAGAAATCTCATAAAATGAGTTGGAAATTTCTTGTAAGGTGTCAAACAAGAACAATCAAGGCACCCGAAAAATTTTTGATGATCTGCTGGTCTTTAGTCTTTGGTCTGCTTCAGGCGTTCAGTTCAAACAAAGCGCGGTAGAAGAAGTGTGATATGGTGAGGGGAAGGGGTGGGAGGCTTTCCGTTTCGTACATTGACAACAAATAAATCAAAGGATACTTTAGTTGCCAAAAGCTGTGGACCATATATTCTATGTACAGTTTCAAAATGAGTAACATATCTTACTTCGTAATCATCGAAATTCTTTTTGTAAAATCTAAAGCGATTTAGTTAACATGTTTTACATTAAGTGTACAATTTCCTGAATTTACTTCGTCTTTGCAGACAAGAAACTCGTTCATTAACTCACACGAGCTGAATTGAAAGAGATGGTTCTTCAAAATTAAATGCAAATAACAATTACAATAAAAAGTGAACGTTTACAAACTGCAAGAATGAAGCCTGAATCTCACCTACCATAGTCACTAGATCAACTGAAATGACGAAAAAAAAAACCGAGACTAAAAACATTCCCAACTACTTTGTACGAATCTAATTCAATAAAAATTCATCGAGTAGGGCGAGCGAAGCATTAACAAAGGTTTAGAGAATGAATCTATACAGTCTGCCAATATTTTTAAGTTTACGTTAATGGAATTTTAATTATTTTAAATCTTTAAGTCAGTCCAATAAGTTATATCACACGCTTTCATTGAATACACTAAGAAGCACTTATGAACAGATATGAAATTACACATCAGCAGGAGGGTTGCTTCCCCCTGGCTGACTATTCTGAGAGGCACCAGGTGCCTCATCTGCAGGGGGGGCAGCGGCTACCTCGGCCTCAGCAGCTTGTTGTCTTGTAAGTAAGTCTTTAAATTCTTGTTCTCTTTCTAACTCGTGCTCTCTGGCGGCGTCTTGTACTTCTCTTGTTCTAAACACCCAGTGATTGCTCGGTTTTTCTGCTTTGTGAGAGTCTACTTCAGTTTTGGCGGCCACCTCAAACTCTCTTCCAAACGGTGTTCTAAAGTTAAGGTAGCACAGAATTTTTTTTTCAACAGTACTGATAACAAAGTACTTCATGCAGAGGTGAGACACCAAGTTACTGGCAACACGCAACTGTCAACCAAATATCAAGGGATCAGCAAGTTTTCCTCGATAAAAATATTCATTAAAATCGTCTTTTTTTCGATACAGTACAAATAAATCAAAACACAGCCTGTGAGCAGGCCCTGATCATTAGCGCCTCAGCACAAGTGTTTCTTTGCCCGCAGGAAAGCATAAATCCCTGAGCAATGCGGGCCGACAAGAGGTCTGTAAGGGGTGTAGCACTGAAAATGAGGCATTATTAGTGCCAGAGCCCCGCTGCACCTATTCCCAACTCATCTCAAATCTTCCCGCGGGAGGAGAAAAGCGCGTCTTTCTTGGTATCGCTGAACTTTTATGGGGGTTAGGGAGGGGGTTGCAAGGGGGAGAGTGAGTCAGGAAAAGTCAGAGAATACAAAGCAACACAATAATAAATTGTGAAATCTCGCTAATTTTGAAGAATAGGGAAATAAACAATTCATCCTCAATCATCAATATTTTCTATGACAAACCTAAAAGAAAACTCCGTCAAGGCGGCTAAGTTCTGGTTAGTTTTCACGTGGTTCAGAATGACTTTCGTGTTTGCCTATTGAAAAGAAACCAAATCAGTTTTAATTGCTGATAGTGATTAAAATTCTCTCTACATAACCAATAAGCAAACACAGAGAAGACAATTTCCAAAGTTGGCTTAATTCTCTCACTGAAAATAAAACCTCATCTAGACGCGCAGATCTGAGAAGGAGAACTTACCGGGACAGGCATTCCTTCTGTCTCTAAACGCTGCTGAGGGTCATGGCAAAGAATTTTCCTACACAAAAAATAATAAAATAAAAATAATAACTGCACATGTTAAGAGCACATTATTAATAGATTTTCTGTAAAGTACATGAAAACATTGGTCCATATAGGAAGGCTTCACCAAAAAGAACCTCTTTTTCCAAGCTTCAGGTATTTAAAGGGGTTGCTAATCACAAGTGGATGAAATATGACGTAAATTATTTAACTGAAATACACAGTTACTTACCAGCAAGACATAAAAGTCATATCTTCCTTAAGAGTAACCAGCTGTTGCCTCGACTTCTTGGCACATTCATTAAATGTTATTCTGTCACTCATTAATTTGAGCTACAAGGAAAACAAGCAGATGTAAAACATTCTGTTAATGTCTGATCAACTTGACTTTGGTTAAGAATTGGCCCTTAACCATGCTTTAGTAGGCTTTAGACTGTGGCCAAGTAGCCTGTATGGCCCATGCTCAAAGAGAATAGAAAGGGAATCATTGCAGTTAATTGTTAGGCATGATCACTTGAATTCCATTCAACATTTTAAGCTGGTCTTGTTGTTTAAAAAAAAAACCCAAAAACAAAACAGGTAATCTTCTGATGGCAAGTAAAGTCATTTTTCAGCAATAGAAACTTTACAAACTAAGGTAAACTCAGAGGGGAGCTGATTTGATACAAATTATCATTAAAGCACAAAAGATTAGAGAGAGAGAAATTAAGAGTTTTCCCATTATCACAATATGCAGTCTGACTCTTTGTATGTTAAGATATCTGAGTTTTCATGAAAAAATTGCAGTGACAGGAGAAAAGTGGAAGTAACATAACATCATATTCTTCCACATGTGAGAAAAAACTATCCAGACCATAAAAATTTTTAGACAGAGAATTCTTCCATCTTTAATGGCTGGTGAGTATCTTGACTTGTCCTAAATTTTCAACATGCAGTAGTTTTGCTTGGTTTTAATTTGATTGCATATTACCTCTCCCCCAACTCCAGGTAAGGTACTCAGTGCAAAGGGCTCATTAAATCTTAAAACTCCATCACCTTCCGCTCTTGGCCTGGTGATAAAATTATACAATACATGATTAAATTATGCAACTTTAAGGACCTTGTAGATTTGCAGATAATTAGCAATTGATAATTTTGCCATATGGACACCTGTAAGTATCCAAATTAAGCCTTTTATACTCTGGACATTTATATGAAGCAAAAGCTGGTTTGTAAATCATGATGGTAACTACTTCAAGTTTGATGACTTATCCACACATGTTATAAGGCTCTTCATGTATGAACAAACAGCTATTGTTACAGCTCCTTCCTTCTCAAAGCTCTCTTTTTGCTCATCTTGGTATTTAAAGCCAAGAGTGTTTATTTAACATTTTAACTCTCAAGATCTGAGAGTTAATTCTTCCCTCTAACTGCTACACATCTCCTTGTAAATTAGTCAGGAGAACTTTGTGCTAGACCGGGAGAGCAGCTTCTACCTGATAAATTTGAATATTCTCATCACCTGTTTGCAGAATAATGTATGGATATTCTTAGGAGAAGTTTCATGTTAATCACCACTTGGAGTTAAAGAGTTAAGCAATAGACTGCAACTTCTGTTGGTTTACCAGGGTAATAACCCATGCAAGAATTTGAGGATCACAAGAGAAATTTGTAAATCATGAACCTGAGGTCATTTGCAAGAATTTTCTTGTGTTCTCATAACATCCTAAGTAAGTTATTACGCTTGTAAACAAAACTACTCACCCTATAACAAAAGTATTTCGAATGCAAGGATCTGTCATCTTTGAAGCTGACACATCACATGGCCCTACAAGTCTCTTTTCATCATGCATTTTGCTTTCAGACATATTTGCCGAAAGTGCTGTCTCTGATGCTGGATTGAAGATACAAACTGTGTCACCATAATGAAGATAACCATCATGGGATACTGACAGGTTGACCTGCAAGGAATGGAATAACACAATGCAATGACAGGTTGAAAGTAAAATGGAAATATCATAAGGATTCATATACTGTTTGAGAGTGACGAGACTTTCTTGTGCTACAGTAAGAGTGGATTCTTCAGCCATGTTATCAGAAACATTCATATGAATGTTTCTGATAACATGACTGAATTTTGTTGCCTTTTGATTACTTATGATCTAAGAAGGGACAGACACAAAGATGATATCAACACTACCAACATTTTGCTTTTTCTTTGTATAAACCAAATAGATTTCATGTTGCTGTCAGTCTGTGCACTCATAAATCACAGAGGATCTAAAAACGTAGCATACACTTAAGTGACACACTCAGCTGCGCCTCGTGTGCCACGTTTTTCTTTCTTTATCACATTTTAATGCTATCTGAGTTCTCTTACTGAACAGATGGACCGAAACATGATATATATTTGTTAAATAGACAGTAGTTTCCAATTAATTTTAAGAATTTAGACAGATTAAGGGCAACTGTTACGGGATACACAGCACTGAAAAAATATAAAACCTCAGCGGGGAATCTTAACATGTTTATGTTTACTCTTGAAGTAACACACGAGTACTATTTTTGCCAGGCTTAGAGCTCGATCCGCATGATCTAAATATTAAGTGCAGCTGGGAGCTTAAGTTTAGAATGTATTGATGGCATGAAAGCGAGCTATACCGTGAGGGTTTGTAAAATTTGCAAAATAAACAAGAAGTAAGTTCAAATCAAGCAAAGCAAGTTTATATAAATTTGACAATTTCCAATCTAAGAAATAATTCGATTACGCATTCTTACCTTCTTGAGTATATTTTGAAGGAGATTGCTAGCTTTTTGTATCAGTAATTCTCCACTTTCTTTCTTCTCAAGGAAATCTTTGAGCTTATCCTGCAAATGAATAAGTTTTGAGCTGACTTCAAGAATAAAAACAAAATATTTCCATCCAATTCACGGATGTTATCGCAGAGGCTATGTACAAATAAAGCGAACTCTCACATCTCACGAACCTCTTGTAAGCAAATATCTTCATTCCAGTTCCCTATAAGAACTGAAGGATTATATGTCCGTACACTCATTGTGGTACAAACTTTGCGGGAAAAATAAACGACAAATGAAACTCCTAATTGACTCAATAGTCCTAACTCTTTCCTGCTTCGATGGAACAATCGTCTGTTGTTTCTATGGAGACGAAGTAAGAAACCGCTGACTGGAAACACACTCATTCCAGGAACGAGGCTAAACGTCATCTTGACGTCATAGCGGCGATAGGTAACGCAACAAATTTTAGTGTTGCAATCGTCTGATGTAACACATGTTACTCTTTCCTCAGTTTGGACTTTCGACTCTCGCTGTTGTAGTATTTAACACTGATGGCTTCGGCTCTCTTTCAGTCCTATAGATGTGCTCGGTAGATTATTTGATCTCGAAATGACAAGCCCTGCAAACCGCTTGGCACTTCACCGTTTGTCTCGATTCATCAGTCGACAGAGGCCCAACGTTTCGAATACTTTTAGTAAAGTTGAAGTTCATCAGGGTTTTAAAAGGAATTTTCCCTATTTGAACCCAAAGGTTGTTACACAAGCATCATATTTGTACTGTAATTTTGGCGAATCGCCGCATTTGTGGAAGGTTATTAAAGGTCACACAACGAAACAGCTACCTGTCACGGAGAAGTTCCTTGGACGTCGACTCTACAGTACTGTAAATCAAGGCTGTTCACAGGTATTGTTTCTTCATTGAAAACCCTTTATTGATAGCTTAATAAGTTTGATAGAGGGTTTATTTTGGAATTCGGCCGTGAAATGTGCTTTATTTTGGTGGATTACGTAAGATTCTAGCTAGTACCGGCTTACCCTGTAATAGCGTTTGAGAAAAATAATGGCATGAAATTCGACCCTCCGCTTGGTTAGTCTATTCTGGTTTTTGGTTTTTATTGATTATTACTGTAGCTTCATTTCTGAGTGTAAAAATGTTTTATAAATGAGATTATGGAACAAAGAAGTAAAAGGAAATGTACTTTATGATGAAGGGATTTTGCCATACACAGTTCATGCTTGTCAAAACTTACAATTCTGAACCAAGCACAACAATACTCTTGTAATTATTGCACTTTTTATATCATACGACTTTCATTGTTCTCTGATCTAGTTCTTTTTAAACAGCTCAGAAGTCATGTCTTTTTTTTTTATAATTTCTTTGAATGATCACTGACAATTATTGGCCTAGTAAGATTTCTACACAATTTTTTATCAAAGAAATGATCTGAGGCTAGATGGAGAGGGAACACTGGAGCTCGGAATATTGGAGGGTCTTAATTGATTAATGATACCCACATGTTTTTTTTTTTGAGAATTAATGAATTGGCCTGTCAATTATTCTGTTGTTAACTTTCTGATGGTATTTTTTTTTCTTTCAGGATTTATTAACAACTGAAAAATCAGAAAAGGGGGGTCAAATGGCAGACATGGAGCCATCCAATTATTCTGCTCCCAATGACACTTGGACTGTGGAATCTCTTGACTTGTATAAAAAACTAAAAAGTGATTTAATAGAACAAGGAAATGGCGACTGGCTTGAACACAAGAGCTCCATATATTATGGTGAAAGAAGGCTTTTTACTAAAGCATTAGTCAATGAATATCCAGGGAAATTCTTTGAGTATGTATTTTTCTGCAGCAAAAATGAAAAGAAGGTGAAAGGAGTGATTCAGTTTGGATCATATACCCAGGGACCTCCAGGGTAAGTGGGGCGACATTCAGTTATGAGGGAGGGGGAGGTGATCTCATACAAGACATAGAAAGTGAGAAAATGTGTTTAACAAATCAAAAGAAACAAGGGCCAAAGGCCAAAGGGTCTTTTAACCCCTGGGATTGACTAGCATCTAATTTCTCCTTATAATATCACCCTTGAATCACACATTAAGGGCACAAGAATAAAGGAAATGATCACCAACTAAAGGAGTTCTTGATTGTTAAACAAATTCTCCTTGTTAGACTGGAATGCACTTTTAATTTAGTGGAGTTTAACTTTCATGATCAAGGAACAGGTACTCTCCTGTGAATCAAAAGCCTGAGGACAGTTTTTACAAGGCAAAAATTCCCTGGCTTCTCCAGATGGTTTATGTTCCATCCAAGGGAACTACATGTAGATGTAAATGGTGTCAGGTCAGAGGAATTGGTGTTAAACACCAACCTTGCAGAACAATTGAGCTTTCATAATTTGATGTCAACATTTGAACTTTTTGTAGATGCGTACATGGTGGTGCAAGTGCTTCCATGATGGATTCTGCCATTGGTGTCTGTGTGAACAAGTCATTTCCTGGTTGTGTGACAGCTTCTTTGACCATGAATTACAAAAGGTAGGGTGTTTTTTTTATCGTGATATCTCAGAAAGTTATTGAATAATACAGTTCAAGTGTGAAATTCAGCTTTAAAGAGCAATGGGAAGATTGCTACCCATGATTATCTATCATTGTTAGAAAGAGTTGTAGCCTAAAGTTATTTGCATAAGCTTGTAATACCAGTGTGCACCTGCCCCATATGCCAGACAGTTGTAGCTTTGCATTTCAACCCTCATAAATATTGATCAAGCTCACAAAGTCAGTCTGGCCATCTGAAGTTGCATGTCGGACTTGGAACCAAAGAGTCAAACACTTATAGCCTTCTCAGACTAACTGGCTTGCTTATTCTGTTGGTCAAAGTACTCCATACTTAAATTGTACAACTGTGTTTAGATTTACTCTCTCTGGAGCACATCCTCTATTTAGGGTAGTGTTAGTGAACTGGTTACAGATCTGAAGAGTGGTGGTTCGAGAATCAAATAGAAATCATAGCATAAAGGGATGTAGTGATTTGAAGTGAGAGGTGTGGCAACCAGGTGACTAGGGTGTGCAAACCAGAAGTTTACTTTGATTGAATTGATACTGTGAAGGTTAGGGAATGCTGATCATTATCAGACACAGCAGTCCTTTTCAGGACTTCTTACACTTGGAACATCTTACAACTTACAAAATCCGATATTTACTAGTCCTGTTTGAACCAGAATGTGGTGATTAGAGATTTACCACCAGAAAATCACTTAAGCAGCTTCAATGCTGTAGAACTGTGTGTTTAAAATTAAAAATTGTGATGAGATTTGTTGCATTTCTTAAAACAGTCTTCTTCCCCTTGGTGCGACTGCTCTTGTTGAATCTTGGGTTGACAAAGTGGAAGGAAGAAAGGTTTATGCTTTGGCAGAATTAAGATCTCCAGATGGCAAAGTGTTATATAGTTCTTCCAATGCATTGTTTATTCAGCTGCAACCTCAGGGTGAAGATGCTGACAAAGGGAAAAATGCATTTGGTGACAAAAAATGACAGGTTAAAGATCTGCATCATCTTTGTTGAGGATGTGCAAGTTTCTTGGCTAAATTGTCGTCTTCATAGAGTAGATCTGGTGGAAACCTGATTGGAATCAACTGACTGTGTACTACAGTCGGGTAGTTCTGGAGTTTTTGGTTGATTTTCTAATAAGATTGTATTTCTTTTTTTATTTCAAAATTCTTCAAATATACGAGATGTCTTCTATCTCAGCGTATATGATATGAATCACAGATAGTGAAATTTTTAGAAATAATATTGATCAGTTTAAGCCAACCCATTATTTTAAAATGTTTTCCAAACGTATGGATGAAAAGAATAATGTGTATCTTTTTCATTATGTTATTTATTGGGTCAAAAACAGTCGATTGTAATCCTATCCTCTCTAGTTGTGCATGGTGGATTTAGTGGTAGCAAGATATTTTCAATTTTACAACCTAACCTTAGTCTTAACGATACTATATTGTGTGTATAAACTACAACGAAAAATAGTGAATTAGAGATTCATTACGAACGCGAACTTTATAGTACATTCTTGAGTGATCGATTTTTTGTTATTTTCTCACAAAACAGTATTTACACGATTCATTATGAGTTCACTAAATCGGAATCATCTGAGTTAAAAGCCTAATGTACAAAGCAACTCCGTTTTTCACCCGCACAAAGTGAACTTAACAGTGACTATCAGCGTTTGTCCATAGCGTCCTTGGCTATCACGCCTCTTACAGCAAATTCTTGAAAATTTTAACCTTCATTTTTCCAGACTCGATTCGTCACCGACCACGCCTCGCACTTAATCTCATCTTATGCCTTGAGTGCCATTTCAAATGATGGAATTGAGGCTCAATCTGCTGTTGTTAAGTTCGTCTCCAATCCTCCGCAGCATGGACCCAATCTCCCGGGACGCGCGCTTTTCGCAGCTGTTTGCGTCGGTATCCGCTGACCGGTGCTGAGCGCCAGAACTTGTTGATTGAGCGGATCGGTCACGTGGTTCGATGCGTTTGAAGCTTCGTCTGCGGCTGCTGTTTCGACGAAGAAGACCTGAGAATCCCATGACTTTTTCTAAGCTTTATTATTGTTGTCACCTGACAAACAGAAATAAAAAGATTTCATAAGTTAGTGACCGAGGAAGTGACCGGAAAATCTTGGCATAAAGGATTGATGACCCAAAGGTATCATTTGCGCTAACACCTTAATCAGATCACTGTTACAAAAGGAAATCATTCCTACTTTTAAGATATCATGTGCTCACTCAAAACGCTAAAGATTTAAGCTGCGGTTTGTTTCCTTTTCGAACTTAAGATTAGATCACCACTAAATCGAACTCTGAGGGGAAGAAAGAAATTATGCAGCTAAGTTGTAACCATTTTTCAGTCGACTCAAAGTTGTCTTAATTTTACTTCAATTTAAGTAGTTCGACAGCTCTAGGAATTTTTTCCTGACGTGTCAGGGTAACTTGAGATTACTTTAACTACGTGGGGTTTTCTTTGTCTGTTTTATTTCTTCCCTTTATTTCTTTTAGCTACGATCAAAATTTCTTTTCTTGAGAACTTCTCAAGTGCCTGAATTCATTCACCTGGCTTATGTGTAAACAAACTTGCTCCGAATGAAAATATGTCAGTAAATGGGTTGTGTCTCTATCCTTGCAATCGTAGAAAATTTCAGTATTAACGTCACTGATGTAGTCTTTTTTCGCCAAGGTGGGTCATTAAGTCTTTTACGTCACCTTCCTTTTAGGAAGAGTTGGTGAGGTTAACGTGTATCTTTTACCTCAAGATGTGTAAATGATCCTAAGCACGTAAGCGTGATAGGGCTAAAATGACGCAGCGTTAAATTCTAATTCTTTATGCAGATTTGCTTTTCTTTACAGTGTGGAAGAACATCCTTCTGTTTCTTTCCATTCATTTTAATATTTGTAATTTTAGAATCTTAAAGTAGAAAATGCAAAGCAACGCCCTGTGTCTTGTTGAAAAAAATTTACTTCAAAATTCAAAGTTCAAAATCTGATGATCTTTGACCAAAAAAACGTTGCCGACCCTCTTACTTATGGAGCAAATTACACATGAAAGGGTGTAGTTCTGTAATTTGGTGCCCTTTGTATAGCTGTCAGCATAGCAAGGCGTTCACCCACAAGCCATTTATCGTAATTGACTCCATCACCGATTTTTCATTTATAGTTTTTTTCGGTCTTTTATCACTTCTTCAGGACCGGAAAGTAACCACGGCGAACACAGCAAGTCTGAATGGAGCCGGATAATAGACTCTCTTTCGTTTGACGAGTTTAAGAAGATTTTTTTGGAAACTTGATCCTAATCAAGCGTTTGTGTATAAGTTCTTTCTTGTTATGATTACAACTTCAAATGAAAATTGAAGGTTATTTTCACAGTTTATACAATAGCAAATCTACAAAACTGGCTCCATTTTAATGTGGTGAAAACGCTAAATTTTTCCCTTTGCCATTGATAAGCGGCAGGTGCCCTTAATTGCCGGAGAAACGTTAATGTCGAGACGAAGTGTGATTAAGCGGGCGGTAAATTCTTAGAAGAAAATTTTCTTTCGGTTTATCAGCGAAAATAATCCCGTTTTCACCTGCAATGAGTATTTACTTGATTTGAAACACACTGCAAAACAATGAGGATAACTACGACCGTTTAATCCGGTTATATTTACCAGAAAAGACGTGGGTAGGTAGCTGTCTGTCCTCCCCCGCAAATAAACTCAGTTTTTAGGAATAAAACATTAAAACTTCTCGCGCTTTCTTGAAGGAATAGTTCGGTTTGCTTATCCTTACCTCAGATATTAAGCTGATGTAACAGCTGTCCCTGGTAGACTCTCGTTGTTCCTATCTTAATAGCTGAGAGTTTCAAGCTGTACTGACCTAAACGCTGGGCTGCCAAAGGATATCTGATTGCAGTAAACAAGAACTTCGTTTTATCTGTCGTTCGCAATGATGTAATGGCTGACAACCGGAAAAATGCGTTCTTACGTATTTCCGGTTTACGATCGCCACAATTCTCTTAGAAATCGAACCTTAAAAATTGTAATGGGTTTTTTGTCATGGTCAGAAAGTTCTGTTTTTATGTCATAACCGCAAAATTGAGTGAGAAAATGCTTCGACCAATTTATCCTGTAGTTAAGTTAATGCTGTGTCAGGCTTACACATCGCTCAAAAAAAAATCACTTTTATTTTTCGAAAGTTAATTTTGAGATGATAACGGTGACTTAATGTACAAAGAATCTTAAAAATGTACACCTGGCTTGCTTTACAAAACGTGCTCCGATAGCAAACCTCACTGAGCATGTGCTGAGTGCTATAAATTTCGAAGGTTATTTTTGGACAGGTTGTCAGGAAAACATCTTTTGGGGGCACAATTAGCGAGCCACTAAACCGTACAACCCCTTACCACCAGCCTAGCATGTGACAGGTGTTAAAAAGGAAAGGAAAATTTTCATTGTCTCAGAAAGCAATTTATATTATCGTTGACAGTTTCTGACTTTCTCGAGACTCTTTTACCTTGACCCTAATTTATGCTTTGTCAGTATCTTAAACGTTCACCACGTAAGTTTTTCGGCAAACCGCGCGTTGCTTGGAAACGCATTGGGAGTTTGCTGCGGTTTTGGAGCGCTAAAAAAGTTTACATTTCGGAAGGAAACGCCGATATTTAATTTCTTTGAGGGAACAATAGTTTTATGTTAATAAGGAGGTTCCACCCTTCTAAGCAATACAATGAGAGTTAAGACTTTTTGGATGGTTTCCAATTCTTAGGGAAACACACAAGCGGTACAGCGAATGTGAGCTGCAATACCGCAAAGGAAAGAAAGTGGTTATTGTTGTGCTGCTATAAACTGACTTTACAACAAAGAAATTCTTTGACGCAGTCCCGTTTTATAATTTGCGGCCAAACCTCTAAATTGGGTATCGAATAACCGCTCGAACTTATCGTCTTCATTTCTATGGTAAATTTCAAGTTTCCTGGCGTCTGAAAGACGTAAATTCCGGAAAAAAAGAATGGGTTCTCGGATGTAATCTGCCAGTTGTCTATCAATGATTTTATCGAAGGTAGAACTTTTAAGCGATGAGAGCGCCATCACTTTGCTAAGTGTTACTGAATAATTTGTTCTAACCTATCCGAAAAATGTTCGTAAGAGTTTGAACTAGTTCCTGTTCTTTATCCGTCTTCCTTTGAAGTAATCTGCTCGAACCTTGACACAGTTCAGCAAACAACAAAATCTTGAATAAAAGTTTACATGTTACTAATTTTATAGCTTACTCGACCATAACCTGCGAAAGGGAAAACCCCTACACTCCTTAAATCAAAAGTGATTTCAGAATAAATTTGCCACATCGTTGGAGAGAATTTTTTGTTGTAGAATTTAATAAAGCAATTTTGCAAGCTTAATGTCTTAGGTTTAGGAATTTTCTCAACATATCAACGGGATTTCACCCTGTTTCCTGATCGGCGTAAAGAGTTTGTCACCATAAGATTGAATTTTTTCTCGTATTGTATTGCGTATTCCAAATTGAGACGGGATATAAAACATGTTTTGGGCCGAGTTATTTACATATACTGCATTAGTCTGTCAAAACTTGCTGGAACAAGTTTTTGGCGCCATAATACATTCTGAATTGAGTCTTTACAAGAATTACAAATAAAAAATATTAACGTTCGGAATTTTCGCTTGGGAACAGCGGTAAGATGTGGAGTCTATCTATAGTGGCGTGGGATGTAACGTGTTCCGCAGTTTAATAGAGGATGTTAAATTTTAACAGCCCTTAGAGAAATGAAATAAGAGGACTTGGGTGGAAAAAAATGATTCCTAATCATTTCTTTCTTTTTGCGCATGGGTTAGTTGCTGAGTTGAGATTTCTAAGGCTTAGACAGTGTTAGAAGCTAAGCTTTCTTTTTGACCGGAATTTCCCTTTGTTTTTGCGCGCAGCGTTTGCATTTTCGATAAAGTACAATCGTTTAGTTGGTAGTCAATAAATAGCTTCATCATGAAAGGTTTTCTTTTTTTTCATTTGTTATTTTCGTCTAAGTACATCATTTATTAATAATTCATGTCAGCTGAATCGAAAACTGAATGCTCGTGCCCAAAAAAGGATAAGGTTTAAATTTCAATTTAATCGCTACTTGGAAAATGGTGCAACTCATAAGCTTAGAGACTGCATGATTTAATTTACGTCCACATCAATTGTTTTTAATTTTACCTCTGCAGTCTGTAGAGGTTTAAATAACTTTTTCCACAAGCGGCTGTCAATGTTGTGATAGGCGGCTGTGCCCGCAAAGGGGCTGGAAGGCGAAACTCAAACACTACGCCTGCTCGCAAACTAAACAGACGGTGGTCGGAACGAGGCCATAAAGGCCGCGGTAGACCACCGACTCTTATGAAACCCTAAAGTCTGAGGTACAATTTACCTGCGACTTTGTTCACCAGAGATTCAATTTGAGTTAACTTCAGTCAGATATGAGTTTCGCTTGGAAAAATTTGGAAACATGTTTGACAGGTTTGTCTC